TTTCCAGCACTTTGAAATGTTTACATTAGGAGTGAAGCTGACTGGACCAGAAGATCCCCTTCAGTTTTCAATGCACTTATAAAGCTATTTTTGCTAGCTAAAAGCTAAAGTGGGGAGTTGGTTCTGCTCTTACAACCATGTTGTCCATGGTTTACCTGCCAGTACAGTTTACTGTCATCATGGTTTACTGTGCATGAGCCCTCTGTGCTCACTTTGCTTCTCCTGACTTGCACTGGGAAGAGACAAGCCACAATTCCTAGCTTTGTGGTACATCTGAAGCGGGGATCGTCGTTTGTTTTCTTTAAACCACAGTTGGCAAGCCAAGAACAAAGTACATGTGCTTCCACATGAAAAGAATTACTTCTTACAGAGGGGGTTTTATGTGGCACCTGTAACAATGCCAGAACTGCAGAGCCAAGGAGTAGGGTGGGCATCTATGGGGTAAGGTGATCCTGCAAGTAAATTGGTCCCTGGCTGCTGAGGGCTTCGTTTACCAATAGCAACACCTTTATTTATGACTTACTGTGATGTGTGAACATGGCCATTTTCCATTTACTCTCTTGGACAGAAGGGGAGCAAACCTTTTCACAGAGCAGTGAGATTTCCTCCATGCCAGTCGGTAGTCTCACCCCTCGAATGCCTTCCATTCAGATTCTGCTCTGACATGCCAGCTGCTGTTTGTAATTCTGGCCTCTGTCAGCTTTTACAGCATTGTAATTTCCACGCTGTAAGTGTTACTTCTGGTGTCAGCGCTCAGTAGCCTTCCCACTCTTCCCCAAATGACTGAGCAGTTTGTGGTCAGGTTCACCGCTTCCTCATACCAGTAATCAATTGACTTAGGAGTCATTTCCATCTCGAGGAGCATGACAAAGAATGGGTCAGTTCTTTTAAAATCAGACAGGTTCTGAGCCACTAGAGTATGCCATTTTCATCTAAATAAAAGAAGAAGAGCCCGTTCACAGGACATGAGTTGACATTGATCCTTGACTGCCTCTGCCAGTGACGGTTATGTGTGTGCTAAATCATCATTAGGAGAGTATTTCACCTTGGATATTTTCACACAGAACATGCTCTGTTTCAGTTCAATAAAAGGCTACCTCATATTCTTACTGTTTGTATGCAGCAATTGAGGGCTATGTTTAATCAGGTACCTCAGCTTCTTTTGTAAAGCTTAAAAGCATCCTTTGGAATGGGGAGAAATGTATTAAGACAGCAAGACTGAGGGAAATGGGGCTTTTCATTCTTTCTCATCTGTTGATTTCCCTGTTAAAATGCACCACACACACATTGCTAATAGCCTTGCTGGGGTTGGGCAGTAAGACAGGTACAAAACAGTCACTTGTCTTCTTTTTTAAAATGAAGGTGTAGGCAATTATTTTGATCAGGAAAATAGCACAGTGCGGAAGAGTAAAATATCACCACCCTCTTCCCTGTTGCCCATTTCTGCAGCTGTTTTAAAGCAACTAAACTGGGCCCCGTTCCAAGTGCTGGTGCTTGCCTTTGTAGCCCTCTGCATCATAGAAGCCAAGTGGCTGCTGGTTCATCTCCTCTCCTGTCACTTAACCCATGCACATATATCTACACCTAAGACCATTCTCCAAATCCCTGGTTGAGTGGCAGCCAGGAACAGAGACTTTTCCACGGTGGCACCCCACCTGCAGATGGCCCTTCTTTGACACGCTTGCCTGAAACTCACTTTCCTATCAGTTCAAGTCTTTTTTTTAAAAAAAAAAGCAGGGTTTTTTTGATAGTGCTAACTTTTCTCTGTTTTATTTCTTTTAAGCTAATGTGGGTTTTTAAGAATTTAGAGTTTTACCTTGACACACGCTCTTGGTTTTTTATATTTTGTAATCTCCACAGTTTTTCTTCTTTTGTAAGCTGCCCTTTGGAATGCCAAGTGGCTATTGAAGGGCATGTTATACATTTCAGGAATGAATGAATAAGTTTTTAAAGCCCATTGGGAGATCCAGTTACACGGTGTTTGGTCCAAAGAGAAATCTGCAAGTCAGCTTCCTGCCTCTTAGTTTGACACTCTAGCATTAAACAAGCAGGGGCAAGATCACTCTGAATGGGCCGCCTGAGATTGTATTTCTTTTTGTGTCTGTGATAATATATATGTGGCAAGCAGGAAGATAAACCTAGGAGCTGAGGTGTCACAGTTCTGATGTCATTTTTGTGGGGGAAACACCGTGTTTCAGTGCCCAAAGAATTGCTTTCTGCTCTCTGGAAGGTCACCTCTGTGCCTGGTGTAGAATGGCTAAATGCCCTTTAATCAAAAGCACTTTATTTGTCTTTATTTGAAAGTAGCTCACTGACTCCTGTCAACTCTTACAACCTGTTTTATAGGACTCTTGGTCACATCCCCATCATACATTTACAGCACTCTTATGCCACTTTTAACATTCATGGAGAATCCTGGGAACTGTAGTTTGTCAAGAATGCTGCCCTCACAGAGCTCCATTTTCTACCACGCTTAACAAACTACAGTTTCCAGAATTCTCCAGAGCTGTTAGGACTGCTATAATAAGTAGATGTGACTTTAGTCTGTGAATGGACACACCTAGAAACAGGGATGGGAGAAGAATTAATTTGGTTTGCATTTTGATATGAACCTGCCCAGTTCACATGGGTCTCCTTCAAAATTCACAGTTCTCTGAATTTTTCAGCGCAGCATACCAAAATGCACGTACTATTAGAGGAAAGGCAAATGCTTAGAAAAACTAGCATATTTCAGGAAATGAAGATGAAAATGTTTATGAATTTTCATACAGACTCTCTTTTTTTAATGCAAACATCTGGAAATGGGATAAAACTGAGACTGGAAAACTGAAAAAAGTTGACAGATTTGTCTTTCTCTACCTTGAAAACAGGGTATGCCACTCCCTTTTCCTACTGCAGCTCACACACACCCAGTGGCGTAGCGTGGGTTGTCAGCACCCGGGGCAAGGCAAGTAATTTGCGCCCCCTAACCCGTGGATTTTAGTAGGGGCAGAGAGCTGCAAGTGCGAGCGCCCCCCCAGATGTTGCGCCCGGTGCGGCCGGCCCCCCCTGCAACCCCCACGCTACGCCACTGCACACACCTCCCAGCCTCCATATTTACAAGCCTTTTAACAGACTTCCTAGCTGGCAAATCGAACACCAAATCACTCTACTATTTTGCCCATCCTTTCTCTCCTTCTCCAAAAAGAATGGTAGAAATCAATGTTTTATAAACTTTACCTAAAAGCTTCCATGAAGCGGGGAGGGGGGGGAGTGAGGAAGTTGTGACCCAGGGACATAATGGGGTGGGGGAACCAGTTAGCACCCACTCTCTGTAGCTAGGTTCCTTGGAAACAGGAAGAGCTGGTTGGTTTTCCCAGAGGTTGAACCTAAGGAAAAAGCTGTAGGTATACAGTGCAGTGAGTGCACTTTTCCAGAAACCTCACCTCTCAGGTTACATACATCTGTACGCAGCATTAGTCATTTTGTGAGGCACCTTGAGAGGCCTTTGTTGGATTAAAGGCAGGATAAAAGTTTCTAAACCAACTGATAAATTACAAAGAGGGTTCCTGATGCTGTCATGCTGAGCAGTGTACTTTGCGCAAGCACTGTGTGTGGGTGCCCTACTCTACTCCACCCCACCTCCTTGACGAAAGCTACAAATAAATACTTAGATATTGTTTTTGATTTAATTGGTGAGGTAACAGATGGAACAAATGGTTGGGAATGCTCTGTGAGAAAAATTCCTTTGTGGATTAGGAGGGTTAACTAGATAGCTGAACACAGAAGGGAAATGGGTGCGGAGGGAACAGTGCACGTTGCTTTTTATGGGCTGCCTGTGCAAAACACACCTTGCTTGTGGCAAAATGGAAACAGATGTTACACTTTTGATGAGCGGAGTTGAAAGTGTACATGTTGAAAGCCTGGCAGAGGGAGCTCCACTCGCAAATCCTATTATTTGCAATGATTTCTAACAGGATTTGTCTTTCCTGCTCTTCTTCCCCGCTCCGAACGCATCAATCTGAAAATGCCTTTCATGATGTCATCCGCTTTTCTTAATACCCAGTTCATTTTTCTTTCCCTCTATCACATCTGTGGTTCCCCCCCCCCCTTCTGATCTGAACTTTAAAGGGTAGGAAGAAGTCTATCCTCTTAGCCCCACGGATCAATTGCTCAAAGGGGAAGCATATTTTTCTAGCATAAAACAAACTGAATTGGATTTGAGAATATGTTTCTTTAAAATATACACTTGGCATCTGTAAGCCTATCAGCAAGGGCAGCTTCATTCTTTCAGTGGAACGAAATAAATCAGTCTTGGTGTTTCTAGTTCTGAGGCAGTGCTCTGGTAAGAGAAGCAATAATAATGATAATAAATAGGGAGAAGTTTCTACTATACTCTCCTTCTTGAGTTTGACCAAGAAGTACATACCATCAGAGGCCAGGTAAACAAAAGAAGGCTCGCTCATCAGTGACTGGAAAGTTAGAAATCACATTTAGTGGTGACCCAGAGCGCATCATTTCACTATTCCCCATGTAAGTGAATGATTTCTTACAATGGAAAACAAAATACTGCAGTTGGGGACAGCTTTGTGTGGGCCAGCTATTGAGTGCACGACTCAGGCAGTATTTTAAGTAGGAACTCACAGCACACATCCTTAACCACTTCAATTCTAAGTGGGTTTTTAAAAAGATAAATCCTGGTGTATCTACAGGAGTGCTGTTTATTTCAAATGTCATCCTTCCTACCTGCAGAACATACAAGCTGCCCATCTGGATGCAAAGGCCCCAAATCGTACGTTACTTGAAAGTAGCTCCCATTGACGTCAAAGAAAGCTTACTTTCCAGTTTGAAGCCAAGTGTGGAGTTTTAAGAAGAAATATTTCTGAAGTGAATAAGATTCCTAACTTTCTTCCTAACTTTCTGGGGCACTTTGAAATATATTTGGCCCAGATAACATTCACATGAGTTCTAATGGAACTTCTCTTTCTCTCTGAAGGCCATTCATGCTTCTTCCCCCACTGATGGAATGGATGCGAGTGGCTATAACGTATGCTGAGCACCGGAGGAGTTTAACAGTGGACAGCGATGATATAAGGCAGACGGCCAGGCTACTCTTACCTGGCTTGGACTGTGAACCTCGGCAGCTGAAGTAAGTATTGTGCTTTTATTGCTTGACCAAAAACAATCCAAAAAACACTGCTAAATTTAATCACTGGGTATTCTTGTGCAGCTTGTAGGTTTCAGACAATTTGTACACACACATGCAGAGGAAGACTGAAATTTGTCCAATGTTGCAACGAGTGTGTGTGTGTACCTAAACTTCAAGATCATCATTTGCCATTAAGAGACATTTCACACTAGCCAAATACCGTACCAATGGGCAGAGAACCTTTTTCTTTTTCTTTTGAGGGGCATATTCCCTTAGGAAAGTTTTTGGACTCTTAACTATTATCTGTCCTGGCCAGCAGAGCCAATGGTGAGGGGAACTGGGGTCTCCCAAGAATGGGAGATTACCACATTGGCTACTCCTCCTATGAAGTAATATTTTCTAAGACAGAATCAAAAGTGGGCGCCCCCTTTTCATGTGTGCTTGAAATCAGTCACGTGATCTGTGTAAACTGGGCAGACATTTAACCAATGGGCTTGCCTGTTCCTGTCATGTCAATGGCACTTATTTTGAGTAAATACACAAAGGATTGGTAGCAAAAATCCCAAACTTGGAAACTACAGCAATGGCTCAAAACTTTTCATGCTCTTCCATCTGCCTACTTTTATCATGGACTGGATTGAGATGGGTAAATGATCACATTTGGCACATGCATGACTTTGGCAGAGAATGCACACACTGGAAACTTAAAATGGGCCCCGGTGTCCCAGTGCGTGTGCCTCATATAAATGGAAATATCTGGCCCTTGGATCTCTTCTCAGCCTCTGCAGCCACATTCGCAGGCCGCAGCCCTCTTCCTGCCCTGCTTTGCACCATGCTGGAATGTTTTTGGCTGCCTGGAATGTGTCTTTGAACTCTAAAGATGCTTCTTACTTGCCTGAATGGAGACTAAAAGGGTTGTGCAGGTGTAGGGGGAGAGCAGCCTGCTGCACAAAGGAAACCCAGCCAGATGGGCGGGGTATAAATAATGAATATTATTATTACTATTATTATTATTATTATTATTATTATTATTATTATTATTGAAATCCACAGTTGTTGCTCTGTCCACCTTTGCCCCTTGCCCTGCTCAGTGCTGGCATGTGGCACCCAGGAAGCTGCCCAGAAGGGGATGCAGCCCTTGGCCTGAACATGGTTCCCCACTCCTTCCATTGCAGACTGTAGATAAACTCATAGTAAACAGCCATCTGTGTTTCAGACACTATTTATACTCTGGCAGTTTTGCAGGCGCTGGCAGTGGTCCTGGCATCACACAACTGCCACAATCGTCTTTAAATACAGAAAATATTTAGATTTTATAGAAATCTAAATATTTCTACACAATGATTTTGATGGTGAGATTAATTCCACTATTTATTGCTGCTCAGCGCAGTGTTTGTTGCTGATTATAAATACATCTTATGCACGAAGGAAGGGTTTTATTTATCTCACAACCTTCTATTGGATGCTGCTGCTGAGTCCCTGCTTGGCTTTGGACAAGTCATCAAACATGCTCCAGTGTGACCATTTGTAAATCTCGTAAAAGGTTTAGTATTCATTATGAGAAGAAAGGTACTGCAAAGATTAATCGTGCTTTTTTTATTGAACATTAAGATAGTTAGATGAAATGCACTGGGGAAAATATTAGCATTTCCCTTAGGTAGTCAGATGAATGAATTGCTCAAAAGTCACTGCAAGATTTCTTTCTTCTTAGTCAAGCTAACATTAATCTCACAAACAGAGAGATTGTGAATTTAATAGAGTGCTATATTTTATGGAACAAATTCTTTAATAGGGAGTTGAAACTAAAAATAGAATAAAACATCACACAGTGAGATTTCTAAAGCCCCTCTGCCCAACAGTAGACCTTAATGCATCTTCACAAACATCCTGTAAGGTAGTAAAAAATAAAATAAAAGCAGGAAACTTGTAACAAATAATAGAACAAGCATGTTGATGTGGCTGTCAACTTTCTGAAACTAAGCAGCTCCTAGTCTGGTCGGTGCTTGGCTGGGAGACTGCTGGAGAACGGCATGTGTGCTGCTGTGGATTCTATGATGGAAAAAAGGTGGGCTAAAAATGCAAGAAAATATATAAATGACAGCTCAGATGGCTTCATAAAGATCCTTCTTTCTCACCGTGCGACCTTACTCGTTAATTTCAGTTTAACAGGCCCAGTTTGCCTACACAGAAGACTGCATCGAATGAATGTGCTGGCCATGCGTGCAAGAGAACTGTCACATGGTCCAGTGTGTTAGATCTAGTCTAGAAAGGGCAGCACCATGCTATAGACTACATTGTAAATCTTTGGGCCGCAGATGGTTAGTGCCATTTTTTATTGCTTCACCATGTAAAAAAAAATCTTGCAAGTACAAAACTAGCATTCTGGAATGAGACATTATAGGTAAGCTTGCTCACTAATGCCAGTTTTCTAAGAGTATAGAGCTTTCATATGGGGGAGCATTCAGAAATATGATTCCCACCTACCAATGTGGCCCTCTGTGAAAGTTCAGAACAGCGCAAGGATTTATGCTTGCACAACACCACATTCCCTCCCCCCACCTCACCTTCTCCACACCTCTTCTAAATATGTTCTAGGGGTTCCCACAACCCTCTGGAGCTGATATGGGGAAGATGTGTGAAATGCATAGGGGGAGCAGGGGGAAAATCCTATTATTCAAGGAGATGGGATGGGGTAGTTGAGTACTGTTCCATATAGTACAGGAATGAGACAACTCTGATTTTCATTAGGTCATAAGGCCCTGCTTGATTTTATTAGAAGTGGTAGCTTTTTATTTGAAAGAAAATAAATTGAATCTTATAAAGCTTTTTCCTGGTTGTGTGGAAATATTTTTGTGTGAAAATATTTTTCCTCAGCTATCTGCAAACAAACAATTGGGGTTCTGGTGTGGGGTGTGTGGGTGTAAATGTTATGATACAAACAGAAATAAGTACAGACATCTTGTAGTAACGGGCTGCAGCTCTGTGGTCAGGGAAAGTCTGGGCAAAAGGATTAGTCTTTACAAGACATCTTAAGCAACTGACAGGTGATGTTTCACATATGGCAGAGGGAAGGGCATTTCAGAATGCAGGGGCAGTAGTGGACAGATTACTCCTGAGGCAATGTGGTGCTCAAAAGGGGAAAAGAGGTCGCCAACCACCTCTATTGATCTTCCCCCAGCCGAGTCAAACCAAGGCCTGCTGAAATTCAGGACTATAAATAATCATAATGGTAATAATACAACCCCCTTTAATATTAATAATATGGCCCTCTTTAATACCAGTAATGCACTGCTTAAAATTGCAGCTATATTTTCTGGCTATGTGTCCCCCACAGGCCTGAATGCTGCTTCAGTTCCTTCCGGAGAATGGATGCAAAGGCCGCCACTGAAAAATTCCAGCAGGATTTGGGGTTTCGAATGCTGAACTGTGGAAGGACTGACTTGATCAACCAAGCTATAGAAGCATTGGGTCCGGAAGGGGTCAATACAATGGATGATCAGGTATGTAGAAGGACGGGGTGTGGGTGTATCTAATATTAATTAGGCAGATCAGTATACAAAGCACTTACTGAGATAGCTCAGACACGGTCTCTTCCAGCTCTGTAGCCCTATGATTCTAAGTTGCAGAGGACGTTCCAGTTCGTGAGAACTGATACTCTTCCTTCCTGTTTCTGCCCACCATTATCACATTCTGGGGATTGGCGGACAGAGGCAATTTCATGGGCAGCAGCACCCAAGTAAAATTTCTCATGGGGCAACACAGCAGCAACAAGAACATCAGCAGGCACACACCCCTCAATCCACGGATGTTCTTTGGAGGTTGTCAACCATTATGGACGTGTTTGGACATGTTGACAAAGGGAAGGCAAAATGGCTGTATCCTGCTGCCATTTCAGGGACTCCAGTTGGTTGTGTGAAGAGGGGAGCCTATTCTTCTTGCAGAGTTCTCCCCTACAGCTAGGGCTAGCTCCCTAGTGCAGACCTTTGCCTCCAACTCATGGGGGGTGATGAGAATGGACAATGACAATGGGGCAAGTGAACAGACCTAGCATGCTCATCCCTCTCTCCCTTATGCAATTCTATCTCATGCAGTTAGTATTCCCAGATAAGGTTCCAAAGTGTGCCTATAAACTCCATGTGAGAATCTGAATCACAGGCTTTTTGATGGTCATTGCTTTTGGGCGTAGCAATCGAAGTTTGCTGACCACATGTTTTGTCCTTAAAGGGTATGACTCCACTCATGTATGCCTGTTCTGCTGGTGATGAAGCCATGGTCCAGATGCTGATCGATGCTGGTGCAAATCTAGATATACCAGTAAGTAAAGACTGAACCCAGGGACGCTGCCAGTTTAAGGTCTGACCAAGAACCATTGCTTATTATCCCTCAGAAACAGCGTCTTGTTTTGGGACGATTGCATGTACTGAAGGCCATTCTGAGAGAGAGAGATTTCCTTCTCTGAAAAATAATTGTTATGGATTCTAGAGCAATAAAGCTTAAATCACCTTCAAAGCTTGCCACAGATGAGATCATGATTAACAGTGGCATAGTAATGGGGAAATAGAGGGAGTAAATGTTTCCTCCCTGCAAAAGCAGCCTCTGAAGGAAACCAGTAGATGCAGTAGAAAAAACCCAAGGGATTGAATACACTGATTGGTGTTGGCAGTACTTTCTGAGTCGTGTCAGCCTGTCATTCCCAGGGGCCGTAATTTACTAGGGAAGTGCCACTCCCAGGCATTTTTAAGGGGAGAAGAAAGATGGCAGTGGCTAAACATTCTTTCAATTTTTCCTAGGTCCCTGGTAGTTCCTCCCGATACCCATCAGTTCATCCTGATAGCCGGCACTGGACCGCACTCACCTTTGCTGTGTTACATGGACATATCTCTGTAGTTCAGGTGAGCAAAAGACAAGTTTTCAATCTGCAGTTTGAAATAACAAGAAACAAAATGGAGATGCAGGGCATGCAAGTTCAGAAACTAGTTGCTTTTGGAACACATATCTATCCTGTAAAGATGATGATGATGATGATGATGATTTATCAACAAAAAACACAAACAGGATAGAGCATAGTTTTTAAAAAAATAACAACAGTACCAGGTCATCACACAAATAACAACATATAATAAACTTACTCCTAAAACGATTTCATGTGATCATTATATTTTGTCTACATATTATATTTATAATATACTTAATAGTGTATGTGGTTGAATATTTCCTTGCATTGTATTACATTACGAACACACTCCATTTTTCAATAACAAAGTTATTGACTTGAAGACCTTCCCTTACGCTCAGGATATTAATCAATTTTACTACATTCATTAACTCCCCAAACCTCAAAACCCATTCATCCTTTTCCCCAGTTATGACAGATTATCATATGTCTCTCTGTTAAAAAATAGATTACAATTTCTTTATCTTTCCAGAATATTAAATCTTTCACATAACCCAACAGCAATTAGGACTGGATCTGCAGACAGATCTACAGTATTATAAGTTGACTTGATTTTTCAGCTCAACACATGATCATTGGCATCTCCAACAAATATACCACACTAATAAACTTATATCAGTTTTGTATTACTTCCCAGCTTTCCAGAAGAAAGGAAAATTCAGCAAGTTTGCAGTGCTGATATGCTATGTCTGCAGTATAAATATGGCATAACATTTGTTCATGCAATGTTTTGCTCCTCATTATTTGTTTAACTGAAGGTTTTCATGGACCAGTTGCAAAGGTACCATCATTGATCGAAAGAATGATATATTTCGAAGGGATCTGCCCACAATATGATTGTTTTAAGATCAGGATTGATCACATGCTTAGTTACGGCAGGACAATAGAGACATCTGGAAATCCAGATCCTCTTGCTGTTATTAATTATATCTGGATACGGGAAGAATATGTGTAAAATCATTTGTGCATTTATAAAACAGTGGCATCGCACTGGTTATGCTTCTCCAGGCTCTTCCAGTAGTTCTAGCAGAATTGACCTTTACATGAAGAAGAGAAGTCTAAAAGTTTCCTCCCTCTTCCCAAGTAATAAAAAGAATGCCTGCAGTATGATCCTAAGTGGGTCTAGTTGGAAGTGTATGTAGAATTTCAATTTACAGCATAATTCCATACATGTCTACCCAGAAGTAGGTCCCATTGACTTCAGTGGGGCTTACTCCCGGGTAAGAGTGCCTCCACACTGAATAAGGAATGATGCTCCATTTATAACTAGCTTTTATTTGTTTAATTTCTTCTTCCAAGATAATGAGGAAGCAATATGAGCAGATATCTTGATAAGTATATTTGGTAGCTAGAATGTGTCTACATATTAAAAATTAGATTAATGAAATCTAACAATATATCCAGAAGTTGCAAAGCAACATGTTTGAAATGTTTCTTTAATATGTCATTGGAAAAACCAGTGTTGGTCATTCCTTACACTCCCAAACACGTCAGCTGCTGCCTTGTGCATGTCCTCTTTCTGCTTATATTGTCTGTGTTGTGGTCAAAGGCTTCGTAGAATTTGGATCCAATGATGTATTTAGGGCTCTTGAAATTCTGTTGTTATCTCCATTTAATGTCAATAGGAATTTAAAATGAACAACAGCAAGTAGTCAGTCACAGGTAGAGATTTTCCTGTTTCTGCTATTTCTGTTCACATAAGTTAGCAAGCAATTGTGGACAGAGTTCATTCAATTTCGAATTATACATAAATGCAAATGTCCATGCAAATGAGATTTTGCCTTCAAAGACTTGGAACATTGCCAATGCACTCTTTAGTATTGCAAAGGCCGGGCACACTTAATTTACACATGCAATGATAATAAGCGTGTTTTGCCCCAGAGACACCACTGAGAATCCTGTCAACAGAACCTTTCAGAAGAAATGAAGCCTTGGGCTTTCTAAGCCATGTTTTTGTTAACTGCAATTAATGTTTACTCACTCCCTGTTGTTCAGTGGTAAACATTTAATCTTTGGAAGCTCTGTTTTTCAGATGTCTTCAGTGACCCATGGGAATTAATTGTAGGACCGATTCTGCAATAGTAATAATAATAATAATAATAATAATAATAATTATACCCTGCCCATCTGGCTGGGTTTCCCCAGACACTGGGCGGCTCCCAACAGAATATTAAAAACACAATAAAAGATCAAACATTAAAAACTTCCCTAAACAGGGCTGCCTTCAGATGTCTTCTAAAAGTCAGGTAGTTGTTTATTTCCTTGATATCAGAGTAAACACAATGTGGGCAGATCCTATGGACACACATGCTTGGATTACTCAGTGGTAGTTGTGTAACTGCCACATGCAGCTTTGAGGAACATTCAGATGTACAAATCAAAATGCTCCTTTTAACGACAGCATTCCCCTTTTCATATTTTTGTAATGTTTCATTGAAGAATGTACACACTGAGACCTTTAGAGCTGGTAAACAAGAAGGCAGTAAACATAAGTAAACTTGAAGGAGTTTTCTGCACAGCATTCTCCAATAAGAAGAGAGGTGGATGCTATGAGCCTAGTACAGTGGACCCTCCAGATACGAACTTAATGCGTTCCGGGAGTCTGTTCGCACCCCGAAAATAACATAAATAGAGGTGTGCTTCTGCACACACACACACGGCACGATTGAGCACGTCTGCGCATGCGCGTGTGGCAAAACCCGGAAGTATACACTTCTGGGTTTGCCGTGGCCGTAACTCGAAGATTCCATATCCAGAGGGATACGTAAGTAGAGGTACGATTGTAGTGGATTTCTGCTGAGGGAGGTTACTCTTGTACTTTTTCTGTTGCTCTGTTTCTTGAGTTGTTTGTTCCTACTTGCGTTTGCAGTTGCTCCTGGATGCTGGCGCCCACGTCGAAGGCTCTGCTGTGAACAGTGGAGAGGACAACTATGCAGAGACCCCACTCCAGCTGGCTTCAGCAGCAGGCAAGTCTGAGCAAGCCTTGCATTTTCACTCCCCAGAAGCAGGAATTTGCTCTCTTAATGCGCAGTAGGTGTCAAAACACATAAAAGTGGGAAGAAGCAATGTTTTCAAAACTGCCAAATGCATCTGTTCCCGCACCCTTCAATATTTTTAAGCTGACAGCTGCTGTCATGCAATTGCTGACTGAGCATTCTGTGTGCCCGGTAGGGCACTGGGATGATGTGTAAGTTGCGCCATGTGAACAAGGCTGTGTGTGACCCAAGTGGAGGCATGTCCATCCGGTCTTCTTCATCCTATTTCAGGGGGAATGGTCATAGGTGTCTGCTGTACAAATGCGCAAAGTTGTATACTCGTTTCCTAGGCTGCACATTCTCTTGTACACTCAGTGGGACGTGCCTCACCCTACATACAGGTTTCTCTGCTCACGATGTGTGAACTGGCCATATGTGGGTTCTTTTATACCTGGATCAGCTGTGTGTCATTTACTGTACAGCATTTTAATGTGTGGTGTGCATCAGTTAACCTATAACCCATTTTCTCTCTATGAATGAACACATAAATCAGATGGTTTCTATACAGTATAGTATATCCTTTGAAAATATCAATAAAGGTAAAATGGTTTGTCTTTCTAGGCAATTATGAGCTAGTCAGCTTGCTGCTGAGCCGGGGAGCAGATCCCCTTCTAAGCATGCTGGAAGCCAATGGGATGTCCTCATCGCTTCACGAGGACATGAATTGCTTTAGCCACGCCGCTGCACATGGACACAGGTAAACCTCATGGACAGGCACTCATTTGCAGACAATGATGCTTAAAATGCCAAGTTAACAGCGATGGACTGCACTTCAAGGTGGTTGTACACTATTTCCCCTCTCCCTCCAGCAATATGGGTATAACAAGACCAGGGGCATTTTGCAAGGCTGGCATAACCCACACTCTCTTAGCCACTGCTCTGCCCTCTTCAATATAGGCATAATAAGGATGAACTTTATTGCAATTGACGGTCAGGGACTGGGCAGAGGAGGAATGGTGGAGACCACCTCCACATCCCGACCATTCCAGGGAGGAGGAAGACAGAATAGATTTATGACAGGGGTTTGAGGAAGGTAGCAGCTTAGAGGCAGATGAGGGGGGAAGTTGGGAAATCATGGGAGAGCCAGAACAACACTCAGCTGACTTGTCGTTAGAAAGTATTCCAGCCCCTCCATCTCCCAGAACCCAGAGAGCCTTGAAAATAGGAAAGCAAAGAACTCAGAGACAGAGGGCACATAGCAGCACTCGTAGAGCAGATGATGAGAATGACGAGTGAGGAGGTGGGAGAGACGGAGGTTGGAGATTCACTCGAGACAACGCCATTATCCAAGAGGCTGGGCTCAATAGCCTCTCTGTGTAAATACTGAATAAAAAAGGACAGTAAGAAATCTTCCTTTGTCTTTATACTTTCCTGGGCAACAGCCGGGAGTTGCTGACAGCATCCTGACATTGACATTAACAGAGTATTTTTTTAAAAAGTTTACAAACACAGAAGAAAACAACATTTTTGTATGACATAAGTCCCAAGTTAGGAAGATCGTGAACTCATGTCTCTGCTGCTATATTTTGCTTTTGACTTCACTCCCCCAATCACACCTATGTTAAAATCATGGGTACCTGAACTACAGAATATCAATTACTTCTTCACTAGGAAAAAGCAGCAGAAAATTTCACTATCTGTTGCTTCTTTCTGGGAAAAATGCACAAGGAGAGCATACAGGAGAGATAAATTTGTGCCCTCTGTAGTCATACAGAAAACGTCATGTGCCCAGCTTGTGCGCAGAGAGAACAGCGGCAAGCAGTAATTTAGATCCACCACTAACAGTTGGTGTGGCTGTCGTGTAAATTTGTGTGGTGCAGTGGAATGTGGACCTGCTGAGCTATGAAGCTCATGGGGTGGCTGTAGATTGTTATGATGGTAAAGGAAGATGAACCCATGCATGCTTCTCTTGCTCTTTGGGGGAAGAAGGGGATACAAATTGGGGTAGGTGGGTGGGAAACACAGATAGCCTTTGGACAAAACAATAAGTATGCAGGCACTGAAAGGATTTAATGTTGAATTCTGCTTTTATAGTTATCCTGCTGATATGAAAAGGCACTTTGCCATCTTTAAAGCATATCTGTGGAGATAAGGGTCTATTAACCCAAACTTCTCACATATCCTGGAATGAGCTTATACTTTAGCCCTCTTCAGGCAATACCTGTACGTGTTAAGTAAAGAGGTGAGGGGGCAATGAGCATGTAGCTCTGCCACCGCTACTCCAGTTGCCATTGGGATCACCTTCCACAAGCAGGAGGGCAATCTTCTGAAGTGGGCAGACTTCTGTACCCATGGAGTACATTCTTGTATGTTTTAGAATACAGTGGTACCTCAGGTTACAGACGCTTCATGTTACAGACTCCACTAACCCAGAAACCAGTACCTCAGGTTAAGAACTTTGCTTCAGGATGAGAACTGAAATCGTGTGGCGACAGCAGGAGGCCCCATTAGCTAAAGTGGTACCTCAGGTTAAGAACAGTTTCAGGTTAAGAATGGACCTCTGGAACGAATTAAGTTCTTAACCTGAGGTACCACTGTAATGGGGTTTTCAAGATCTGTGTGGAGCCTCCATGGGTACAGGAAGCTCTCTTCTTCAGACAGTCACTCAGCAACTTGTGGAGGGCCACAGGTTCGATGGGGAATATTGCTATAGCACACTCATCTCTCATGCCCCACCCTCCACACCCCATGTTTAACAAATACAGGATCTGAACACCTGAAGAGAACCCGTTGGGATACCACACCCAACCGCGAATAGCATCTCTCATTTTCCTTTCTTGCAGAAATGTTCTGCGCAAGCTCTTGACCCAGCCGCAGCAGTCCAAGGGAGATGTCCTCTCGCTGGAAGAGATTTTAGCAGAGGGCGTGGACAGTGACACCTCCAGCCAAGGAAGCTCCAACGAGGGCCAGGTTAAGCTATGCAAAGCCAGGATGAAGGCTTTGCAAGAGGCCATGTACTACAGTGCTGAGCATGGCTACGTCGACATCACAATGGAGCTCAGAACGCTTGGTAAGGGGAGCTCATTTCCGGACACATTGCTTCAAGAATAACAAGGCCTGTGATTTTAAGATATGGGAGCATTCCCACTCTGTCTATAAAATTTATTTATTTATTTATTTATTTATTTATTTATTTATTTATTTATTTATTTATTTGAGGTGTTTTAGTACATCTTATATAATGGGCGAGATTCAACCACTGAGTTCCATCAGCAGAAGCCCTGAACAAGGACCTCTGTTTATGGGTGGGGTGCCCCCTTCTTGTCCCCCCCTGTATGCCCCTGCACTCCCGAAATTGGATCTGAGGGGTAGGGATAAAACAGCATGTGAGGGATCGCTCTATCCGGCAAGCCAAAATGCTTGCACCACTGGAACGATTGGAAGAGTGCAGCGTTGAATTCCTCTAAATATGTTTCTAGAATACATTACATAAAACTTTAATAAGTCAGCACCTGCCTGAAAGCTTACATTCTAAAAGGCAAGACAACAGAAGTAGTGGAGAGAGGAAATATTTGCATTTCTGTGTTTATCCATATTTTATTTATTAATTATAGTGTTTCTGAAGTAGAAAGAGGGCCCTCTTTACTGTTGGAGTAACACATGAGAATTGCAAAGTAACAGAACGTTGCCCTGTGATTTCTCAACTTTTAACATTTGTTTGCACATTCTAAAAGCAGAGCAAATAAATAAATAAATACAGATCTCCAAGATTTTTTACAATCGTTTCACATCTGTTCCTAATTTGATCCATGCCAAAGAACTCACTGTGTTTGTTGTAAACATCTAGTTGTAGCAATGTTCAGTTTTAGAAACAATGTATAGGACATGGGTAGGAAACCTAAGGTCCGTGGGCCGAATGCGGCCCAATCACCTTCTCAGTCCGGCCTGCGGACGGTCCGGGAATCAGAGTGTTTTTACATGAGTAGAATGTGTGCTTTTATTTAAAATGCATCTCTGGGTTATTTGTGGGGTATAGGAATTCGTGTGGGTTTTTTTTCCAAAATATAGTCCGGCCCCCTGCAAGGTCTGGTTGGCAGTGGACCGGCCCCCTGCTGAAAAAGTTTGCTGACCCCTGGCATAGGAAAAGTAATCTGGGAAAGCTGAATACCTGTTTGTATTGCATTGAATTAATATTGAAGTTCCAGCAACCTGTCTCAGTTATGCGAAATATATAATTGCTGAATAATAAACTGAACTTCAATGATCACATAAACTTCTGGCAGTAAATAAATAAGGAAGCTGTTTTTGGCATTAACACAATCTTCCTGAAATCAGGGTTGTTCACAGTTTCTTAGCCACAGATCTATAAATGCTTACGTGCTATACAAAGTAAATACTTAAAACTTCAGGATAGCTCTATTCTTTAAGCTGAATTACCATCTCCTCATAAGAGCTCATAGAAGCATGACTTGTCCTGTCAAAAACAATGCAATTCTTTTTCTGTATTAGAACTGAACACACCAGCTGAAGAATTCTGGGCTGACCAAAGGCAGAGAAAGGCCATGATTCTATAGTTAAAATAGTTGTGTATAATATGTCAATTTCTCACCCCTGTCTAACTAACCACATATGCCAAAAATTATTCTTCCATACAACTCTTGAAGTGGTGGGAGTCCTGCCTTGTTTTGCATTTAGTCATTATAATGACAAATAAAAAAGTGCAAGTGTGGTAATAGCCTTAAGCAGACTGGTTTCATAGAAACATAGAATTGTAGAGCTGGAAGGGACCGCAAGGGCCATCTAGTTCAACCCCCTGCAATGCAGGAATCTTTTGCCCAACATGGGGCTCAAACCCACAACACTGAGATTAAGAGTCTCACTGTGGTCTAAACTGAGCCTCTAGGGCTTGCCAATCAGGTCGGCGGTTTGAATCCCCACAATGGGGTGAGCTCCCATTGCTTGGTCCCTACTCCTGCCAACCTAGCAGTTCGAAAGCATGCCAAAAAGTGCAAGTAGATAAATAGGTACCGCTCCGGCAGGAAGGATTCACCAGAAGCGGTTTAGTCATGCTGGCCACGTGACCCGGAAAAACTGTCTGCGGACAAACGTCGGCTCCCTCGGCCAGAAAAGCGAGATGAGCGCCGCAATCCCAGAGTCATCCACTACTGGACTTAACTGTCAGGGGTCCTTTACCTTTACCTTTATTAACTTCAGTGGGTCTGCTCTGAGTAGGACTAGTTTTATATACAACCCACTATGTCTATCATACATTGCAAGTAAATTCCCCAGAGACATCTGGTTAGAATATTGAGAAGAATCGTTTGGTTTGATTCAGCAAAAAAAAAATGTCTATTTTCTGCCTTTTCTTTTGCTGCCATCAATTCAGAGCTTTCTCCATGGTAAAATAATCATTTTTGCTTTCTAATGAATGGCCACAGGAATCCCATGGAAGCTCCACGTATGGATTGAGTCACTCCAAACAACTTTTTATCAGTCTCGTTACTCAGTAGTGCAGAATCTTCTACGGGAATTCGTCACCATTAAAGAAGAAGACTACAATGAAGAGCTGGTTAATGATGGACTGCAGCTGATGTTTGAAATCCTCAGAACCAGCAAAGTAATCAGTTTCAAAACTATATTCAGATATGCATTGTTTGGCTCAAGAAAATCTTCGGCACCTTCCAAGGGCTCTGTAGTTTGCTTGGGGGGAATCAGTGATGTGTGAGGATCCCAGTTAATTCTGGAAGCAGGGGACAATACCATGCTGTGTTTACTTGAGCCTGATTAACACAATTTTGCCAGGGATCAAATGTAAAAGGTCTCAACAAAGTCTCCATCTAAGCAGAGACCCTCCTTCTAATAGTAATTGAGATACCTGTAGTGAGTTTGCTCTAAAAGGGTTTCATTAAAACACACACACACACACACACACACACACACACACACACACACACACTATTTAGCTAAAATACTTTTATTCTGCCTTTCTGCCACATAGTTGCATACATGGAAATTTAAATGCGTGTAATTTGCAAAGATCTAAATAGTTACACTGCATTATACAGAAGTAGGTAGACACTTCAAAAGGATAATAGAGGGCCTAGTCTTACTCCAGCTCAAGCAATTCACAACTAGTTGCAAAAATCACCCCTCCCAGCTGTGGAGTCACATGCCTATATACATGAAAAAAGACATCTAGCTCACATAGTGGGGTCCAGATTTGTAGAGAGATTCCAGTAAGAATGGATTTAAAATTAGCTCTGTTTGAACCTTACACTCCTTGTCCTTCATATTCCTCTATATACTGTAAGGGAGCAGCAAGGAAAATAGGCAGCTTTTATCTGTCTGAGATTGGTCCTTACAGAGCTCTAATGATCTCCATTCGTTCTTATTCACAGAATGAGTCTATCAACCAGCAACTTGCCTCTATCTTTGCTCACTGCTACGGAAGCAGCCCCATCCCTGGCATTCCTGAAATCAGGAAGACACTTCCAGCACGCCTAGGTAAGATGATCACCAGCCGAGATTTTGAGGGTATTGTTTTTGACTGTGAAGCCTTGCTAAACCATTTCCTCCTCCTCTTCTTCTTCTCCTTCACAGATCCTCACTTTTTAAATAACAAAGATATGTCCGATGTTACTTTTCTAGTGGAAGGAAAACTGTTTTATGCGCACAAAGTTCTTCTGGTGACTGCTTCAAACAGGTGAGATACTTAGGAAGTGGCACATGATACCTTTGCAGAGTCATTCCAAGATCAAGAAAGATGAATGGTTGAGTTGCTTACTCAAAGAAGTAATCCCTATTTTAGTTTTTCACAATGCCAACCTGTCATTTCTTTGAACATGGATGCAAGGAAGCATCGCTGTCTTGGCAGCTGTATTCTCCTCCATACGTGTTAGCCTGTGTATCTGTCACATCCGATCTACACATTCATGTGAACCATTCTTCAGCTTTTATTGATAACTTGAAATACTTAAGCTGTAGAAGGAGGATTAATGGATGGTTGCAGCTCAGAATGGCAGAGAGCAAGGCCAGAGGAAGGCTTTTCTTCTTTCAAGGAGAATAGGACTAAACAGGATTAGATATGGTATGTAGCAGGCATGGGAAACCTACTGCCTGTGGGTCTCATTAGATCTAACATAGCTTCTGGTTTTGGCCACAAGACCATTTTCTCAACCAGAACCAGCTGCCCATTACCTGTTGTCAGGTGCAGGGCAAGTAAAGGTACTGATGAAAAGGAACAACCTCAGGAAGGTTAAACTGTGCTGCCGATTGTTACTTGGAAAACATGCCCAGCATTCATCTCCTTTAAAATTTGACACCAAACCCAAGCCCCACTGGGATTGGTTTCACTTTGGAAGTTTAGATCAGGGCTCCAGAGGGGAGCCCATTCCTGCTGAAAGCAGGGCTTGCAGTCAGTGATGCAAATGCAACCCCCATTGGGACTGTCTGTACTTGGATGCAATCAGCTGATGGACAAGTATTTCATGTTTCACTTTCACCAGAGTTGGATAAGATCACATATTAGCCAAAACCAGGCTTTGAAGGACAAGGGGAAATAATGAGAGGCAGGAGGGCGCATGCAACCCCATGGTTTGTTCCCAGCCTGGCCTCATGTTAAAACTTAATCAGTCCTTCATAACTTTTTTTGTATACCAGGAGCTAGTAAAAAAAATGGTTCTACCTACATATTTTTAATTCTGCCTCTCCCATAGATGTTTCTATCAGGAAAGAAGGTGTCATTGAAACTCCTCAAGCTATAGGCCCCTTTTTCACTTCACGTATAGAAAAATAATCTAAGCAAACGCAGCTTGAAAGGCTCTTTCTGAAATCTTTCCTCTTGCTTTCATAGGTTTAAGACACTGATGACCAATAAAACTGAACAAGACAGTCAAGGTAGCAAGACTGTAGAAATTAGTGATATGAAGTACAGTATCTTCAAGGTATGTATTTAAGAATAATCTGCACTGTTGCCCTTTTCAAATGCTAAAACTGAGTGTGATTCAGAGGCATCATAGTCTTAAAAGTTTCAGGTTTAGGGGACCTGTCATTCAAAAGAATTAACAATATTGGCTGAAGAAGTGGGTTTTGCTTATGTTCAAAAGAAGAAACCAATATAAATGAACTCCAAAATTCATTCATCAAACTGAGATCTACCCAAAATTCATTTGTCCAACCAAACGCTTTACTCCGTCCCCGGTTACTTGTTGATGTGGGCAAAGTAGCTTGTGAATCAGAGATTGCTGAAATGCTCAGCAGCAGTTTTCATGTCATGGTGTCACTTTTTGCATTGGTGATGAACTGCTATTACTTTTGTCCATGACAAGCAAATTTATACCAGAGATAACTGGGACTTCTAGCACAGCTCAAACTGTACTTGTGTAACAGTCACCAAAATCTGCTGGAAGTTACGCGGCATAATTTTTATGGCATGTTAAGCAAGTTAGGTCTGAATAGAGTCAAAAAATGTACAGCCTTTGTGTTGAATCTGTTTAATGGTCAAAAGGTTAAAAGGGTTGGAATATTTAACTTTTACTCTCTTTTTCAAACATCTGCAAACCTTAATGTCCAGTCTGTCATGAAAAGGGAGAGTTGGCATTGGCATATAAACAAAAATATACACCACTGAAATCCAGCACTCAGGAGCTCTTCCCACTTTCCAGATCTGTTTTTAAAGATCTACAGGAAAATGTGTTGAGGCTGGAAAACTGAAAGCCTAAAAGTAACATTCTGTGGAACTGACACAAGGATCCGTTTATTTGCACTCTTTCCTCAGCCATCAATCACTTATTTTTTGTGCTTTGGCTATATAGGAAAAATGCAATTGCAGCTCAGTTTGCAAAGTGGAGACATTCTGTATTTTAATCTCGAGCTGAGCTGTAATTGCTATGTTTGCATCCAGACTTTGCTGGCCAGACCGGTCCATCGCCAGAGTTGAATAGTAAAGAGCTTACATGGAAATTAATATTGCATATTGCACTTGCTTTAATTTATAATCACTGAAAGTTTCTGTATTGGGAGCCAAGTTGCTGTGTGAGTTTCCCAAGGCAAACCTGTGAGTTCGTATTTCTCACTGCTTTGGCTGTGTTCCTGTTTCAGATGCTGATGCAATATTTATATTATGGAGGAACAGAATCTATGGAAATTCCTACTGCTGATATTTTAGAGGTGAGAGCATTTCTCCCAATCCCTTTCGGTCTATTGCAGTGGTTCTCAAAGGGTGTGGCAGGAGAGGATGGTAAGTGTGGCAGGAAGATTCAAGGACAATTACAGAAACATTTAAACATTTCACTATAGTATAGTATAGTATAGTATAGTATAGTATAGTATAGTATAGTATAGTATAGTTTCACAGATTCCCCCCCCCCCCCTGCCCCAGAATATGGATAGGTATCTTTTCAAAATGAGAGCAAGAGCATCAAGTGATTCTGAGGACAATCCTGGTTGCCATTTATCATTATATTTTGGGAATGATTCATGTTCTTATGTAGCTGCATTGTTTTATACTTTCTGGGTGTCCTATGATCGTGTTATAAAATAGTCGTGCTCTATGTTATAAATCAAGCACTTCTAGGAGTTGTTTCTTTATGTTTTCCAATGTATTTCTGATCAATAAGAAATTTGGTGTGGCGTGAGCAAATACTTATTCTGAAAGTGCGGCCCAGAGAAAAAAAAGTTTGAGAACCACTGGTCTGTTGTCATCTTGTGCTGGTTCAGGATTATTTATTTATTTATATACCAATAAACCATAAGCACACTTCAAAGTAGTTTGCATTAAAAAGACACAATAAAAGCCTTCAGAAGTTAAAAAGAATTTACAAAGGAAAAGGTTAAAAACAAGCATTGTGGAAGGATGAACTCTTAATTCCCTGCATAGGACTGATGGAATAGAAATGTTAGTATCAATAATATTGAGGACATGTATCTATACCACAAAATTTGTGCTTTGAGTTTGGAATGATATATTCTGAAACCAAAAGAGCACTTCACTGTTTAGGGAAGCTTTTAATGTTTGACGGACTATTGTATTTTAATATTCTGTTGGAAGCCGCCCAGAGTGGCTGGGGAAGCCCAGCCAGATGGGCGGGGTATTAATAATAATAATAATAATAATAATAATAATAATGGGATGAGGAAAAGTGATGCTCTGAGGACAGATAGTCCACTTTGTGGCTCAGTGACTGGAAATGGGGAGCCTGTAGACTAGTTGATCTGTGCATTTATGTAGAAAATTAATAGTACAAGGTTCAAGTTAGGTGGAAGTTCATTTTTGTCAATTTAACATACTGGGCCAGCTAGATTAAAATCTACAACCAGGTTGTTATAATTTACAAGCATGGCCAATCAGCAAGGATGATGGGAGTTATAGTTCAGCAGCCCCTGGAAGGCCAAAGGTTCCCCCCACACCCCGGGTTAGATGCTCCAGTTTTGGAATCTGGGGAGCATTATGTCTGCTGTTTCTTTTTTTCAATCTGTATTTGCCGCTTACCTCTTATCCTGATGTTTTAAGCTGTTATTTTTAAAGGCTAGTCCATGTTTCCAACTGTATCTTATTGCCCTGTTTGTGAGATTCATTGAAACAAAACGCAGTTTAGAAGAGCATCCAGCAAATAAAAGCGATGTGATGCGCAGGTGTGAAAACTCAAAATGTGATCATATTGCATCACAGCATGAGTAGGGAGAGTTCATTATGGAAGAAAGTGGCACAGACATGCCATGACACACTCGTGTTGCAGCTGGTCTAGACTAGTTGAGGATTGCTCCATGCTGCTTTATTCTGTATTGTTTTGCTTTGAGGTCAAGGCTGTTCACTTTTAACTTTTTCTACAGTACCAATCAGTGTACACAGAGCCTTAACTGAAAAATAATAACAGTGTGACAAAAATAGGCAGGAGATTGCAATTGGCAACAGGGAAACAAAAGAGAAAGGGGGGAAGAGAGAAAGGGGCAGCAACAGAGAAATGTGGGGTAAATGCAGCTTTACTTACTTAAAACCCTTTAAAGCTCAGGGGAGGATCAAGGACTAATGGCAAGGGTGAGATTTAAAGAAGGGATTTGAAGGAGATAAAATACTACATGCACCTTTAGGAAGGGTGTATGGGATAATAGGTAGAGTCACAACAGAGTGCAATAGACCTTTGGGAGGCTGAGATTGGCTCGGTTTAAGGAGCAGAGATTGTGAGGGAAGCAAGCAATTGGGTTTTAAGAAGGAGGCTTCACACTGCCTAAGTGATGAGTGTGATAAATGAGTTTGGAGGCAGCATTATAGACTGAGAAACTACTGAATGATTGGGGGAGGGAGAGAAAATGGCAGTCATCGCAGACACAGGTGAATGGCCAGAGCATAGCAGAATTTAAGCTGACCAGACCGAGAGAAGTTGGAGGGCTTTGGGGGAGAAGTGACACAGCTGTGTAACCAACGCAAAGGAGAGGGAGATCTTAGAGATAAAGCCAAGGCTGCCTACGTGGTCAGGAGGAAAGGTTGCTGAGAGATATGGAGAGTAATCAAGGAGAATTAGCCCTGGCAGGAAAGATAAGCAGTTCAGGCTGATACACATGGAATTTGAAACAGCGATTAGACATTCAGGTTATTGGACAGGGAAATGGAGGGGGAGAGGTGTGGGGTATACAGTTCCAGTTCCCTATAACTTTGGAGGGCTTAAACCTGATCCAGCCATTCAGATACACACATAGTACAGTACTACACATAACTGGACCGCCTCATAATATGTGTGGGGATTATTTCTTGAGTGGACTCCGTGACAAGTTCCATCCGCGCAGAATGCTAAGAGCCATTGTATGCAATACTTAAAATAGATGGCTAAATTCTGGATTTTACCGCTGTGCAGCACATAGCCAAGCAATTGTTTTTTAAGTGTTCCTCTTATAGAAAGCTCTGTAAACAGTAAAACTAGTACATCCATGGAGAGAGCTGAACTAAACTTCTTAATGCCCTGGTTTCCTACATGCATTGCATTTTGTTTTGTTTTGTTTTGTTTTGTTTTGTTTTGTTTTGCTTTGTGAGGGAATACACCTTCAGTCTAAAGTGGGACAGCTACCAAAACACTCTTACATCTTACTCAGTGTTATCTGTGGACTTAATGTCCATATTGAATTAACTGGCACAACTCCCTGACATTTCTCTCTCTCTAATAGACAAGAGAAATTATGACAGGGGCATTTTCAGGCAAGTTAACCCTCCTGCAATCCAAAGGAGGATTCTACCATCTGTAGAGCTGAACATTTTGATTAAGGCTTTGGGAGATGCTTCCTGACCCATTAATGCTGTAGCTCAAGAATAAGGAAAAGCACCAATTACACAGCTCAGTTTTGCAAGGAAGTTGGAAGGCTGTGCAAAAACAAAACAAGTTTCGGTTTTGCTTCCTTGATGTGCACAGCTTCCCTTGTCAATCACCCGCTGTCATCTTCGTTGACTTCTCTTTCATCCTCACTAGCTGCTCTCGGCTGCCAGCCTATTCCAGTTGGACGGCCTCCAGCGACACTGTGAAATACTTTGCGCCCAAACCATCAGCACCGAAAGCTGCGTCAACATCTATAAATATGCCAAGGTAAAGGACAAGTCCTCTTCCGTTCAGCCTCAATAAGACTTGCAAGTGTTTTCAGGTGCTGTGAATGTAAGAATAGCCCTGCTTGATCAGAGCAAGGAGTAATCTAGTTTTGCTGCTTGTTTCAATCAGTGGCTGGGCAGCTTTGCTTTTGGAGAAGTCCAGAAGGACACAAAGGACACAGTTCACCACTTCTTGCTTGTCCACAACAAGCAAGTATGCTGTATTTGAATTATGTCGACTGAGCAATCCCAGGCGAGATGCTCCTCTGCATAGAAGAACATTAAGGGGTGGTATTTGATTAAATAATACAATGAACGAAATGACTTCCCACTTGTGCCCACTCCACTCACCATGTCCACCCCCCATCTGTTCCTCTAGAGCAGATTTGGGGGTGGCATAGGGTATACACAGAAGAAGATATAATACTTCTCTCCTTCAGAAGAAGGAGAGAAGGGAAGTCCCATTGCACAAGCAGAGGAGTTGTTGCGTTGGCTCAGTTATTTAGTTGAATGCCACCCACGGAAAACTGGGATGTCAAATGGCAGATGAAGTTGATGGACTATATGGAACTGGCGGAAATGACTGGCAGAATCCGAAACCAGGGAGAAGAGTCGGTGGAAGAAGACTGGAAAAAATTTAAAGACTATTTACAGAAATACTGTAAAATTAATGAATGTTAGAAAAATGTTGGAATGACGTTATATGGCTTTAGTAGAAACGTTATAAGGAATTAAGTATAAATAGATTAATAGAGTATTAAAGGAAAAAATAAGGTTAGAATGAGTTAAGATAATTTTAGGATAGAAAACAGAGAAAGATGGAAAGGAATTGCTGAAATAATTAACAGAAGTGGAATACAAAAAGGGAGGTATGAGGAGGTCGTGGAAATAAGTGAATGAAAGATGGGATAATGAAATTGTTTGATTTATTTTATTGTTTTTGTTTTGTTTTGTTAGTATAATGTATTGCATTGTATTGTCTTTTTAGTGTTTAAATTTTTGGAAAAGTAATAAATATTATTTTTAAAAAGAAAAAAGAAAACTGGGATGTCAGTGACATTGTGCCATGGAGAAAGTTTCTAGCAGTCCATCTTCTAAGCTCCCATTTGCAGTGTGAAGTGGTGCAGCTAAGGCACAGACTTGCCACTTTGCCGCTCGGAAAAAAGGAGAGGAAAGGCAGTGTTGTTGTAATGATGCACACGTTATCAGCAGCAGCAAATACAGTGATACCTCAGGTTAAGTACTTAATTCGTTCCGGAGGTCCGTTCTTAACCTGAAACTGTTCTTAACCTGAAGCACCACTTTAGCTAATGGGGCCTCCCGCTGCCGCTGCGCCACCTTAGCACAATTTCTGTTCTCATCCTGAAGCAAAGTTCTTCTGAGGTACCACTGTAGTCTTAACAAGTTAGAGTCAACTAATTGTTAGGCCTTGTTCATAAATCCTACATTGGTCTATCTTTCTGTGGCAGGATTCCTATTCCACAAGCAGCTCCATGGCTTGTAGATGCTCAGCAGATGTTTTCAATCAACACTGCATCTTCCTTCTAGGGAAAGTGTCACTTGTTTAATTTCTGCCCAGCACCCCATTATTAAAAGCACCAGAATCATGTTAAGAAGCAGGCAATAACTCCAGCATGAACCGGGGTATGATGCAGGTGTTGCATCAGGGTGACACAAGTGACTAGGCCTGGTATATCCAACACCACAACCATTTTTCAAATATTTATTGCTTCTTCGTTGGAACTTTCACTTCTATGAACTGGGAAGGTGGTGGACTTTATGACGCCCATATTATATTTTTAAGGATGCTGTGGAAGGGAAACACCAGAAACAGACTCCCTCATCATACATACTTTTTATCAAGACATATCATCAGAACGTTTTTCTACCAATGAGGTGGCAGCCCAGTAGAATATAAATAATCAGGGGCTGGAACCATCTTTCCCAACACAGCAGCAGGGTACCTTAGAGTAGCTCTTGTGTGTTCTATTAAACATCCACTTTTTCTAAGGCTCATCGTATATGCACAGAATTTCTTTGACTGCTAATACCATGTGCCATCTGGTACTGCTCATTATGCTCTCGTGGGGTGCCACATGGATTGCACCCTCACATAACAAAACAGGTATCATCTTGGCTATTTCATTGACCAGCTGCTCTTTTCCTTTAAGAGTTACTTGACTTTGGCTCAACAAGCAGCAGGAGATCACAAAGGGATTAGAAAGAGGGAGACTTTTACCCTCTTTAAAATATCCCAGTAGAACTGCCCCCCCCAACACACACACACACAGGGGACAGAAAATATTCGTTAACCCCGGGATTAATATCCTCTTAACCATTTGCTGTCAGCATTTAAACCTCCCCATACACTGAAGCTGTCTGAGTGGGTGGGGGAGAGAGAGGCGATAATTGACAGCTGCATAAAAAATCCCACTTATCCACCAATCTGACATGCTGCTCTTCTGTTTTTCAGATCCACAGTGCCCAGGAACTAGTCTGTTTCTGCGAGGGCTTCTTCCTCAAACACATGAGTGCCTTGTTGGACCAGGAGCCTTTCAAACAGCTCATCTATGGCAGGAACAGTAAAGTTCAGGGTCTGGATCCCCTGCAGGACTTGCAGTCCACACTGGCCAGCAGACTTCATTCCATTTACATCACCTCAAGGGTGTGATTGCCAAGAGGAACTACAGTGACCCTGTCTGGATAAGCTGGGATGCTCAAAGCACTTGCTCATCTAACTGCACTAGGACGGGATTTTGGCCCAAATTTGCTGGCTTCCCTCGCCAGCAACTGGATTGCTGAAAGTTCCTCCACCAGATCCAAAAATCCCCAGTACAAAAGACCTGACCATCCACTGTGCAGCTGGGATTTATAGGCACGGACACCCAAAGCAAATACTCCAGTCTAGCTCAGGAAACCTTGCTTGCTGGATTAGAAGCTGCGAGTATAAATCATTCAGGCAGGAAAACATGCAGTCTGTTGCGTTTTTGTGAAGGAGATGCACATTCCGAAGTATGTTGGAATGTACATTCTCCACCACATTTAGTTGCATGTCAACAGCTTGTTTGGGTGTGACAAAACTGAATCGGTACCTTAATGCTTTGATCTGTACTGAAAATTAGATGGCAGGGTTGGGAAGTCGGTAACTGGGAACAAAACTCCTCCCTAACACCCAGGGCTTTTTTCAGCTGGAACTCACTGGAACTCAGTTCCAGCACCTCTCAGGTGGGTGCCATTGCCATTCTAAAAGAACGAGGGAGGAGTTCATGGTGAGTTCTGGCACCTCTTTTTCTAGAAAAAATAGCACTGCTAACACCCAACACTTTTGTCAAGGGTTGCTTCCACCTTTGCATTCTCTACTGGATGAACATTTAGGGTGGAATATTTAAAAAAACTGGGACATCATGCCATCTATGCAAAGCGCTCACTGTTTGGGGAGAGATTTGCAAGTGAACGATGCTTCTTCTGTGAAGGGCGTATTGTTAATAGACTAAAGGAGGAAAAGGATAGAGGGGAGCTGTATAGGAGCAAGGGGGAGAGAGATGTGTTGCAAATGTATTTGTAGAGCGTGGATTTGTAGACCTGTGGCTCTCCAGGTCTTGCTGGCCTCAAACTCCCATCAGCCCCAGCCAGCATGGCCAGTCTTGAGGGATGATGGGAGTTGCAGTCCCACAGTATCCAGATGGTCACAGGCTCCCCGCTCCTGTTGTAGTGTTTCAGGGAAGTTACTAGAAGTGTAATAGAAATGTGGGACTTGGTGTGAATATATGTTTTAGAGGCAAGAGAAGATTTTCTCCACAATCATATCTAGTTTTTTTCCGACCCTGTGAACTGCCCTCCTCACGCGCTGAAGCATTTTCGTTTTAACATGTCATTGGGAGGTTGGGAGAGCATTCAATACAAAACTAAGCATCTTTGTAAATGATTATTTCATCAATTTTGAGGAGGATAAAGGTCAAAGCACTTCAGCGTATTATGGCTGAGAAAATTAACTCTGAGGTAGACACCTTTTCTCAGGCATCAAGCCTACTTTCTTGCATCTCTCACTCACCACTGAACCATTTGTCTCTCTCTACGTCATCTTTCTGCATAATACACCAACATCACACAGTACTGAAATGTCATTGCTGCCAAGGTAAAAGAATTCAGCCCTTCAAAAAGCCAGGAGGAACTTCATGAGCTGCACATATTGTAAGTGGGCCAGGAATAGGGAGAGGATCAGAATGCTAAAAGTTAAAAAATGCTCAGTGCAAACAGGCTCTTGCACAGTAGCTGTCCGAGGCAGTTGTTAAACTAAGTAAGATTATACACCCTTCAATCAATCACTTTTGAAATTTGGACCAGAAACGAACCCACAAATTCATATTTCCCTCCCTGACCCCAGAAATCACAGAAAAGATCAAGCTTGTTTGGGAATATCCCCAAAAGTTGTAATTCTGGAAAATAATTTTGAAAAAGCTGTTTCAGCTATCTGTACAAAAAAAAAAATTATAGATTCTGTTGCATTGCTGTAATGTTGTCTGCTACATTAACTGTACATTAATGTCACTTATGTAAATGTACCATATTTTATTAACAACATAACTTTTGTTAAACTTTACAGATGTATAAGCTCAGTTATTTTAAGGCGGCTAGGGAACGCATTATGATGAAAAGGAAGAGATAAAAAGAAGAGTGCCTTATGATAAACTATGCATGAGATGGGCTCTGCATACACAAACACACTCAGGAAAATAGATTTTCTTCCAAATTCTGTGCTCAGCTAGGACTGGGCGAACGGCATGCAGGTAGCCTTGTTTCAACAGCTAAACAGTTTCTTTGATACTATTGCCTTCTTAATGCCTTACTAGCCTTAGTTATGCCATTCTATAGAAAGAATAGCTTTCAGCAAGGAATGGAGTTTTGAGGTTTACAGGAAAGGTTTCAGCTGCTGGTTTTCAGCTGAAAGAATCCTTAAAGCAGAGCTTCCTTGCTGCTTCTGAGATGGCCAGTAGTTCAGGGTAAGTGTTGCTATCCCCTCTGTAGAAATTTGCATGCTTAAGTTTGCACCTGTGGTCTCAAGCCCCTACATCCATTTGACTCAATTGAAGCCTGTAGACCAAGGCTGGCCAAAGGCATTTTACTGCCCGAGGCAGAACAGCAAATGATGTCATCACTCCCCCTACACACCTTCTACCAGTCAAGGTACGTAATGGGCACCTGAAGCAGATCAAATCACTCAAGTGCCTCGCCCCACTTCCCTAGTAGTAAAAATGCCCAACAATAATAATTTAAATAGCTAAGAATTTGCTGTCTTTTCAGGACACGCAAACTCTTTAGCAGCTGGCTCACGTCACCTAACGGTAGGGCCGGTTCCTGACCCAGCAGCTCGGCCAGAGGCTTAGACAGAAAGTAGCCCCAATGAAAAAGTGGCTGCTTCTAGAGGAACTTAAGTTTCCACACACTTAAGCTTCGCTGACACAACAGGAGCTCCATTTCCTCTCCTCCCTCTAGCACATCCCCAAAATCTGCTCCAGATGGTCTCCCCGTAGCAGATTTCTGAGGGTGTATGAAGTCCTATTATGTGCATAGAAGCCGAGGTGCAGCATTAAATACCGCCCATGGGTTACAATCCAAATAAGGCTGGAAGGGGTTTATTATGTGCGCAAGGAAGAAAATGGTATCTGTAGTTGGAATGTTGCTTGTTTTGCTGCAGGTGTTCTTTCTGCCGAGAAGGAAAGCCCCTTAATTTATGTTTTCATTTTCAAGTCAGCTTGCCTCTTTGTCAGTACAAAGCACCATAGCAAACACACAAAATTCAGGCTGTACCTGTTTTTCTCTCTAGCCTACACATGTCTCTACGGACATAAGCACAGTCTAGGAGAGCAACCCAAACTTGCCAAGCCGAATGCACACTGTATTCTCCAGGGGGCTTGGCTATAACCACAGTCTGCGGCTCCTGAATGAGCTTCCACTGCCATGCACATCCCCTAGGAAACCCCTTCCCCCCCCTCCTTTCCCCCTTAGAAGCTTGATGCTTCCTGACATGGCCTGCAGCTATCAGAGTAGGCCCAGAGCAGAAGCCATTTGGGGGTTAGTTAACAAAGGAAGGGAGAAAAGATGGACAAAGGGGGGGCGGTTTGGGGGCTTCATCTTAAAAAGCTCCCTGAAGCCTTGTAACGTAAACAGAGAGGCTCTCATTGTCAAGAGCACTGCATCTGAGAACAACAGGAAATGAATGAAAAGCCGTAGGAATACAAAAAATCCAGAATGCCAGAACCAATAGGCAGAGGCACCATTGAGAGTTGGCATCTTGGGATGCTTAAATACCCTTTTAGTGGAATTGTGCCCATTGACTGGGTATTTTTTTTTTTAAATCAGCAAAAAGCAGCCCTGGTGAGTTCTTCAGAGTCTAAAGTTTCCAGCAAATTATGCTGTTGCAGCAAAGAGTCTCTTGCCACCTTAAATCCTATCAAATGGTTGAAGGCATGAGCTATTGTGGACTAGAATCTGCGTCATCGAATGCTGTAGCTACAGCTAGACTTAGGCAGGGATGATGGATCAGAGGGTGAAGTTTTGATGTGGTTTGGGGGGGGTGAGGAGGTGGAGCCTGAGAGTTGGAACCTGTCACCTCTTCAAAATTCCTGAACCAAAGGCACGTTTGCTTAATAACCTGGCAAAAATATTAGGCTACCATAAGCAAATCCGTTGCTTGCTTTTTCATAAAAATAAAAAAGCCACTCCCCTCATACAGGGGAGAAATTACCAAGAGGTGATTTCCTCTGCTCTTTCCTCCCTTTTCACCACTCGTGTCACCAGGCTGTCATTTCTCCTGCTGCAAAAAGAACAGGCTCCATTAACGTTCTCCTCTTTTCCTGCCAGGGCACTGCCAGTCCTGCAACGTACCTCTCCCACAAGTCAGCTAGGTGCTGCCAGCTGTCAAAACCATTCAGGGCTCTCTGACGCAGAGGAATGATCACACTGACAACTAGGTCACATCACCTCCCAGCCTCCTGCTGGGAACAGCACCGGCCCGACACAGCTTGGCCATTTTAGTCTAATTAATCAGAGCACTCTCTCATCTCCAGCCAAGGTTTGTGAGAGTTACCTGGGCTAATGGCCCAGCTCCTACCCCTCTGAGATCACTCAGTTGCAGGTGGTGCTCTGAGCCGTGGGAATGACCCCTGGTAGGCAATGTCAAAAGTCTGCCTGCCAACCCTTTTAAATGAACTGACAGTTCTCAAGTGTGGAGGACTCAAGCTTTGGCCTTGAAAGGTTTTTCAGCTGGAATGGTATCATCTTAACACATCACAGTTCCCCCTGCTGGTTGATCTTGGCAAAACAAAGGCAGGAAGAGTTGGAGATCTTGAAGATGATTAAAACGTGCAAAAATTGCAGAAGTATCTATTTTGCTGTGTGTTCACATGTGAAAGGTTACGCTGCATACAGCTGAGGAAGTGTTTCAAATAGATCAGAGATGCTGCAACCTCAGAGTCAGTACCGTTCAGTATTGAAGCACTGCTGAGAAATAGAGAGGCGTTTTTATGGGAAGGTTTAACCTCCTATGCTTGTCCACTCAGCTGTAGGCCCTTTTTAGTTCAATGAGGCTTCATTGCAGGTAAAGTAACATAGGACTGCTCTCCAAATACTGAAAAGGGACAGAAATGGGAAGTGCAGCAATGCCACAGTGCCAGAATGGAAATCATAACATTGCACGATTGCACAGATAGCTTGAAAAACACACACCCAATTCTCTACAAAAATGAAAACATCAAGGAATTTAAAATATAATTAAATATAAAAGGATTAACTATGGAAACTAGGTAAGCACACGTAATTCAAATTTAAGATGCATGTTGCAATAAATGAGGTGCTCTTACCAATTGATTTCGTCAGTAGGTTGTTTCTGAAATGCGAACAGCTTTGCTCATTTAATTAACATGTTGCAGCACAATATGAGGCAGCAGTGGAAGCATGGGACAGCCAGCAGCAATTTTTTTTAAAAAAAAGATTTTTAAACTCCTACTATATCTTCTTTCTTCACCTGCCCTTTATTTTAGCCAACACGTATTCTCTTCTACAGCTGTTCTCAGAGCTACAAGACTAATTACCTTACCATCCACCGAGTTCCTTTTCTTCCTCATTTTATATAAAGTTAACAGCCAGGATTTCAATTAGAGTCCACTGCCCCCAAACAGTGATACGCACAAGGAGAGGCCTCCCATTACTCTGGTTTAATGGGCAGTAAGCTACACAGTCCATAAAACAGGAACATCTGTGTACATTAATCCCAACAGTCGGCACTGGCGAAAGGATGCATTTGGAAGCAATTTAAAACTCCTGCTACCTCTGGCTTCAATTGTGTTAAAGGCGAGCCTCAGTCACTCACAGCACCAGCACATCGGCCTCAACTCCATTCACTAGCACAAAAGATCCATTGGACACGTACCTTATATATTGGGTTGATCCATCGGTCCAGCGGAAGAGTGGTGTTGGTGTCCTTTTTGAAATCCCATCAGGATGAGTCTCAGTAGGACAGCAATGCTTATCTTGGCCAGGCAGGGCCCTCCACGTAACTGCTGCAGCAAAGGGCAAGGCTGGCCAGGTGGAACCCTGAACACAAGAGCGTTTCTGTTGGGTGATGGAGACCATTGCAACATTTGGTTGAACGTTGCACTTGCTTCCTCTTAATAGTGAACTCAAACGTCTGAAAGCAAAAATCAAGTACCAAAAAATAATAATGCTGTGTTTTCTCTAAATGCAGAGGGGCACTCCCTAGATATGCAAATATATGTATATTTGTATATCTGTGTCTCTGTGTGTGTATTAACAGAGACTATTTAAAAAAAATCAAAAATGGCCCAAAAGAAGCCAGCGAGCTTTCAGACTCTCAGAAATTTTGTGTCTGTTGAGCTGATAGAGAAAGGATCGAAACTCTGGTTATAAAGTAGCTGAGATATGAACCTAAGAAGAGGAAGAGCCCTGATGGATCAGAGGTCCACCTAGTCCTGCTCATTCTTCTCAGTGGCCATCCAGATGCCTATGGGAAGCCCACAAGCAGGACTTGAGCACAACAGCATCTTCTCCACTTGTGATTCCTAGCAATTGTTTTTCAGAGGCATACTACCTCCAGCACTCGTGGCAGCACATAGCCATCGTAGCCCATGAGGGTGGTATCCCACAAAATGCTCCTGCTAGTGCAAGGATGTTTGGGTGAACAATGGGATTTCCCCTTCCTCTATTCTCCCTGTATACCCCTAAATCTGGTAGGGGGTCGTCCCCCCCAAACCTCAGGAGCAGATTTAGGGGGGAGGCAAGTGGGGGTGAGGAGGGACAAGCGAGAGAGAAGTTCTACTGTGCAAGCCAAAGCACTTCATTGGAAACCTGAATCCTACCTAGCGACCTAAATTTCGCTTCCAGGACCACACAACCACATTTTCCCGTATCGTTGGTGCCAACGTGCACCATGACCACAAACTCTTCCCCAGCACTACCTACCAAGCTATCTAGGCAACAGGTATCATCTGCAACCTTTGCATCAGGCAAGCAGTTCATCCTGCCGTCCGTATGCCCATCACACCCCCAGCTATGTTCCTACTGATCAGTACTGATCCTACTACCATGATCTTCCGAACCACCAGAGAAGTATATACACACACACACACACACACACACACACACACACACACACACTACATTTCGCCATACATGGCAGCCTGAAAGGGGTGTGCAGGGAGCCAGAAGACATTTTCATGCCTGCAGCTGCTGGGAAAATATATCATTGGAAACCTTTACCAGCTCCATGTCCCAGGGTGGCCATTTCTAGCTGTTATAGCACAGGCCCCACGTCCAGCAGATGCCTTAATTCTGCATTCACAGTACAGGTCTGGGGAAAAGGAAGCCTTAACATTTTTCCGCTTTTAAAGTTGCTTCTCAACTCCCAAGGCTTTAAAAGGAAGCTTGGGGAGAGGAAGAAGAAAAACCCACTACAAACCCACAGCTACTCCAAACCCACAAGAAAAAAAGCCACAAAACTAAAAGAAACCTTTCTTTGAAAAGTCTCACACTGTAAGCTGATTTTATGATTAGGTGGCCTGTGGGTTTGGGAACATCTGGGCAGTGTGTTATGTGTGTGTTGCATGCAACCTTGCCTAATCCTCGACAAACCTGTTGTTCACTGTTGTCAAGCCAGACCTCAAACCCCTGAATGCTTCAGGCCAAGGGAAAGTGGTTCAATCCAAGCTGAAGCGAGTTGGAAAATATGCTTTCAACATGTAGAGAAACAAGAGGTGCTGCTCCTGCAGCATTGGCCAACAAAAACACAGACCCTGGGATCCTCAAACTGCATTTCCCTGACCTGCAGCGTGGCAGAAAGGAAGGTACAAAGATCAAGCCCGCTTAATTCATCTCTTTATTTTGCATATTTCTCTCACTTCCAAGACCTTGCATTCCTGGCATTTTATTTATTTACATTTTAAATAAGTACCGGGAAGGGAAAAACTATAGAGGCTGTAGTAAGCAGAGGAAAGGAGGGCTGCCATGGATATCAGTTAAACCACACCACAGACCTTTTCTTCCCACTTTTGATATTTTACCAGATACTGCCGAGACATTATCCAGCTTATCCTCAGTCGTAAGGACTAGAAACATTTTCTGGAGGGAGAAGAGAGAGAAAGAAGAAAACTGGATGTTCTTGGCAGCATCATACTGTTTCAAATAATATCCCTGCAGAAGACACAGTCCTATGTTAAGCAACCTACTACATATGTGTTGTTTGAGACCCAATAAGGTGTCTGTGGTACAAGCCCTTCTTGATGGTCAAGAAATTGAATCCAGATGGATTCAGTCAGTCCCACCCTCCCAAAAAAGGCCCCAGCGCTGGGACCACCCACCCACACTATTGCCACTCCTTAATCAATGCACTGTGGGACATGACATCAAGTAAGAGTAAGAATACTGAAAAGCAGGGAAGATGCTTTTCAAAGGACAGGATTCCCTGCCAAATTCTCTGTTTTTCTAAATACCAGTAGATGGTCTGGCTAGGAGAAACCAATGTCTAGAATTAACCACAGAACCCAGAGTGCAAAGGTGAAGGCAGTCCTCAGGCTGCTGATTCTTCCCTTTTTATCAAAAGGCATAATATACAGCAGACACCTCAATGCAACTCCACCGTTTCAAAATCCCACAGAGTGTTTTTACAGCTCATTGTACTGACGCTTCTTAAAAAAATACCAGCTTTCAATTAAAAAAAAAACCAACGCGCAGCACTGAGGCCCAGGCCTCTCTCCAAAATTGCTATTAAGGAAACAAATAGTAAAGAGAAGGGAAAGATGTTTATAGCTCTCCGAGGCACACAAAACAGAGGCTTTTTAAGGCTAAACTGTAAAGAGTCATAATTCCTGGTAACAATCCAGTTTACTGCTCTACAGTTCTTTTAGCATAACACAAATGCTGAGCTGGCAGCAATAATATAAAAAAGATCTTCTGAACTGTTTAGCTTCAGGCTGCCCCTATATGAAGGGGAGGAAAAACCTTCATGTCTTCCCACTTCGATGTATGGTTTCTTTGTGGCCTATAGTGATTTGCTTTTCAGGTTCCCACAAAACAAGAGCTCCATGTCCCAGATTTTGAGATCATTTCTTCCACTTCTGCTTTGGGGTTTTCTTTTTAAATTTCTTCTCTGGTTTTGATCCTATTGCGATTGCTTCTGATTTTCTCTTCTTGTCACTGAGAAAAACATAACACAACAGTCACAAAAATGCTTGTGGGTATTATGCACTTTGAGCTAAAAAACATAATATAGCTTTGTTTTCTCCCATCTTCTGCAGGAAGATCACCAGGCAGGGGGTGTGAATTCACTTGGGGGTGGTGTGAAAAGTGGTAGTAAGGGAAGGGAAAACCACGTTCCATCCCACCTAGTAGGTAACTTCTGCTGGATTCAAAGTCCTTTCAATAATCAGAATAAATCCTTCTGTTCATGGATGGGCAAGTCTAGATGCAACCTCTAGAAAGTGGTCTCTGATTTAAGCAAGTTTGACTATATTTGCTTGTTTACATGATTTATTCTGCTTACGGCAGACATTGAGATGAGGAAGGAGCTATGCAGGGCACTAAGACCTTGACTTAAGACTTGAGAGTCTAACCACTTGATGTCATAGACCTTCCCATGTGTTGAGATGCAAAACAGGCATTTTTCAAACACTTTCATTTCTTTAACAACAATATGGCCTAGAAACAATCTTTTTCTAAATGCAACTGGAATACACCTATTTCAGTATTCAATAGGCAATACTTATGGCATAGTGAAATACATTAAGCCCTAGTATCATCTCTCCATAATAGAATGGGCAGGAAGAAAAAACCACTTTGGAGATAGCTCTGGTGGAGATAATTTTTTTTATACCAAGTTACATTAACTTAGGAAAGTTGTCCATCCCTTCCTTTTCCTTACAGCGTCCTGCACATCCCCCCAGGCTTTGTGAAGGGGCACCTAGGGGGTGGGAGCTTCTGAGTAATGCAGGACAATGCACAGGCAGGAAATAGCATGGGAAGCTTTTCTTCCATGCGCTTCCTTAAATTAACATTTATTGAGATTGAAAGTTAAATATTTTGGCTTCTGAAGATTTAGGAGTTCATTTCATTTATTGAATTTATATACAGTGGTACCTCGGGTTAAGTACTTAATTCGTTCTGGAGGTCTGTTCTTAACCTGAAACTGTTCTTAACCTGAAGACCACGTTAGCTAATGGGGCCTCCTGCTGCTGCCATGCCGCTGCAGCATGATTTCTGTTCTCATCCTGAAGCAAAGTTCTTAATTGGGGTACTATTTCTGGGTTAGCGGGGTCTGTAACCTGAAGCGTATGTAACCTGAGGTACCACTGTATTGCTCTATACCCGGAGGTCTAATGCAGAGCCAAACTGATCTTCTCCAAAATAAAGAGATTCATAAAGGGAACTTGATGACTGCCTTCTCCACTAAGAAGCTACTCTACTTGGCTCAAGCCATCTTCTAAGACCTTGCTCTATATTCCATCCCAGCACCCGATGCGACTGACTTTGTGAAACAGGGCACACTCAGTGGTGGCCCCAATATTGTGTAGCACCCATACAAGGGAGACTTTCTCCGATGCGTTCCTCTGGTTCGTTGGGAATGGAAGAGAATGTATTGAGATAGAAACTTTTCTCTTCTTCATTTAATCCTTCAGTTTCCCAGTATTGTCAACCCTTTGAGAAGCGTGCGTCACTACCTTTTGAGGCTGACAATAGAAGCATTCTTTCCTGCTTTGGTCAACACTTCATTCCATTCTTCATCATCTCCTCGGATAACATACCTAAGTGAGAAGAATTGTGTGGTTTTTTTAGATTTAAAATGGAGGACACTTGATCAGAAAATACTGGTTTATTTTGCAGCAATGCTAGTGATCATGCAGGCATTGGTTAATGACAAGAAAGAGCATGATCAGGTACATTCAGCTGAAAGACTGTGTGCAAGTTGAAAGTAAAAAAAAATTAAAAATGGACATCTGAACCCTCCCTTCAAATGACTCAAATGCTGTCACCATCCAAACAACTACTAAAAACCTCCCATCTTTATTAGTATGGTCTAAGTTAAAATCAGCCCAGAGGAGGTGGCAGGCAGATAGGGCTGATGGGACCCAATCCTGCAACCCCTTCCTCTAACCATAGTTTGATACCTAAGTTAGCATCGCATCCACATCTTAGAAGAAATACGGTAGAGACTAAGCAATTTGTGAAGAACTTAAGTATTCAGACTGGTCGATCCCTCTATACCTTAAAAGAAGATTAAAAGCAAGGTCAGATAGGCAAATGTTTTTGGGTGTTTTCTTAAAAACTTCAGCAGCCTTTGGAGAAGGGATCACAGAAATTAATTTTAGGCTCTTGATATTCAAACCCTGTTCGCAAGACTTTCAGAAACTGACAGCAATCTCATTAAAAAGCCACAAGAGTTACACCACAGCTGGAAGACAATAAAAATTCAGTTGTGTCCTCCTGGGAGGGGAAAAACATTTGGAGGATGCCTGTCCTGGTAAGGGCATCAGTGAGAAAATTCTGGAACTACAGGCCTGTGACTCAGAAGGCCACATGAGTTTTGGCAAGCCTATTTTGAAAGGCCTAAGATCCCATCCACACGTAAGACAAGATGGCTCCCTGTCGCCATCAACTTCCATAAAGAGGTCACAGGGCTTTGAGCATATTCCCCTGTAGCTTGTGGGGAAGTGACCAAGTGACATTGGGAAAATGGCAAAAGCTCTTCTGAACTGCTTAAGACCCATCAGGCTAGCTTTATGGAGTCATTTGGTTCCTAAAAAAAGCAATGTGATCCGTATTATCATGTCCACATCTGCCTTAGCCAACACAATGGATAGTATGAATGGGTGGCCATTTATACATGAAACCAAAGCAAGACTATATTTTCCCTGTAGCATCCTTGGGCTATTTAGATGACATGGTGAATTAGCTTAGACCCCTTGATTCCTTTCCTGGAGACTGTGGATTTATTTACTGCAAATTACGAGGGCTTACTGTGAAAAGTCCAGATCTTTCAACTTCCCAACATCTTGCTTGTGTTTTTCCTGAAATTCTTTTGCTGCTTCTTCCTGCATTGGAAAAAAAGGGATGCTGAATAAGGTTATGAAAAAATATACAGTTCTGAAGCCAAACACACAACAAAAAAGGCTGACTAGCCATTGCTTCTCTGTCCCACAATCCCTAGATTTGTAACCTGATACCTTTGGCACCTAGGACAGAATTATCCCACCTGCAAATTCCACAATGGAACCAAATCTAAAAGCTCATCTACTGTAATGGCTACAACATCCAGCCCTTTCTTTGTACTTCTGTATTTTTTATATTTCTCCCCATGTCCTCTCAACTGTGGCTTTGCATAACATATTGCCTGAGGGAGAGTTCCAGAGAACTTTATAGCTTGCCACTATTTTGTGACATTTTGGGTAGTTCTAATGAAGGCATTGCCCAATGTGAAATTTTGGGATTTTAGATGAAGCAGTGATAATTGTCTCACCATAATATGATTAACACCAGGTATTGATGTTATGCACTGCCAGTTATAAAAACTGAAATAGGAAAATGTGCAAGCTATTGGCAAGCTTTCTTCAAAAGATAATGCTGTACCTTGGAAGTTGAACGGAATCCGTTCCGGAAGTCTGTTTGACTTCCAAAGCATTCGAAAACCAAAGCACAGCTTCTGATTGGTTGCAGGAAGTTCCTGAAGCCAATCCGAAGCTGCGGAAGCCCCGTCCGACATTTGGCTTCTGAAAGAACGTTTGAAAACCAGAAGAGTCACTTCCGGGTTTTGATCGTTCGGGAGACAAAACGTTCGAGAACTAGGCTGTTCAAAAACTAAGGAACGACTGTAGCATAAACCACTTTATATTGTAAACTTTCTGTGATCCTTAGATGAAGGGAAGTATAGAAATTTAATAAATAAAAGAAACAGTGCTTGCAAGACCAGATAAAAGTTCCCACTAGTTCATGGATGTGGAACTTGCAGTCCAACAAAACCTAGAGAATGGGTAGGCAAACTAAGGCTCAGGGGCCGGATCCAGCCCAATTGCCTTCTAAATCTGGCCCGCGGACGGTCCGGGAATCAGCATGTTTTTACATGCGTAGAATGTGTCCTTTTATTTAAAATGCACCTCTGGGTTATTTGTGGGGTCTGTCTGGTGTTTTTACATGAGTAGAATGTGTGTTTTTATTTAAACTGCATCTCTGGCTTATTTGAGGGACATAGGAATTCGTTCTTTTTTCTCCAAAATATAGTCCAGTCCTCCACAAGGTCTGAGGGACAGTGGACTGGCCCCCTGCTGAAAACGTTTTCTGACCCCTGACCTAGAGGGTCACAGCTACCACCATCCCCAGCAGTCAAAACAGCTGTTTGACCTTAATGTCTAATATTCAACGGTGACTGCTTTTGTACATTGAGGCTTTGTTTAGCTTTCAGGGCTCATAGCCGTTGGCAAAATAATTATCCATAGAAGTGTGGATTAAAGAAATATTGCCCTGGCATGAAGGGGTGGTGGTAGAAACCTCTACATACATAGCACTAGTATTTAGAATCTCAATATGAAAACACAAATTACCAAATCCTCATTTAAGGATTTCAGAGTTGGCTCCATTACAACGTCTTTGGTTACTGCCATCTGCTCTTCCACAGCCTTTTCCAGGATAGTGTTGAACAACTAGGAGGGAGAAATTACCATCAGGGTCATCGCTCATTGGTTAAGGATGAAACGCTTGATACATTTGATTGGCGGTACCATTGGTTCCCTAGAGGTTACTAATGACCATCCATGCAATGGCCCCTTATATAGTAGAAATACAAGATTACTTTGCATAACCAACTGGCAAAATTAAATTCTGCTCTGCACCATATTGAAACAGTACGCAATGGTCAGTCAAGTGCAACTTTTCCCTGACATCACACACACATCTTGAAGTAATGAGTGAAATCCTCAAGGGAGGGAGGAGCTGCTTAACACATCCCCTTCCAACCATTGGTCCATTCAAAATCCTCTTCCACCACAGTGTTTTCTCATCTGGAAGAGGTGCCACTTTGCTAAATCTTGGCTGCTTCTCATTTATTAAAAAAAGAAAACAAGGGAGATGTACACACAGCTAAGAATCCTACAGAGTTTGAGCCTCAAAAGCATTTACCCACATCTGAAGAACCAACCTAAGAGAGCCTATGATACAAGGGGCAGTTGTTCAAAGAAAAACATATTGAAGTTATTTTTATACAGTTAAGCTCAGATCCTATACTATTGGATTTGGACACCAAAAGTGTTTCACCATACAAGTAACCCTCCCAAATGCAACACTCACAAAACCCACATTTACCTGAACCACCTTCCGGATAGACCTGTTGAAGAGGCCCATCAACTGGCCACTAGGCAGCTCTATCTCTTTCTCCAACTGATCCACAGATTTGTGCTGGAGACCAATCCCAAGAAGAAGAGCCTGGAAGAAAAGTGAGTTTCCTGGCTTTGATTCAACAGAAGGAAAAGTCTGGCCTTTGTCAGAACCCTATCATGTCATTATTATTTTTGTCCAGCAATTTCCTTGTCCTTTAAAAAATTTAGGTACACAAAACTCAAAGGGCCGCATTACATTTTTATTAGAAGATCACATCACATCAATGGTAGAGTGGCATTTTGCTACCATTTTAACTCCGTATCATTTTTAACACATTCCTTGCCAATCCCCTTCTTCTCCCTTTGCAAAGTGAACCACCCAAAAACAAACTGCAAAGTCCCCCAGCAAACCACCACAGACCACATCTTCTCCACTATTAAGTCTGCTCTCTTTTCTCTGCGAACAAAATACATCACTTATGCTCTCTTCAGTATGCAACAACAAAGATCTGCACCCCTTTTCTGTTACTCCCCCGTTTTTGTTTTATCACATGCAAGATCTGCACTATCTACCTATGCCAGATTTTCTCATTTTCTTCCCTTAGCCTTTCCTTTTCCTCTGTTTTGCTCCCGCAAAACTTGTCTACTGCCTCTTGCCAAGTTCAGTAGCAACAAAACATAAGAGATTCATTTGCTCCACTAATTTCACACACAGAGTCTCAGATGTAGGTAGGCTACAAAACATCACTGGCAAACTGCCAGAGCCTTTTAAAAAAATGGAATCAATTTACGTTCTGCATTCTTCCACCGACTGTTGATGGCCTATATGAGCAACAAATGATCCCACAAATAGGTTAGAGAGGTCTTCAGATATGGGGTGCTGCAATCAACCTGCATGAATTATCTTGAGCAAGTGCCTTAATTCAGTTACTGTTTGATTCAGAAGTTGGGCTCTAAATTAGGGTTCAAGGGCACCTGATGTGGTTCCAAGACAACTGCTTTGTTGCTCTTGTCCTGGTGAGTTTCAGGTTAAGAGGACAACTAGAAAACCCAAGCATGCCACTGAGTTCCAGGGGGAAAGGTCAAGGTCACAAGTGTAGGAAAGATTTGGAGGTTACTAAATCACACACACACACACACACACACACACACACACACACACGTACGTCTCAGTTCAGAGACTGGCCATCAAATGAGAGGACTTGCATTAACAAGACACTAGCTAAACACATGATACTTACAGACTGAGTAGCAGAAAGGGTCATATCTCCAAGCTGGTTGAGAAAGTACATCTTAGAGATAGCTGGAATCATGTCCATAATCAAGTGATAGTCCACCATGTTCCTTGAGTACATCTCCAGCCTCTTCAGGTCGTAAGGGATAAAAACAGCTTCTAATTCTTTACGACTGATTGCTTAGCAAACCATGAAATAAATTTTGAGTGGAGTGGAAAGAAGGAAAAAAACAAGACAGAGGTAAATTACACTTGCTATCAAGGTGTTAAGAACAGGAAGCAGAGAAGCGTTTGTAAGACGGGGATAGTTCCTCTGATGTCTTCCGTAAAAGATTCCCTTTCTCAGCATGGAAATGCAACAAGCTGTCCATCAAGGAAGAAACTGCTCTTGGACCAGAGAAAGCAGAGTACTGTGTATATTTATTGAAAACCTTTTTTATTTTTTAATGTGATGCATGTATTTTTTCTGGGATTTGCTTTAGTACTCTTTAGTTCATGGGTAGGCAAACTAAGGCCTGGGGGCCTGATCGGGCCCAATCGCCTTCTAAATCCAGCCTGCGGACGGTCCGGGAATCAGCATGTTTACATGTTTACATGAGTAGAAAGTGTGCTTTTATTGAAAATGCATCTCTGGGTTATTTGTGGGGCATAGGAATTCGTTCTCCCCCCTCCCCCCAAAAAATAAATAGTCTGGCCCCCCACAAGGTCTGAGGGACAGTGGACCGGCCCCCTGCTGAAAAAGTTTGCCGACCCCTGCTTTAGTTTCACAAAATGCCCTTCAGGGAGTTTTGCAGACATTTACTTACGGGGTTGAGGTGGCTGCTTGATATTCCTGTTTTGCAAAATGTTCAAAGCTAACGAAGGAGAGAAAGTGCTGAACTGATATGACAAAAGGGAGAGAAATCTCCTCCTGAAATCTGCAGGACAAATGGAAACAAAACCTGGTTTACTACTTCATGTATAACTGATCACACTAAAGGCTGATTAACAGTAATTTGCGGTGGGGGGATATCAAATCATTTTATGGGGACTTGACCACCAACTCTCCATGTGAAACTGTGGGGTCAAAGTCACTACTGCAGCTAAAGTTGATGGCTACTTTTTATGCAAGAGTATACTTTTTATTCAGAGGAACCCCACTCCCCACCCCATAGCAATGTGGCGGTAAATTTACCATCCAACCCTAAAATGGCAGCTCAAAACAGCACTGAAACATCATTCCTACTAGTCACCTTTCCAGAAGGCACTTAGCCAGTTTTCCTGCTCACTCTCTTCCTCTTCATTCAAGGTCTTCAGCATGATACATGAGTGCTCCCCAGTCAGATCATTCTGGAAAATAAAGGTATTGCTTGTAGCTGCAACATTTTATGAGCCGTTGAGTCTTTTCAACAATAAACAGCAGCAGAAAATAAACAAGTTTATCAGAAAACACACAAGATAGTCAACAGCAATAACTGCTAATAACTATGGTGCATTACCATAGTCTCAGTGCAACCTGGATTCTGCTTTTACAAAAAGGTACCGTATTTTTCGCCCTATAGGACGCACCGGCCCATAGGACGCACCTAGTTTTTTTGGGGGGGGGGGGAATAAAGGGAAAAAAATTCCCCCCCCCAGCCGCGGCTTCAGCGCGCCCCGCGCTCCGGGCAGTAGGCTGCGGATATCTGCCCGAAGCGCAGGGCACTCTGCTTCAGTGCGCCCCGCGCTCCGGCCAACAGGCTGCTATCCGCAGCCTAGGGAGCCCTGCAGGAACTCCCGCGGGCTCCCCAGGCTTGCTGATAGCTTCCTGAAGCCTGGAGAGCGAGAGGGGCTGGTGCGCACCGACCCCTCTTGCTCTTCAAGCTTCAGCGAAAGCCTGCATTCGTCCCATAGGACGCAAACAGATTTCCCCTTCATTTTTGGAGGGGGAAAATTGCATCCTATAGGGCGAAAAATACGGTAGCTTGGGTAATTCAGAACCAAATTACTGTTCCATTTCAGATCACATCAGGTGAATGATGAGGTTCCAAACCAGAGTTATTTTCTGGCTCAGATTATCAGAGCTGGAGGAGAACCATAGGGTCACAACACTCACTTCAGACTGGAGGTGAGCATTATAAGTTGCCCAGTTTGGTACAGTAGAAGACTATGGAATTCCAAACTTCAGGGACATTATTGGTGAAAAATGAAAATTTATTAACTATTAGTTCACTGTGTATGTCTGATGACTATGAAGAACTAGTCACTGAAGCAATCAAAAGGAAACCATTTTAAAACCAAACACCTGATTTATGCAAACAAACCCCACCCTAGGCAAACCAATGACACTCACTGGATTTATAGGAAGGCTGTCGACCAATTAAATAATCCCTAGATGATTGTTCAATAAATATACACCAAACATTTTTGTATAGGATAAACTACAGCTTAATAATAAAAAAACTATCACAGAAATAACAGAAATCACTGGGTTAAAGCTAACCAAAAGCCCAGAGGTAGCATTATTATCAATTTATGATGGGGTGGAAGATTCACAGACTATGAAGGACTTGTTCACAAATTTATAGACAGCTGTTCAAGTTATTATAGCTAGGAAGTGGAAGGGGCAAGGTGGATATAAAATGGAATGGAATGGTATAAAGAGGTGTGAAATGTAGCTATTAATGATAAATTAGCGTGTGCTGGTAAGGTAAGATGGGGAATATGCAGGAGAAATGGTTTTGAGGAGATATGGAAGGTGTTTGTGGAATTTGTACTGGAAAGGGGGTTAAACCATCACAAGAGGTGTTAAAATTTTGGGAGGTTGAATAGTTACAATGGAATGGTCTTGGGGGTGGGGTGCACATTTTTATTCTTTTTTATTTATTATTATTACTTTGTCAAAATAAAAAACAAAATTATAAAAAAGCTATCACATTGCCATAGGGATCATCAGAACCAAAAAACATTCCAGCACTATTGGGGTCTTGGGCAATGAAATGAAACTTACAGGAGTCTGCCTCAGATAAACTGGTACAAATCCAGCTCGTTTCCAAAACCTGGTAGAAGAGAGAAACAAAAACTTACTTACAGCCTGTCAAGAGCTGTCATATGGCTCAATATTTATTTATACTTAGGGCTGAGCCAAAGCTACATACTATTTTCCCCAGGCATTTGTGACCAAAAGACGCCAAGCCTTCCGACTTTTTCCACCACTCCTTGCAACCATCTCCATTTATTTTTTCTTTCCCTTGACCTCACTCTTAGCTGCTCTCACTAACACCATCAAATGTGATGCAGTCCATGGCCCTAACCTCGCCACATTTCTTGTGATTAATTTAGGAAGGAAGCAGCAACAAAAAGGGGGTGAAAGGGAAAATGGCACTGGAGCAGCAGTGGCCAGTGCCACTGAAAAAGCGAAACATTTGGATAATCTGTGGGTGCAATTCAATATTGTGCCATTCAGTGCAAGCATTTTTACTTGCAGAAATAATTATCTCCCCTGTGCTCCCCACCCCACCCCATCGCTTGCTGTTCTGGCCCTCCAGAACATGACCCTCCAGAGCAGATTCGGGTAAGGTGCAGGGGGCACATGGGGGTAAAGGAGGGAGCCCTTGCTCTGGCACCGGTTAGATCAAATCAACCCAAAAAAAATTCCATGAAAATAAGTTGTTTTGATCTATGCACTGGAGAATAGTTCTGCACAGTCCTAAGTATAGTATCCAGGTGTATGGAAGAAGCTAACTGAAGTAACCAGAAACTGCACATTGATGCAGAACAATGTTCTTGTACTGCTCCCTTCATGTCAATAGGACTTGGAACCCTAGAATTATAGAGTTGGAAGGGACCCCAAGAGTCGTCTAAGTCCAACTCCCTGCAATTCAGGAATCGTAGCTAAAGAACTCCTGAGAGACATGTTCTGCTGTGTGCGAATTTTACCAGATTGTACCTTGAACAATCCAAAACAGGCAAAGCACCCCAAGGTTAGGAAATGCACTTGGTCTGAACCACTAAGATTTCATGCTTTGCAAAACACACCGATACCCGATTTCAGTACAGTTGTTAAGAATGTAAGAAAAGCCCTGTTGGATCAGGTCGAAGGCTCATCTGGCACCCTCTTCTCCTAGTGGCCAGCCAGATACCTATGGCATACCCCTAAGGAGGACCTGAATGTAGCAAAGCCCTCCCCACTTGTGATCGCCAGCAACTGGTACCCAAAGCTATACTGCCTCCAACAGTGAAAACAGAAAATAGCTCATTGTGGCCAGAAGCCATTGATGGAATCTTGTGTATACCTGGTATCACAATGGCACTGGCATCTCTTAACCTCTCCCAGCAGAGGATAATGTTGGAATCCATGGTTTGAATGCAGCTTTGCAAGTTAGCAATTAAGAGTCTCCACAGCGTGGGAAGACAGAGCATGAAAGGAATCTGCCTAGAGATAAGGAGACTCAGCAACTAACCGGTGATTAGCTGAGGTCCCTTATGTAGGCATGACCTATAACACTGGTGTAAGTGAGTGTTAGTGTGGTGTGGTTAGTGCTGAGGAGTTTCTGAGAGCGAAGAAGTCGTGTTGTAAATAGTAACTTGTAGATAGACTTGTATGTTTGCTGCTGTAAATAATAAAACTACAAGATTCAAGTTGCTAGTGATCTGTTTGGTCCTGCTCTTCATCCTGCCTGGGCAATCTCAAGAGTTGCTCAACAATCGCTGCAGTACTTTGCTGAGCTGTGCAACAGGCGAAAGCACTTCAACGGTTCAGACGGCTTTCAAGTTTCAACAGATACAAATGCATCCAAATGCTTACTTGAGCAGCCTTGGTGTCAAACCGTAAGACACACCAAGATAGTCCAGATTCTCAGCTTGCCTCTCGCTCAGTTTGAGAAGCAGAGGGGGCAAATCCTTTCGAGGCATCACAGCTTCTTCTAATAAACTGACCGCCTAAAACAAAACAAAAAACATGTTTTGAAATTTGCCTGTTCAGTGGAAAGTAGTCCGAAGAGGTATAAACAAAATGAAATCCCCATGTGGACCTCTGAATAGCAAATCTCAACAGAAGCCTTTGAGGAATGTCATAGAATCATAGAGTTGGAAGGGACCACGAGGGTCATCTAGTCCAACCCCCTGCAATGCAGGAATCTTTTGCCTAAGGTGGGGAACAAACCCACAATCTTCAGATTAAGCGTCTCATGCTCTACTGGCTAAGCTAGCCTTCCTACCTCACTGCTCACGGTAGCTATTTCTCTTGGCTTCTGAGTCACTTTTTCTTCCAAACAAGGAAACTTGCCTTCATAGTACATCTGCAGCAAACGCAGAGCTCGGCTGCCATAACCCATCTGGGAAGAAAAGGGTTTTGAAAGAAAGGATGCACATTCAAGAAAGAGAAAGCTCTTACAACCTGGCTCCTTCAGGAAGCTCAGCCTTTCAGACATCAAGCATCAAGCTCATTTCATGTTGGGATGAAGAACATGTGGCCCCTTCAGATGTTTATAGACTACAGCTTCCATCATCCCTGACCATTGGGCCATGCTGGCAGGGGCTGGAGTCTAACACCATCTGGAGGACCACAGATTCCTCCTCCCTGATTTACATGACCAGGTCAGCATCACTCTGCAACCACAGATGATTATTAGTTATAAAAAGTTGCCAACACACACAGACACCAGAATACACATTTCATACATATTGTTCTTTCATTAAATTTATATCCTGCCCAAAGAAGCCAAGGCAGTGGGAGATATAAGGCCCAACCTAATGGGTCTTAAGTAAGCAGTTTGCTTAAAAAAAACAAACCAAATAACCACACCTGTTTTTGATACAGTCTACGTTTCTGAGGCAGGAAAAGAATAAGATCCCCCCAAAAATGGCATTTGCAGGATGTTTTTCAAATGCTAGCAACAGAAGAATAAATTCTATTACCCCTTGATAATCAGGATGGACTGCAATGCGAACAACTCTCCCACCAGACAGACTACCAAAGTCAGGATCTTGGAACTAGAAATAAAAAATTCGGAAGAAATGAAGGAATCATCAAATGGAATTGAAGAATAAGAATACATGAAAGTGCAAAACACCTGAGATGCAACTGAGAAGCTGATCAGTTACCTGCTCTGAGACGCTCCATGGAATGAGATCTCCCGATGCTTTCTTCCCCCTAGACAGACTGTTCATAATAGACTGACGGGCGATCTCTCCCTCCAAACATACCTGCCAAAAGTGGGGAGAATAAAGGAGACATGGGATTTAGTGCTAGACTAAAGCACAGTACTCAACAGACTAGGGCAATTTAATCCATAAATGTTAAAAAAATAAATAAATAGGGGTTGTCTTATACATGGGGGAGAAATACAGTAATTTTCCCTAGGAGTCAGTGATGAAAAGGTTAGCTCTCTGATGTAGGATTTGTAGCCTTTATCAGATACTCGATTTTCCACGGCTTGCTTTCTGGGCAAATTAATCAGAGCTCTTTAAACACAAAAGGCTTCGGGTTGGATCCAGTCTAAGCTCTGGGTACAATCTAAACACTCACCCTGAGGTTGATGAGAGAGCTTAGAAGGGTATGCAGTTGCCCCTCTGCTGCTCTCTGCTGCCCATGAAGAGGAGTGCGGCTGGTTGGGAGACTCCACCAGGGCAGAGACCCCACACTTCACCCTGGGGGGCAGGAAGGTACCACCAGCAATTCTTCAACCAGAGCTAGCCAGCAGAAAGCACCCAAATGGGGTGTTTGGGACGGGTCCATCAAACTCTTTGAGTCCCAAAGGGATCCAATTCTTTTGTCTCTCAGCTGCACCAGCTGGGAGGTGGCACAACGAAAAGGAAACTGCTCCTCCCCCACCCAGACACAATACTGCCCTAGCCAACACAAGCAGCAGGGCTTGTGATGCAGCTGTCAATCTGGCCCTCCACTCTGCCCTGCTGGTCCCCGGCTAGGGTTAGGGTTGCTCTGTTAGTTCCATTTACAGCAAATCCCATTGATTTCAATAGCGAAGCCAATTTAGTCTGCACCCAGCCCTCTGTGCCCTCTCTTACCTGAACGACAGCAAGCACTTCTGGCAAAGAATTCTGGGTAGGTGCAACAGGTGGCAGAAGGCAGAAGAGGTGATGGGCAGGAGCATCTGAAAGCATCTGGAGGTCATTGGGAGAGTTCTGGAAAGACAACCGTTGGGTCACAGAATTAGTTCTCCAAACCCACACAATTATATTTGTTTCTCATCTGATGAGCAACTATTTCACTGCGTCTGATTTATCTGCACTATGGGTTTTTGGAGGGTTTTTTGCAAAGAGAACTCTCTTTGAAGCAATGAAGATCATCAGCATCAAACTGATTTTTTAAATTGCCAAGCTATATAAGGTCATTTTGATACAGCAAAGTGTATATAGCATATAAGTGTATATAATAATAGATTTTATTTTCTTCCATCCAACTGCAAATACTGATCTTGCTCCAACAAGCAGGAGCTTCTCAAGTGGCATTCAGCTGAGGGATCACTCCTGTTGGCAGGGCAGCGAGGGTGACTTTTGCCATGTCTCTCCTTACGCCAGCCCCCAACACTCCCCTCTCTCACTGTTGTGAAGGGTTGCAAGTCTGCCCAGAACAGTGTCAGAGGTGGCCCGAAGGAAAGAGGGGGAACGGAAGGAATCAGAAAGAAAAAGAACCACAAGGAAAAGCACTTATGATTTTTGTCCAACCACAGCTCAGCAAGGAAGGTCAAAGGTCCCCCAATCTCCAGCCAAAGCTGGCAACAGGAACGGTGTCACCAACCTTGTAGTGAGAAGCCACGTACAGCGCCATCAGCCTTTGAAGAAAAGTCTCTGATGCTCGGTGATAGCAGAAGAGGGTGTCCCTATTCACGTAGTATCTGAGTGCCATGGGTTAAGGACCATCTCACCTGTGTCTCACTCTAGGAAGGAACTGGGAAGGGAGTAATTTCCTGGGAACAGTATGCAGCAGGAGGAGAGAGAGGATCATTCCATCTGGCAAGCTGAAAGGTTTGCCCTGGTGTAATGATCAACAGAGCTTGATACTGAATTCCTGTCAATTTTCCATCTCTCTTACTCCCCGTGGGGCTGCTAAAGGCCACAAACGGCATGAGAATAATCTCCAGCAGCAAGGATACAGGTCACAGGTTTCGGGCAGTGGGCAGCCAGATATAATCCTTGTGATGTTGAGGCAATCCAAACACAGCAAGTCGTTCAGCCACTTTTCGACTGGATCTCCCGGGGCATACCTAATGGATTCCTGGAGGGAAACTTCATGCAGTGAGCGAGCTGGAGAGAGAGAAAGACACAAAACGGCAAAAGTGAAAAATTTAAATCCATGGACAATTCATATCCATAAAAAAACCAAAACAAAGGAGCTAGGGAAGAACAAAACTCTTACACCCCAGTGTTTCCTAAACTGGTGCCTTCCATTTGGAGGGCAACAGGTTGGGGAAAGCTGCCTTAGCTGATTGTCCAAAGAATTATTTCTATTTCTATACATTTTACACTACTTAATGAAATAAAAACTGCTAAGTGGTTTATGTTTACATAAAAAACAACAGAGAACAATTTTCAATCAAATTTCCTAATACCTAAAATGTGATATAAACACAGAACTGTATGTCACAAAGAAAACTGAGCAGTGTACAAAACAAATTTAAAAATTAAGGGTTGAATCCAGAAATTAACCACCCTCGGCTCCAAAAGCCCCAAATGGGAAGTGTTTTCACATTAAACTCCCAAGAATGCGTCAACAGGTTGTGTCCTCCTCACAAGCCCTGAAAGCCCTCTTCACGCTGCCCAATAACAGCTTCTCACGCTGCCGCACTGTCAGCTCTCCATGTCAGGTAGATAATGCTTGGAACCTACTGTTTGGTCCACTGCCTGGAGGCAAAACAAGTACGCAGCCTCTCAGGAAAAGCTGGTCCACAACCCAGGCACTAAAAATGAACTAAGAGCCAAGAAGTCGTCTTGAATTTTTTCGATTCAGCACATTTTCAGGTCCAAGACACCTAATGGTGACAGCAGCTCAAAGCTCTTGCATCCATTTCCTGCAGTTCTTGGGGGGTGGGGGGGATTTCTCCTGCGTCAAGAGCCACTCTTTGGCACATATCTGAGAAATGTAGATGCTGTACTTCCGCAACACGGAGGTCACATTATGCAGCCTGGGGTTTCTCAGCTCTGTGGAATGACTATACCTGAAGACAGTTTCAGCGTTGTCGTCACCTTGTTCTCTGCTGTCATACTGGCCTGTGCTTGTGCACTCTGTTGCCGTAACTGCTGGATCAGCTTCAGGGAGAGGGAACGGCCAGTACCCTCATACCTATTAAGAACAAACAGACAAAGCAGTCGAGTGAAAAGAGAGAGACAGAAAACAAGTAAAGCTCTTGATTCCTGTAGTATCAAGGGAAGACTTCCACGCGCCATGACAGATTAGTGAGATTTAAGGCAAGTGAGCTAGAATGAAGAACTTACCCATTGATTGTAGAAGCCATGAAGACCAGGTAAGGGCCTAACAGGTTTTTCACCAGTGGGAGCGGGATAGCAGCAGCTTCATCAATCACCACCAGCTCAGCTTGCCCCAGTTTCACAGCATCAGCAGGGTGGATATACTTGCCAAGAAATGAGGAAAAAAAATAATTTTTATAATTATTATTATTACTATTACTACTATTTCTAAGTAAATGACCATTCTCTCCTGAGCGTTCAACCAATCAGAAAGAAATCCACAACAAATATAAATTATTTCTTTAACTCACACTTAGCTCCAGAACTGGCCTCCAGAATTCTGGAATTGGCCTCCACAGTCACGCACAGACACACTGTTCAGACCACACTCATGGAAGACAATCTTACTTGGCTACAAGTGATCACCAAAGAAGACTTAGCTCCATTTGAAGATCAATCACCTAGTTTTCCTTAAGATTTTTGATGTTGTTTATTAATGCAATATAATTCCACAGAGCAGGAAAAAGATTTAAAGGGGGGACTTTGAGCTAACAGAAACAGACAACGCCTTTAGAATATAGGCACAGTCTAATTGTGAGGAAGTATAAGCAGATATTCTAAGCAACGGATGAAAGACCTCACAATTAAACTTACATCACCTGGACACCAGAGCTAGCATACTTTAGAGGAAGAGAGGGAGGGAGAGGCAGAAAGAGAGCCCAGTGTATGTGCAAGGACTAAACGTCCCAGGTACCGATCTTGCCTGTGCTGCAAAACTAACCAAGTGGCTTCAGGAAAGTGTAGCATAGTGTATCTATGTTGTACATTATTATTTCCTGCACCCTACTGTTCTTCACGGGATGCGGGTGGCCCTGTGGGTTAAACCACAGAGCCTAGGACTTGCCGATCAGAAGGTTGGTGGTTCGAATCCCCGTGACGGGGTGAGTTCCCATTGCTCGGTCCCTGCTCCTGCCAACCTAGCAATTCGGAAGCACGTCAAAGTGCAAGTATATAAATAGGTACCACTCCGGTGGGAAGGTAAATGGCGTTTCCGTGCGCTGCTCTGGTTCACCAGAAGCAGCTTACTCATGCTGGCCAATAAAGTGAGATGAGCGCCGCAACCCCAGAGTCGGTCACGACTGGACCTAATGGTCAGGGGTCCCTTTACCTTTACCTTACCATTCTTCACATAGATAAGCAAGTATTTTAGCAATAAGGACCACAGTGGAAATTGTGGCCACCTTTGCAAAGAAAAAGAAAAAAGATGTGCCCTTGGGCCTGGACCATCAGGTCACATGCAAAATTGAGAGTGAGTGGGTGTAGTGTAGTGGTTAAGAGAGTTGTTCTTGGACCTGGGAAACCAGGGTTTAAATCCCCCCCACAGCCATGAAGCTCACCTTTGGCCAGTCACTCCCTCTCAGACTAACCTAACTCACAAGATTGTTGTGGGGATTAAATGAGGGAGAGAGCAGCCTTCTGGAGGCCACAGGCCAGTGCTGGGCAGAGCTATTAATGCACATTTTCCTTGTTCCTATACTTTCCTATCCAGGCAAGCAATAGGCTCAGGGACACATTTCAGCTAAGCAAAAACACTAAGCACAGTGCAAAGCAGGGGCAGTGAGGAGTGGGGCTTGAGGAGAATTCCAAGGGCCAGAAAGAGGGGTCTGGGCACCACATCCAACCCCTAGGTCCGAGGGCCTGGCATTGGGTGCAGCACAATACATCACGTCTTCTGAAAACACGGTGCTGAAGACTCGCTTTGGTAAACCAGTCTGACTAGGAGTTAAGCAGCCTTATCGAACTTTTGCAAAGAAGTTATAGCATTTGAAGAGTGCCAGGAACAAGTAATTGTGTCTACACATGCCTGAAGGAAAACCGAAGAAAGCTTCTATCAAAGATAAATCTACCTGGATAGTCTGCCTATGCTCTTTGAACACATTCACTCTGACGACTGCTTTGCTAAATTCAGGGTTGAGAGACTGAATGATCTCATAATCCAAGTGTTCCTGAAAACGACAGACATAAACCACATTAGGAACACCAAAGAAAATACAACCTAGCTTGTACAAAAAAAACCAACCCTTCAGAGCTAGTTTGGTTTCAAAGGTCATCTGAAGCTATAATTATCTAAAATTGTTCCACATATTTGGTAACCCCATGCTTTGTAAAAAAAAAACACAAAAACATTATTCCACCAGACCCTTAGGGCATAAGAATTTTCCCTCTACCCACTGATGGTTCTGCTGTTGTTTTATTCCATTGGTTGCATTTGACATTTTCAGTATGGCTTTGACTGTTATTATTGCAATTTGTATTGTCAGCCAGGCTTGCAACCCACTGGAAGGAAGGGCAGGATATAGGCCTATGGGAAATAAATACAAAAATAAGGAACTGAATCTAGAAAAAACATGACTAGAACACCACTATTGGAACAGGTTTCTTGTATTCCCATTGCCGCTGCAGAAATCTGCACAGCCTAAAAACAGCTCCTGAGAGTCAGAGAACTCTCTGGAATTGTGTGGGTTATACACAGGCAGTTGTAACGGGCAGGGGGAAGAAATTCAGGAGGATAACCGTGTGCAATGTACACAAAGGCACTCTGTGGAACCAGTCAATATCTGCTCATATTACCTGATACTGCAGAGCATCAAAGCCTTTAAATACAAATTCAAACAGGGTGTGAAGGTTATCTGGGCTGGGAGATGTGACAAAAACGTTGGAATAGCTGCAAAAAAAGAAAGAAAAAGAAAAACATGACAGAAATGAACTTTACAATCTTTTATTATTGTTGAAACAGTAATATAAATAATTCGGCATGTTGTAAAAGCGGCAAAATAATTTATCAGCTTTTTAAAAGAAATCTTGTTATAACATGACCCAGCTTTTAGAGAAACTGGAACTGAAGATGGTTTAAAGCAGTTTACAAAACAATACAAAAACCTGATGTAAGAAAAATGTTCCCCTATTGCATGCACATGTGCTTCAGAACCAAGTACTGAAGTACTCCTATAGTAGTCTTTGGTCATGTTTTCACTGGAGTGGTAAATCTGTTTCTGTACCATGGCACTTCAGAGCTACAGCAAGTTATGAACAAGTGAAGAGCTACATTTTCAGCTATGTCCAGACTCAAAAGAGAATGTGGATTTAACATCACCTGGAGCCTCTTGAAGGAAGAACAAGTTACAAATTTTTACATCAGTTATTTTGCAGTGTTTTTTAAATTGCTGCCTCTGGGCTGAGAGCACAGGATATTTGAAATCATTTCTGATTTCAGCCTTAACTAAGTAAATCATTGGTTTGACAGTAATTCTATAGCTAAATGTGGCAAAAATGAGCATATGGACCATTTTAATTTTTATTTATGGCTCATAACTTGGCAGCAGGGGGCAATTACCTATGTAGATTCATCATTACTGAATCAGTTCTTTTCAGACTTATGTGGAGAGTCCAGTTCTCCCAAAATACCTTCATGTTTTACCTTTTAAACACACACCCATTCTTAAAACACCCCAGAGCAACTTACCCAAAAGCCACTGCTCCAGCTATGGCCAACCCCAAGGCAGCTGATTTACCACGACCTCGGGCGGCTGTTAAAGCCACGGTGCTTCTCAGCGTTTTCTCAGAAATGGCTTCAATGAACTTCAAAACGGCTTTGGCCTAGCAACAAGGAAGCATATTAGAACAGTTTGGCCAGAAAAGCAAGACCACAAAACTAGAGAGCTGCAAGCAATAGCATATGCTAGTAAGATTTCAAGTTCATTCACTTATTCATTCCGTAAGATTTCTTACACATCCTTATAGTTATATAAAAAAAAAGAGCAGACAAGTAAAAATAATTCCAAATGGAAGCTGCATAGAATGGGTTAAACAAAAAAGTAGAAATTGGTCCAATAAAGTAGCTTAAGTATCTAAGGGTCTTTGGCATACAGAAGCTGAATAATGACGAGGCAAAACGTACTTCTGTATTAATATCAGACACCAATTTCATGCATAAAACCCCATCTGCTGAGAACAGGAGGAGATTCTCCAGCAGCTGGCAATATCTTTCATTCCCCTCATATCCTGGCTCCTCTCACCATGCTGAGCTTCAGCAAGCTTCATGAACAGGACACATGGGGGTGAGGGGCTCAAATAACTGCATCACCTTATTCCTGTTTCAAAGCCACACTTGCCTGATCCAGGGTTTTACAACCATCCACGAGCACTCCTACGGGCTGGGTGTCCTGGAGGCTCTCCTTTAGTTCCTTCAGCTCCATGTCCTGAGGACTCAGACTTTCCTCCTGTGAGCAAGAGAAGCGTCACCTAAATCAGAAAAGACTGCTACCTTGAATGCAAAGAGACACCACAATCCACAAGTAGCTCGCCTGCACAAATTTGTTTTGATGGGGAAATGAGCATCCTACTGCTCATTAACCAAACATGGTGGATTGTCCCTCAAAGAGATACAACTCAGAGCACCTGCAAGTGTGCAAATTAGCTGCATAGGAGCAATCCTGACTTTGAATGTATATGAAGTGACGAAGGCAAGAGGGTTGGGGGACCCTCCAACACTTCACTCCTTTTCCAAGGCCTGTTTGTTATTGTTATCAGGACCTGCTGCTCCAAGCACAACTCCAAAAACTTTATTTGTACTTCTGGAAATACAGCTTTTAAGCCCTGTGCCTTTGGAGCAAGAAGAAACAGAGGGCTCTCCTGTCGGAAAACAAGAAGAAGCAAAATAGAACCTTCCGCCAAGTCCTAAAAGAAGTTGAAAAGGCAAGTCCTGTTATTGCAAACTAAACATCCAAAAATCTGAAGTCAAAATCTGAATTATATGAATTTAAACTACTTACCTGAGACCGGGGTGGAATAGCAGCAATGTCTGCTACATGGGTAGAGATCGGGAGGATGTTAAGCTGATCATCAACCACCATGCAGGTTTTGCAAGATGCCAGAGAAAGAATGAACCTGTGCAATGAGACAGAGGACACAGCACCATTGTCACTGTTGTACTTGACTGGTTCTCCGCCTGCAAAATGATTCCTCGAGCTACAGCTCATGTACATGGATGGATAAGGTGATCCAAGAATAGTGTTTCTGGATGGCACATCAAGCCAGATAGCATAGACTGCTTCTGTATAGTAGCTCCCTTCAGCATTAATACAGTGCTAACACACAGGCCCTGCCAACTTCACAGCAAAGCTTAGGGAAGAGTCAGCCTTGGGACTCAAAGCCACATTTCCAACATGCAACAATACACTTTGTTCAACAGCATTTCACCTCCTGCACAGGTGAGTTTCCAAAAAACGAATGTGGGGGTTGGCAGAGCACTTGTTGGGAAATTTCAAGTCAATCTACAGAGCAGAAATCATAGATGTCCCAACATTTTGCTATTGAAAATTAGACCTTGTCTGAGCATAGCCACCCTACACAACAGGTGTGGGGTACCTGTGGCCCTCCATGTATTATTGGACCACAACTCCTATGTTCACTGGCCTTGCTGGCAAGGGCTGATGGGAATTGGAGTCCACAGGTCTCTCGTGAGCCAGGAGTTCCTCACTCTTGCTGTGCATTTCCCTACTAGTCAAGACTGAACACAGCTTCATGAATGATCTCTTGGACACAGGGCAATAATAATGAATGCAATTGGGGTGGGGGGAATTCACATTTAAAGTTACAAACATGCACTTAGAATCATACAGACTTCTGAAACAATAAGACAAATCTAAGCAACAGGACTAGAGCTTCTAAGATTCACCACCCCATTATGCTTAAATTGAACAGAATATTCCTTAAAACTTCCACTAGAGGGCAACAAGTACTTGGGCCAACATGGAATCCCTTCTAAACCAAAGGCTCAACAAACAGACTTTTCCCTTCCAAGGGTTGATAGTATTTGTGCTCAAAATAGTTGGGCAGCCTACCTTTCATTGAATCGGCCGACCACATCCTGATGTGCTTCTGTCCGGTAGCGAGAGTGTACATCCTGGGGAGAAGAAATGTTGTTTGTACGAAGCCTGAATAAAGCCTTGAACCTGACAACTTCAACGAAGCACAGGCACAGAACAGCCAAGTATTATACCGTCTTGTTAGACTGTGCTCCTTTCCAATGCCCACATTTTACCGACTGCTCTTTAAAAGGTTCTCAAGTTTACCTCTCTAATTCCCAAGCAAAGGCCCAAGTAGAGATGGACACTGGCCCTCACTAGCACATAGCCCTCAGCCAGACCACTCTATAGCTTAGGGTGCATGAGCAAGTGTGCTGCCTGCAATCGTCTGACTGAATAGGCCAGCCTAGTTTTCTGTCAGGTTGCTTGTGCTTCCAGCACCTGCATGTCTAGAAATTCTGCATCTAAAGCTTTCCCCATAACTGCATCTCCACACCGAGAAAAACTCCATGTGCTTGCCGCTTTCTTAGCAGCTAAGTGCAGAAATAAACAAACAGCTTTAATGACTCTGATACGCGTGTTCAGAAAGGACACTCATTGCATCCAATATGTGGTATGTTTCACCCATTCCAGAGCCAGATCTCAGCACTACAAAACAGGTTGCAGGACTGAAAAGCTCCTTTTAAGCTGGCATTATCTCAAGCCCCTAGTCCAGCTGTACACTTCAAATGGAACACAAGAGAACATGCCTGTACTACTTTCCCATGCAGTCCAGCACTGTCTGCTATGATTGGCAGTGCCTCTCTGGGCCCTCTATATTTCCAGTTACATGCAACCTCATATGTTTCTAACTGGAGGTGCCAGGAATCGAACGAGGGACCTGCCGTATGCAATGCATGGGTCCTACCGCTGAGCCATGGTCCTGAATAGGAGAGCTGGCCAATTTTCTGTTAAGCGCAGATAAAAACATCTCAGGAGGCATACATACCATGGTCATGGTGTAGAGCTGCTTCAGGGAGTTCATTGTTCTCAGAAGAATCGCCACGATGCCGCCGCCTTCCACGGTTTCAACTGTACGAGCCAGCAAATTGGGAGTCAAAGCTTCAAAGTCCTGGAAAAGATTGTGCCGAAAATTGACGCACCGTCTTAAGTAATGTGCCCGCAAAAAATGTGCAGTGCCAAGAATGGACATTCTTGTACAAATGGAGTCAGACAACAATCTGCAACATGATGGTCCAGTTTAGATGGATCATATCTTAATAAGCAGAGATAGAAGCAAGAGTTTTGCTCATGCATGCAGTCCCTTCTTCCTTGTGGTGTATCTGAATCAAGGTCTGCAATTATCATAGTTTCTTTTTTAGCTGAACCCGGAACTTCAAAGCACGATTTAAGATGAAGGCTTCTTCTGGAACTGGTAACCAGTTTCATGGTTCACCCAAAATGGGAAACTTCTGTCTTCAGCTGAGATATTATCCTGAGCATGGCTTGTATTTCACAGAAATGAAACATGAAGCTATGGTATCAAATGCCATTTTATATTTTTATTTTTGTTAGTAATGCAATGTGGAAAATACGTTTGGTACGATTTTGCACTTAAGAGTAAAGATATCTGCTACAGGGAACATTATGGATAGTGCAGATGAAGACTAGAGTTAAGGAGCAAGTAAAGTGCCCAAATAACTTGAAGAAAATGACTCTCCTATATTGAACGTCTTCCTACCTGGAGGACGCACATGCCGAAAGTATTTCCAAGAATTTTGTGTGTCTCGTTGTAGTAACAGTACCGAATGTTTGTGGCTGCTATGAACAACTCAAACGGGTCATCTTGTTTCAGATCTAACATTCCAGTTTTAATTTTCTTCTGCAACTGCCTCATTCTTTTTTTACGGTGGCTGGAGGGAAGATACAGGAAATTAAATTGGAAGTCCTCACTGAGGAAATTATCACATACTCAAATATGCAATTCTGTGCGTGTTAACTCAGAATAAAGTCCCACCAGGTTCAAGGATTTAATACGTTAGAGCCTCACCACATAGTTGCAATTTTTCAAAAAAAGAAAGAAAAGTCATACAAATGTTTTTACCTGCTGAAGCCTAGCTCTTTTTTATAACACCATAATACTGATGGTCTAGCCTTTACAGCTGCTTTAGACAACATATGATGAAGTATGACTACCTGTAAGGCAATAAAACCTATTATTACCTCCGAACAAAGACAACACTGAAATAAAGAATCTGGAAAGCAAACAGGAAGACTTTAGAAATACAATTAGATTTATGCTTTGCCTACACTTTTGAGAGCAGTGCCAGAACTTTCACATATAACCTTGTGCTACAAAACAATGGGGTATGGAATAATAAAAATGACACTCATGACAGAGACTTAAAAAAAAGAAACCTTAACTGAAAAGACAGATACTGTATGGAATTCAGTGTAGGACTAGGTGGGGAATGTATGCAAGAAACAAGGTCTGATCGCACAACAAGACTTTTGTGCTTGAGAATGCTGCTGCTTGATAGGTTTCATGCTCTATAGTTTATAGTTTGAATGCATTTATTTATTAATCTGCCAAGAGAACACTAGTTATGGGAATGGAATATAAACTGTCATCAATAAAATACTCCCAGATCCTTCAGTTAAAGTTCCAACTCAAAAAGTAATTTGTGGGCACACGTGGAAGTACAACCTCATGACATTTTTCCTAAGTAAACCAGCAATATACAGATAGATTTTCACAGATAGCAATGATTTTAGCTTCTCTTTCTCTACAAACCCTCAGCAGAGGGGACCCTCTTGGTAGTCCCTCAGTTCAGGAGGTAGGTGACCCAGGAGATGGAATTATCTGTGGCAGCCCCTAAGTTATGGAACTCCCTCCCCGCAGAAGTGCATCCAAAATATTCACTGTATTTCTGCTGTATGCTGAAGAAGGCACAGCTCTTTACCCTGGCCTTTGATACTTTGATATGCAATTAGTTTTGCACTGTTTTTAATGTTGTATTTTTAAATTGCCCTTGGAGCTTGGGGGTGAAGGGTGGGTATCAAAACAACAACAATGGAAATCGCTGCATATACCTTCTCTGCAGAAATGGGTCACAGTGTAAAAAGTCCCTGGAAAATGACCATGTTACTCAAGGGTAGGGAACCAGTGACCCTCCTGATGTTGCTGAACTCCAGCTCCCATAGCCCCAACCAGCATGGCCAATGGTTAGGGATGACAGAAATTGTAATCCAACAACTTTTGAAGGGCTGCAGGTTCCCCATCCCCAATTTAGATTTATGATGAGCAGCAATCCCAAGCTGAATGAAGCAAGCACATGCGGCCACTGCTTTTCTTTTAACTGCTTGCACAAATCTCCCAAATAAGAAGCCAGCACTTTCCACAAGCGCATTAACAGCCCCCGGATGAAGGTTATATACATTAGAGAAAAGAAGTCACGGGCTGCACTTCACCTGATCTTTGCTACGATCCCCTACGACAACAAAAAGTGTCCTGTGCCGTGCAGCTACTCCATTCTCGATCAGTATCCGGATGCGATTGTCCACTTTCTTGCGCTGCATTTTCAACTAGAGATCCTGTAAAGTTTTAAAGAGATATTGTAGTGATTCAGTGCAGGGTGGCTTCAGTTTTCACGGAGATAGCAGTCTGGGGGTGGGGGGGAATAGCAAATACCATCCATCCCAAGATGGCATTTTTCATCCTAAGCATAAGAACACCAATCCTCCAGCACTTCTGACACGTCTCCCCCCTCAACTCGTCTCCCTGACCCCTAAACTAAAAATCCCCAAATGTTGTAACCTTTTCTCGCAGAGGAGTTTTCCCACCCGCTGCTCATTCCGATTGCCCAGCCGATTAATTAATTATTATTATTATTATTACTGCCCTTTTGGGGACCGTCTTGCTGCTCTCAACAATACCTTGGGTACACAAACTTGGAATCGACACGTGCAAACAAGGGAGAGGCCTCCAAACCCAGCCGCTGACTCGGAGACTGTTTCCTTGCCTTTTCTGCTTCCTTCCTTACAGAAAGCAGCTCTATAAGCCAAGAGGACCCTGGTGCCTTTAAACTCTGCTGCCAGCTTCCCACGTGCAAGGGGGGGAAACCCACATGGACTGCGCAGCAGAGAGGAAGGACCCGGGCTGCTGACTCAAGGATAGCCTGCAAGGATGCCCTTCCGGAAAGAGGCGGCGCTGGGGCCGCCAGGCGCAACGCGGCCTGCAAGGGCTTTGCGCCGAGCCGAGGCCTATAAAGGATTCTAGGTGCGGAGCGGGGGGGGGGGGGGAATTCCAGCCGGGGGCCTTTTCCGCCTCGGCGCTTCTTGATATCGTATTGGCCACGACAGGAAGAGGAGGAGCAGGAGGCGCCGGCGGTCCTCGTGCGTTTAGCGTCCGCCCGCTTGCGAAGCCGGCTGGAATTTGTAGCCGCGGGCCTTTCCATTACATACGGATCTTGAGAGTCCCGGTGCCTTCGAGCCCAATCCTAGGCACTTGGTCCCTCTCTGCCCGCGCATAGCGCTGAGATGAAACCTGCCAGTAAAACTGCAACCCCGCTAATTTCAGGTGACAGCAATTAGAGAAAGATCTACTATTTGATTATTGACGTAAACCCCCCAAATGCATTTTATCTCTATCTTCAGTACATGTTATTTTATTGTTATGGCTAGTGGCTGATGCAAATATTCTTCTGATTCTGCAATTTTTTTCCGGGAGCGCCTTCACGTTCCGTTTCCAGCTTTGCTTCTCAGCCATGTGCGTTGCCCGCTTCAGTTCCTCGAAGGGCTCCCGTGTATTTTATCCTCGCAAAGAAGAAGAAAAGATCTCACCCTGTGATGCACTCCGTCGTTAACTGTCGCCACAACGCAAATAGTTGCTCAGAATATAGCCCTGCAGGATGAGCTCCCCAAAGCCCATCTGAGTCCAGTATCCTGTTCCCACAGCAGCCAACCATTCGGAAGCCCGTAATCGGGACCTGAGTGTAACAACAGCACTCTTCCCACGTTGTAATTCTCAACTGACATTCAGAGGTAGCGCACGTAGCTGATACAGGCAGGAGTCCCTGGGAGCTTTATCTACCAAGAAGGCTCAGAATCATGGCCGAAAATTTGATGCCAGTCTCTCCTACCTCTTCCTCAGCCTACACAAGAATAAATATATACAGGCCATGCAATTCTTCCAGCTGAATTTTAAGTTTTTGAATCATTGGCTTGACTGAAGTGTTTGTGTGTGTGTTTACAAACACCATTCCTGTTTACCATTTGTAACAGAGCTACCTTTTTAAACAGCTTACAGAAACCACTTTTTCCCCAGAACAGAAACCTCAAAATCTCCAGTAGTAAGACTTAGCTAATGAACTAATCAAGTTTGGGATAGGGATTAACAGTACAGTCCTAGGCCTGTCTACTCGAAGTCTTGTTGAATTCAGAGATAACTCCCTGCCAGATAAATATGTATAGCATCGTAGTCTTAAGGCTAAGCAAATTAACTTGAGATTCAGGAACACAGCTGCATTATACAGTCTATCATCAATTGATTCATCTAGCTCAGTATTGTGTTCACTGGCCGGGGGGCGGGGGGTGATTCAGGTATGGCACAATTTCCAGTTTAGCCTACAAGGCAGGGGCAGCCCAGTCCATTTTGTCACCTGAGGTGAATCAGGAATTGCCACCTCCTGTGTCCCCCCCCCCCCCCCGCTGTCGCGCACCCCCCCATACACACTTTCACTGCCACTGAGAGGGGGGCATTCTGGCAGTGGTGGAAGTGGGCAGAATGCTGTCTCTGGAGCTTCCGCTACCGGAAGTAGGCATTTCACCACATCTCACGAGCAGGCTGGCTCTGCTACAAGGCATTTTACCCAAGATTACACCAACTGCCCCACACCTGAGATCTACATAGTGGGCAGGTGGGGATGTGGCTGTGGTAGCCAGTGAACAATTGGGAGCCTTAAAGTGCATTGCCAATAAACACGCACTCTACCACAGAGCCATGGTCCTTACTGATGGTATTGTCAAGATGCAAGCCTCACATGTACACGATTAAGTGTTTTCAAATTGCTCCCCAGCAGGGCTTTTTTCAGCCAGAACTCAGGTCCAGCACCTCTCAGATGGGCGCCTCTAAAATGACAAGAAAACAAGGGGAGTTCATGGAGAGTTCTGATACCTATTTTTCAAGAAAAATAGCGCTGCTCCCTAGTTTGCGGGTGCTTTACAATATAAGCCTGTGCTTTACTCTGAAGTGAGCTCTGCATGGGACAAGTGCCTAGTGAGTAGGAAGTGTAGGTAAATAACTTATTTAAATCACCTGTCTTTTAGGCACATACATGTAAAGTACCTTCTCTAATAGAACAAATCATTTTAGTGTCACGTAGCACACCCTATATATTTTCATTGTAGTCCACCAATTAGATCAAGGAAGTTTGATTTAGTCCCAAATGTCTGTTTGCGGGGAGGGAAGTGCAGGGCTGGAAAGCAGGAGTCCTACTTTTCTCCATTCACACTCAAGATATATAAAACATGACTACACAGTAAACAAATACAACTTCTCAAAAGACAAATATATAATGGTTATCAGGACTATGTGTCATTTTTCAGCCATTTGTAATACGGGTCACATTCAGACCATATATATAACACACTAGGGTATCACTCTTAAGGGTGCTGAGGGTTGTGAGACCACCGATGTTCCCTTGCCAGTTTACTGGGAATAGGGATTGTTAAATCACTGGGAATTATAGTTTTGGGAGGGGATTAGAGGTCTCCAATAAGTCTCAGAACACTTAACAAGTTTGACAGTGATATCAGTGTTTTAAATGTATGGCATGAAGGTGGCCATTCTCTGCGTTTTCTTTCTCTATTCAGGCTTGAAATAGTTGCTGCGAATGAAACAAGTATCCCAGTGTAGTTGTTTCTATGTAGCCTTTACCAACGTGGATGATCACTGTGAACTTCAGAAATGTATCCATGAACATTGTTTGAACCACAGTATTAAGAAGATTCAACATCACAGGAAGGAGACAGGCTTAAGATGAATGGAAGTGTTGAACATTAGGCAGTTGCACAGGGCAGTTCAATGGGAAATACAACCTTCATGGATATTTTTATTCTTAATGTTTGTTTTTAAAAAGAGTAACAAACTGAAGACAAATACATGGCTAATTTGACATTAATTTCAGAGTTGGATCTGCAGATATCAGCCCTATGTATGCAGTTTATAACAGATGGGTGTTGCTTAGGTTGACACGCTATTTGGCTTGTGCTGCTGCCATTATAGAATTTTGCTTGTAGAATGGTGCTTAAAAGGGGGGCTTGGTTGACAAAAAAGCTAGTGAGTAAACATGTTTAGCATGAATTTTCAATAGCCAAAGACTGTAGTATTGGGTAAGAGTTTACTACTTCCTGAATCAAGGCAAAACAGCGTAACAGCAAAGATGCTGCAGAATAAACAAGAGGTGGGAATTCAAGCATCTTCCTCATGGTATTGAATGAACTGACCCTCAGTTCATTTCACTGCAGATGAAATATTATGCAGCTTCTCTATTTGGGCATTAACACCCTGAAACATGGGTTTCGTTCACATATCCACTTTTACATTAACTATAGTGAAAGTCTTCTCAGTTTTATTAAAATCAGTTCTGGAACCTAGTTTTAACTAGCATTATCTTTTGAAAACTTTCTACTACTTAATAAGCTAGTCTTGACTCTTTTGAAAAAGTAGACTTGTGTCTATAGTAATTACTCTGAAGACGGGGGTGGAGAACCTGTGGCCTTTCCAATGTTGCTCAGCTCCAACCCCCATCGGTCCCAGCCAGCACGCTCAATGCTCAGGAATGATGGAAGTCTCAGGTTTCCTGAAAATACTATGTGTACCTAATTGCCTGTCTATATTTACATTAGAAGTGTAGTCCCATGTCAGATTCCTTTACCATATGCTGAAATTTCACAACTATGCCAGCAGTGTTGTTTAAATATTACCTGACTTTCACCCTAAATTTTTAGGTTGGGTTGCGATTTAAAATACATTTAAAAGTTTTAAAAAACTTAGTACAAAAATGCAATCACAAAATTTAGGTGTGAAATTATGCAGACACATGCTTCTTCTTTGCACACATACCCAGTTGTGTTTAAAACCAGGCTTCCTTTCTTTCTGTGATCTAGGATGCAAATTATCTGTACTGGCAGAAGTTCATTTGGAAGAAACTGGTGGCGAGATTTCAAGTAAAATCATGATTGCTGGTGATGTCAGTGTGAAAATAATAAAGCTTATAATAATTTAAATTACATTGTTTTAATGAAAATCCCAGTTCTCACGCTTTTCCCATACAAGAACTACAAAATAAATGCCTCATTGGGCTGGAGCAGTAAAAGGCAATGGTTCACCAATCTGATCTGCAGTCAAAAGTGCAGAATACAGCTGCATAGGCACTAATTTCAATTTCTTCCAGGAACGTCCAAATTAATCACTACCCTCAATTTTCTAATTTTTAAAATTCACAATATTTGCATAGATATATTATTACAAGCTTGGCTTTGAACAATTCTAACACAACATGCAATTTAATAGTCACATTAGGCAACAGTCACAAGAGGGGCAACTTGCTATACTTTTAATGTACTACTGTAAGCACCTCTTCCTATCCAAATGAAGTGTGTAATTTTTAAAAAGGAAGATTGTACATTAATTAAAAGAATGCTAAGCTGATTGCAACAGTAAACTTTGTGTGGGTGAAAAGAGATGAAGAACATTACAATGGCAACACCGAAATCACAGAAAAGGCAGGCAAGGTTTTAAAATGTAATTTCTGTTAAGTGGCAATAGAAACAGGAATGACCCAACACACATTTGAATGTACTGTGGTATTTAACAAAAAGTAGAATACCAGAGAAAGATGCAGGGCAAAGCTTTGAAAGTTTTTTTTAACACCAGTGGTATTTTAACATACACTGAAGTTTAGGAATGTAGGCTGCAGTGGAATTTTTTAAAAATATACATCCAGAGTGTTTGATTCTAAATGTCATTGTTTTTTAATAAAGTCATCAGCTTAAAGGTACTGCAGTTAAAAAACAAGGCGCGAAAACACCAAGGCAGACAAAACAGTTCCATTCACTTAATGTCTACAGATTTTTACACATGAGCACTTTTCCTTAGTCTCATATGCAAATATAACTCCTACATTGCCTTCAATATGTATTTGATTTCTGTTAAACTGTTTGCCCCACTTTTAACACCATTCAGATGCAGAAAAAGTAATAGGAGGGACTCAAACTGCTTTTCATTTTGACTTGTGAGAAAGGTCTAGGAGGATGTAGATGAACAGTGAACTGATCATGAAGACTGAACACGGAAATTCTATTTTGATGATAAAGCAGTAACTCTAGAATGGGCACCACAAACAGACACACCTTTCTTAAAACAATTCACAAAACACCTGTAGATCTCATTACTAGAGACTGTTGTGAAGGGCAGTAGTTTTGCCAGATTAAAAAGGAATTAACAAGTGTATTATTGTATCAATATATTAGTTAAGAGTCTGAAGATCATAACTGAACTTTTGGATCCTGAAAAATAATTGGAGGAAAACACTATGGTTGGCATCTGTCTCTCTCGGGAGAAGCACTATCTCATGTCTTTTTGATGGCTGGTCACGGAAGAAGACAGGATTCTAACATACAAAGTGATGATCTAAATAAGGCAAATAAATACATCTAATACTGCTCCTAAGTTGTTTGAACTGTAGCTTTTCTATCACAAATAGGCCTCTATTAAATAGTACTTCACTTTTTTCCAAGCTATGAAGGTGGATGACAATTTCCTAATTCAATATAATCATTTAAGATCCAGTGATCATAAAGACTACCACCAGTGAAGTCAAAACATCACCACGTTGGTCTCCAACTCAGAGGTTGCATCCAGAAGTGGAACTCTATTAATTGTACACTTCAATGGACAACGGGGAGGTGATGGTTTTGGTTATTCCTCTTCATGCCCAGCAGCCTCCTATGCACCCTGCAAATCTGCTCCAGAGGCTTGGATGACCCTTTGGAACAGAATGGAAGGTAACAATTAAGGAAAGGGGAAATGAAAATTCTGTTTCCCTTCCTTCAGCGGAAGTGTCCATTACGGTGATGTCCCTTCAGCAAACAAAATAGATACAACCCAATGCCTTCTGGTCATGTTGAGTCAATATGAAGAACATAAGGAATCGATAATATTTAGAAGAGTAGAGCTCAACTTTAAGAAGTGTACTTTAGTTTGATTATATTCAAATATAGAAGAGATGAAACACTGAAAAGTTGGCAGAAGTAAAACAGTCAACAAATATTCCTCAAATTGGTTTTCCCAATCTTCTCTGAATTATTCCGTAACATTGAATGAGAATCTTAGTGCTGTGTTTTGTTTTTAAATACAGCAAGGGATTCTGGCCTTTATAGCTACAATATTGGCCCTGAAAGTACAAAAATAGTTGGGTAAAATCTCAGAAGCCAAAGAGGGAGGTTAGCAGTATTTCCAAAGTATTCAGAATGTATGGCTTGATTGTGCTGCATGGCTCCTTACAGCCAAAGCTTGCAAAAAATTGTGTAAAATAACCACAAAGTATGCTATTTGCATAATTCATACTTGCACAGCTTTTCTAGACAAAAATTGGGTGTGTGGTTGTGTGTATAATCACACCACAAATTTCTGCCTATTTAGTTCCTAAATCTGAACCTTTGGCTTCAGATACTGTACCAACCTGTTAGAAGACTTGCTTAGCTGTATAAAATGGATGGGGGTCACTTTTTAGAAATGCAAAAATGCTACTTGCAAGTACTTAGTAATTGCAACCTAGGGCAACCTCAAAGATGAAAGCAGGTAATTCTCATGGTGATAGCTGAAGTCTTTCTCCTTTCTAGATAAATGGAGGTGGGCACAGATGCTAAGTAATTTAAGAAGAAACCACTACTTGCCAATCAGATTTTAAAAATCTATTCTCTTTTTCAGTTCAATTAACTATATCCATGAAACAAAAACAGTCTTAAAAGGGGATCAGCACCAATACAAAAAGGGCACTGTGCACACAGAATCAGCCTCCTGCAAATATATTCCCAAATAATTCAGAAACTCTTCTTCAGTGGGTTCCATGGGCTGGACTGCTACATTCAACTGGTGCCATGAATACAATTCTCACTACCTGCTCAAACTTTTATGTACAGCTCATGAGATGGCTTGAATGATCAGCTTCAACAGTCTTCAATTGGGGGGGGGCAGAGAAAGAGAAAGAGAGAAAGGGAGAGGGAGGGAGAGAGAGATGACTGCATCTCATCAGAAAATAAGTTTCAAGACTCCACAGAAGATAATACACCTACTAACTTTCTGAATATCTTTGAACGTTAACATTTAAAGTTCTGGGAATGTGCTTCTGAAGTTTCTGTTTCCCTATTACATTTGCAGTAGTCACTTAAGATACGTTAAAGAATACATTTTTTTATAAACATGTTTTATTTAATCTTGCTTAAATCTGTAACTGCTGGCTGTAATTTCCCTTAAAGGGGAAACCGATCCAAACACATACTGGTGCTTTTCAAAAGAGAGCAATTTAAAAGGGCAGCAGCAGGGATTTGAGATTTCTTAAAACCTTCAGGCTGCAAAACAGAAATAATGTAACCAAAAGTGTTATGAATAACCATTAATTCCCATCAGTACCGGCATCAGTTATTTGGGCAATAATACAGCAAGATCAAGTATCAGTGGCAGACAAGGGGAAAAAATAAGGAAAGATAAGAATACCAATCCTTACAAATGTCATTGCTATCCCAGAAATGTGTTCAGGAGAGAATTCTTTAACACTTCACATTGCAAACAAATGTGGCCATTCAGATTACATCTTCTATTTCTTACAGAAAAATTTAAAGTGCCAATCAAAGCCTAATTCTGGGTTTACACAATTATATCAACAGCTACACAAAACAATTAATGCATCCCTTTGCCACAGCAAGTCAGGCCTAATAAAAAAAAAATGCTGTAACTAAGGGTGTGCCCTAAGCTGTCCATCAGCTTATTAGTTGGGGTATAGGCATCATTTATTATGCATCACAGATGTTCAGTGCTTCAGTCTAACAGAAAAAGCTGAAATGCAGTTGCTCTGTCAAACCACAATTCGCTTCTTCCATCTTCCTTTCATGTAAAAGTTTAAATACACCAATTTTCTGAGTAAAACATTTAGGGATTTAGATATTTTTATCCGAATTTGCTGCAGCACTATATAATGTCAATGGAGTCAGTGGGGTTATTTCTGCCTGTTCAGTTAACTATGGAGATTTTCATAACCCTAAAACTGCCATTTTTGCTTTTAATCAGAGCAAGGGTAAAAATTCTGGATCTCATGTGCAAGGCTCAAGATGATGCTTAGGATAGAACATGCAGAGTAAACGTCGTTTCTTTCCATATCCAGGTATAAAGCTGACAACTGTAGTCTTGTCTTTATGGGCAATGAAAATAATCCCTTTACTATGAACTTCCTATAAAGGAGAACCAAGAGATAGCTCTTCTGGAACATGTATGGTACACTGGCCAGTGTGTTTTTGGCGTTTAAATGTAATCCTGTGAATTAGTTTAATTCACTTGCTGAGCATTCATTTGAGGCATCCCTCTGTTGGGTCTTGGGGGCCCTCCACGACCTAGAAAATAAAAATAGCATTTTATTTTTGGATCAAGTGAGATCCTTTAATAGTCAGAATGGCTGCCTCTCTAAAGTCTGGTCCCCTACTATGTTTGTCTAATAAATGCCTAGAGACAGTAAGAAGAGGAATGATACCTATTTGCTCACCAGGTGAAGACAGGCTTTGAATGTACACAAACTTACTTACATCAGTCTTAAATCTAACCTTTGTTCCAAATGCCTACCAATCTACTACCAATAAGCCATAAACTATATTTCAGTGGCACCTGAACACAACTAGAAAGTACTATTGAAATGTAGTAACTGAATAACAGTATTATATACAGTTCTAAAACAAAATATAGTATAGACAATTGCCAGTGTGCTGATCCAAGAGACTAAAAGGGCAGTATCTGGTTAGAACTACTTCCAGTGGTTCTATTTCGTATTTTGGTACATCAAAGCAATCATAAGAAATTCCTGTAATTTACTTTCGTTCAATGGATTTTCTGGAAGAATTTATAATAAAGTTTGCACTAGATGAGATTTAGCTATCTTTTTTGCCTCATCTTAAGTCCTACATCCATTTTCAGCTGGTGCACTAAAAAATGATTGGCTTCTATCCACTCAAGAGCAGGCATAGTGCCAACATGTAGAGTCCCCCACCCACAAGACTAAAGAGCCCTTCCTCCCACCAAGTGTGCATACATTGGTGACATAAGGGGGCACTGCAGGGAACTAAATACCTCTTTACGTGCTTCCTATAGCACCATCCAGCTTCCTTCTGCACATTCTGTGCTCATATTGGCAAGGGAAATTTGGGGTGGGGTGGGGTAAGAGGCTCTACTGAGCCCTCTGGAATGAATTCTTGCACCCACACTTGACTGAACTGCAGCCACTGCTTTGCCTATTTTCCAATTGCAAACTATTTTGTACACTTAAGTATAAAGCAGCAAACAGAATAAAGTTGTAAATATGTATGCTATTTACATGCGAAATTGAGTAGGTCTTTTTCAAGAGATTCCATCTGGATACAAGAATATAGCATCTTATGTAGCTGAAAACAGAATTTCTGAACAGGCTACAAATAATGCAAGATCTTTATTGAAATCCAAGTAGCAATAGCAAAATACAAAAGCAGACACTATTGGAGCTTGCCAAACATTTTTCACAGCAGAATTACAAACCTCACAATTGGGTAAGCTTACATTTTCAACAGTTGCTTGGGCAAGGAATAAAAAGCAACCTAGTAGCCTTAAATAAAAGCCGAGAAAGGAAGTTTAACAATATACAGTTCAAAAATCAAATTCATGAACAACTTTCAACAAATGTCTACAACAGTTAAACACATGTGAACTGAAACAGCTGAAAGTCTGCAACTCCTAAGAACCTCTCTACAGATTCAATCAGAGATTCACCACTTGAATATTACCTCGAGGGGCTCCCCGAGGACCACTTTGTCCAGAGCCACGCTTGAAATTCTGTTGATATCCATCCTAGAAAAAAAGATGACCAAACAGAAGTGCAACAAGTTGCATTAAAATGGTTTTAAAAGTTTGTCATTTCAGTATTTTATTTCAGGATATACTGTATTTTTCGCTCTATAAGACGCACCCGACCATAAGATGCACCTAGTTTTAGAGGAGAACAGGAAAAAAAATATTCTCTCCCTGTCTGCGCAGCGCCCCTTCAGCGAAGTGGCAGGAGAAACGGAGCCCCTTCCATTTCTCCTCCCGCTTCACTGAAGGGGCGCTGCGCAGAGAGGGAAAGCAGCACAGCGCCTCTCCAGCGGAGCGAATACAGGAGAGCAAGAGAGATCGGTGCGCACCGATTCCTCTTGCTCTCCTGACTTCAGCGAAAGCTGCGCAGCCTGCATTCACTCCATAAGATGCACACACATTTCCCCTTACTTTTTAGGAGGGGAGTGCGTCTTATAGAGTGAAAAATACGGTAATTTTTGGAAGTCCCTGTCCAGGATTCAAATGAGCATATGTGCTATTTCAGTCACACCCTTAAAAGCCATTTCAGAAGATTGGGGGACAAGGGGATGCAGCTAAAAGAGAAAGCCATTAGCACCCTTCCTTTCTTGTGCACACATAGAAATGCTTTCTGTTCACACATGGGGCAGATGGAATTGTGGCCCCATGGAATCAAAACCCAGAAAATGACAAGCTTGAATTTGAACACAATATTGCAATGTCCCTAAGAACAGAGTTCTAGTCAATCTAGAACAAGAGATTTGCAATGTTGTTCGGGGGGGGGGGTGAGAGAAGACAAGAATTTGGAGTGGTGAAAGAATACCTTTTTTCTCAACTTCCACCCATCCCCTGGTGATCCTATGTCGTTCCATATAGCACTAGGCAGCTGCCCACTCCAACCCACAGTATTTTATAAGTATTATTTGAGGCAGGAGAAGAGAAGCACGGGCATCTTTTTTCATTTCCTTCCTCCTGAGAAAGCCACCACTTCGCTTAGGGAGAAGAGTTGGGCTATTTAACCGCACAGCACTCATTCCCTCCCAACTTGAACCCTCTGCAGCTCCAGGGTACTTACTATATGCTGCCAGGGGCTTGAGTAGGCCAACTTCCTATCTCTGTCTGCCCTCTCCCTCCCTTCAAATGACACACTTTCTGTGTCTCAACTCAACCAGAGGTATAACTGGTAATATTCTCAAAGGCTGCTGGACCTCTGGTTTTTTAGGCAACAGATGGGGAACCTTTGGCTCTCCGGATGCTGCTGAACTACAACTTCCATCAACCTCAGTAAACATGGCCATTGGCTAGGCATGATAAGAATTGTAATCCAAAAACATTTAGAAGACCAAAGCTCCCCCACATCTGCTCTAGACCCTCCTCTCTCTTGGCCATTAGCAGTTCAAGTTCACAGATTGCTGTCAGATATTTTGGGGTGGCTCTAGTTAACAAACTGCCTTATAATTGGCAGTATAATTCTATACTTCTACATACTTGAGTTATGTAGAAACTTCTCCCTTATTCTTTGGTGAGCTCATTTTGCTTCTCAATTGATAAGCCCCTCACCTAGTAACATCAGTACTAAATGGAGTATGATGACAAATGGATGCAGTCTAATAAAGCAGACTAGGAGCAGAAAGTATATAGGCAGTGGCCTATTTGTACCCAATGGGAAAACTGTTAACCAAGAATTTCTAAAAGTAGATTTTATCTTTAGGTTAAAAATCAATCCAAATATTAATTTCTTATGCAATGAAACTTTTATTAAAATATGCATTTTCTCAAGCATTATAAACTAAGGAACTCTTTCCACTGTCCCATCAACTTACCCGCTGGTAGGTGGAATAGTCGCGAGGAGCACTGAATTGTGCCTGTGTGTAACCACTATTTGGAGTGTTGGAAAATGAAGGGCGGTAGCCATCATAACCTCCTAAAAATCAGAGGGGAAAACTAATTGAAAAGTATTGCATACCTTATAAAGGATATATGTATATATTCAGAATAAAACAATATTCAATTTAAGGAAAAAATATTCTGTATTAAAGAAAGCAATCCAAGCTGGTAAGCTTTCAGTATAGACATTGTAGTTGTAGTCCAATATCATCTTGGGACCCAAGGTTAAAAAGCACAGTGACAGGCTTTTACAATGTAGTAATTTGCAGCAGGAAAATACAGTATGCGTAACACCTAACCCTTCCTGATATCAAGTAAGTGGATACACATTTAAACTACACCTGGGCTCCTGGGCACTATTCATTGTCTTCAGTTTTGTTCAAGACTTCACATTGTGTGTAATATATACTTAGCAATGTCATTATTTAAAGTGATTTAATAAATGCAGGCACCAAAAGAAAGAATCCCACCAAATGCCATAGTCTGAATAAATGAAAGACTTGCTTTTGTAAGCCAAGGAAGTAACAAGCCCTGAAAAAGATGCAGCCATTTAGCAGGTTACAAAAATGGAAAGTCAGTTTCATACTACATCATGTTATGTTTCCAGTCAAACAACTCCATTGTTAGTTCATATTCATAGCTTGCTGTCATGTAATTTTTACTTAGTACCATATGCACTAATATTATAGCAGAGCAAAAGCGGCAGCAAGCTGACCACTCTGTAGTATATTAAATAAAATAAAATAAATCAAAGCATGCCACTACAATGCTTAAGCTTCTGGACAGTTTGCATTTCTGGAAAACATTCAGAATTAGTCTCAAAAGGTTTTTAAGTTTTTACCTCTAAACCCATTGGCTGGTCCCCTGTATCCATTCATTAAGCCTCGAGTGCCGCGTGATCCACCACGAGACACTCCTCGGCTGTTATAATAAGGCTGACTGTTACGTGGGAACCCAGTATTCTGTTGTGGAGGCTGCTGGTGGTTACCTGCCACTTGATGGGACTGGTCCGGGGAACCATGGTAGGTGCCAACCACTAAAATGAAGAGAGAGAGAAGAAAGAAGTGCAAAAAGCTTGAATTTACTTATAATTCCAGTTTCCTAAAGACTCAAATAATATCAAGCTAACTCACCAATGAACTTTGCTTAAGAGCCACCAAGTACGACAGTAAATGTTTACCTACCTAAAGAAAGATTGTTTGCAGAATTAAATTGAACATTGCAGTCTAAATACCCTGATCATTGAGAATGTTCTCTGGATGTCCTTTGGCATAACCACACAGATTTAATTTGATAGTGCTTAACATTTGGGAGGTGAATTTTTATTTCATGTAGTGCATAAATGTACCAAACTGCACTTTTCTCCTAAGTTCCTATAAATACTATAAAACGTCCTTCCACCTCACCATACATGCTTGAAATGCTACTTCAACAGCATCAATCAAGATATGCTTTGTTTGGTCTACATTATCTTGAAAACTTATATTTTCAGAATGAAGCATTTAAGTTCTATCTTTCACAAGTTTACCTGTCTGAAGCTGCTGTTCTTGCTGAAGTTCCGATTGCTCTACTTGGTGAGGCTGATTGGAGAAAGGCTGGCTGTAACTGGTCTGGTACTGATTTTGTTGCTTTAAAGTTTCTGGCTCATTGACAGGAGGAACAGGTGCATTCATGTTAAATACCTATAGGAGAAGTAAATGAGAACCAAAGAGATTCAATATTCTGAATAAATTGATAAATTACCAAGTACACTTTGCAACTTTTAGAAAGTTAAATGTCTTGGAAACTATTACTACTGTCCACGGTACAATTAACCATTATGTAATCAAGATGCTGACTTACAAATGTTTTGCAATCTATAATAAATATGATTGTTTAGTACTTACTGTCTGCATGGACTGGAATGGAGCTGCATTAACATTGATTCCGCTGCTATGCAAAGGTTTGCTAGAGGCAGCCTGAAATACCTGAGGCTGGGATGCAGCTGGAAGAGGTGATGATGTTGGTGTCTGATCTGCACTTAAGGTTATTGAAGCCTGCCAAATAAATTTCAATCTGATGTTAGCAAGCCATGAATCAACTTCGTGTGATATCATATTATAAAAGCATAGGTAACTGATGGCCAAGCGTTCCCAAGACAAGGATAAGCTAAGATCCCTACTTATCTAACACTTATTATCATGCTCTATGTCTTTGAGATATGGACCTAAGCATTGTCCCTCTACACTACACCCATATACATGAGGTTCTGGAGCAGGTTACACTGAATCAGTAATGTCCCTCCTCCCCTTGCCAAGCAAAATGAACTTGCCTGAATCTGGTCAATTGATTCTTTCTGAGGCCGTTGTTCTGTTGAATGAGAAGGCTGATACATGGGCTGGGATGCTGTATATCCCTCACTTGTGGAAGAAACCAAGGGGACCTGTCAAAGTTTTAAAATTAAGCAGATACTCCTGCCAGGGCCTCTGGGTAAATTTCTTGCTATTAATCTCATATGGTTTTACTGACACCTGCGCTAACAACATTCTTTTGCTCAGTTCACATTACCTTTAGATTACCTTTAGTATTCATTACTCCCAGTAAACAATTACAAGTTTTGCCAAAAGTTTTATTTTGCAAGTTTCCATCACAGGCAGATGAAAAAACAACATTTTGCTAAATTTTTGCCACATTTTAGTATTTGCAGAACTGCATGCAAACATAGATGTTCATACACCTGAGTGCAGGCTAATACTAATTTCAAAATACTTGGGCCTATGATAAGGACTTTCACATGATGGGGGCAGGAATAGGCCTCAGACCTTCCTGACAACATACAAATTAAAAGCTTGTTTTGAGCTAGGTGAACTGAGCTTACAATACAAACATTATTTATCAGATATGGATGTTTCTTTCAATTCCCTGCGGATTGGGAAGAAAACACAGATAGGCAAAACATTCATATGGGGACTCCTGAGGACAAAATCCAAGGCCCAAATATGTAGTAACAGAAATCTGCCTTACAGAGCACCAAAAGATTGGTGCCTCTCGCTTGCCTATGCCGACTGGCAGCAGCTCTCCAGGGTTTTGGGGGAATAGAGAGGAAATTCAGCCAATAGTTGTCCAGGTACAGTTCTTACCTGTGTGGCTTCAGGTTGGACAGGAACCTGGGTGGACTGCGCAAGCCTCGATTCAGTATGAACTGGAAATACAGTAATATTACCCATAATAAAATAGTGTGTGTGTTAGATATTATCTGAACTACTGTCTATTTGTTTAATATAAGCTTATATATTTCTGCTGTAGAATACTGCATTGAAATTAAACGTATTTGTTTTCCACATAAAACCTAACAGCTGCAAGCACAGCCTCAGATTGTATCCGATTTTTTATTAATCAACTACTTGCTCTTTTGTTCAGTATTTACAAGCCTGGCATCAAACAGACTTCATCAGAATATAAAAAGTAGTCACATTGAAAACCTATAAGATGACAAACGTTTCTACCAATCAACTCCCTTGACAATGTTTAAATAATGCACATTTCTAGATTTAGATTTCTGAATTCTTAGTAACTTAGTACTTCCAACTATACCAAAATCTTACTCCAACTAGATATGAATTCGATTTTACCAACCTGGAGGGCAAACCATCTGGGGTATATCCAAGTTTTGTGCTGCATTCATAGGCTGAGCTGAAACAATAGCAGGGTCGAGTGCCTGATTCTCAAATTCCAACATGGAGTCCTAGATAATTAAGACAAGATTCAAGCAAGCTGAACAAGAAACAGAATCCCTTCAAAAGTACCATATATACTCGAGTATAAGCCAACTTTTTCAGCACATTTTTTATGCTGAAAAAGCCTGCCTTGGCTTATACTTGAGTGAGGCGGGTGGCGGCGGCAGAGGGACGAGCGACCCGAAAGGAGCCCTTTCTCATTGCTGGTCTCACCACCTCTTACAAGGGCAGGCACAGGAGCCGCGGTTGGGAGAGGCGCTGCGCTGTGCCTTTGGGGCTGCTTGTTCTTCCTCCGCCGCTGCCGCCACCGCCAGGTTTGTGCTGTGGTGAACCGGCTTATACTCAAGTCAATAAGTTTTCCCAGTTTTTTGTGCTAAAATTAGGTGCCTCGGCTTATATTCGGGTCGGCTTATACTCGAGTATATACGGTAACCAGCAAGCCAGCCAGGGCTGACCTCTCTGAATTAAATGAATGCAAGTGAAATGTGCCCAATTTCAACTGGACTGTAATTCCCGAGAATCCCTTTTGACCAAATCCAACTATGAATAAGGAAAACAACATACCTGCATGAAGTTGTAGGGGCCTTGCATTTGTGCCATAAGGTCCTGTACTCGTTGTCTCCTAACAAGAGGATCTGCTTGAGCCACAGCAGTAAGCGTATGGGCATCTGGAACTGGAGGAGATGTAGCCTGTGGCTGTTGCTGGAGCGAATTTACCACCTACATCAGAAATGGCCAACACTGAGAGTCAGTCTGTCAGTTTCCGCTACTGGCCCACTATTATTATCACAACCGCTAAACTGGATGTGCAAAATATGATATGTAAAAGAATGCATTTCCTGCAAAGGAAAGCATTCTCATTTAAAAATGAGTATCATAACTTAGTATCGCTGCTTGTTCAGCTTCACTAAAGATAGAGAAGTGAAAGTTGGCTGTAGTGAAAATCGAGGGCACTAACATCTGACAATCCACCACTGAAACCCCTTTATTGTCTGCATCTATGTTGCTCACATGCTTTCAATGCTGATTGGTAATATAATGAATAATGTTAATTTTAATCCAGACTGACAAATAATCTAATGGGTTCTGCTTGTGTTCAAGAATCTTTATCAAACATTCCCACGCATCAGTTATTCAGCAGGAATATGAGGAAAACTGGTTCTGATGTTGTACAAAGTATATAAATGCAATTCTTTCCTCTGCAAGAATATATGTTGCAAGATCAAAGCAAAATGGAAAATGTATCAACAGAGCTAATTTGTGTTCCTTGAAAATATGTAAAATGTGCCCATGCGTTTTGCAACTGCGTGCATGCATGCTGCTTTTAGAATGCAATTGCATTTTGACATTTGAGGCACTGAATAGATGTAAGGCAAGGCTTGAAGTTCAGTTGTGCATTGAATTATTTCCATTCTTCAAGAGAGATTTCAAAGTTCTTTTTGCCTTTTGCAGACTCAGGAAATACTGGACTAGAGATACTTTATTTTAAGGAACTTTATAGTACAAATGCCTGGGGAGAAAATGGAAGGTGAAACTTGAGCGGTGTTACTAATAAATAAAGTTGTTTCCACAGGAAACAGGTGTTCGTGTGTATAAGTTGCTCAAAGTATATCTACAATTAGCCCTATAGCATCTAAAGCAGTGACAGGGAATTTCTGATTCTCCAGATGTTGTCCCAGCAAACCCAGCCAGCATCGCCCACAGTCTGGGACAAAGGAAGGCATAGTCCAGCAACAGCTGGAGAGCCAAAGGACAGTCAACCCTGCTCTGATTAAACACTTGTGGTGCCACATGTTAGAGGCATTAAGGCAAGCAATGCAGTTTTAAATAGTCAAGGAAACATCAGCATTATCCAATACCTTCAAATTTTATAAGATTGAACAAAATAGAGTGGACTTCAAAACCTGGTTATCCCAGAACCAACATTTAAAGTCACACCATGGCTGAATATGCACTGATAATATTGCTGTAGTAATGTAACTTGTACATATAGTTCATTGCACTTTTTATTCTATTTAAATTTAGCTCTTCTTTGTCTACTAATGCAGACATTTGGGGCTAGGTTTCCTGCCAAAAGGTGTTCTTCTAGTGCTAGAAAGTTCTGTGTGTTTCACTGAGCAGGCAGAATCCATATGTGAAACTGCAGAGACCATGAAGAATTAAAATAGCTTTAATATTCTTATTATCCAGAATTTCAAGTGTAACATTTTTATCTCAGGACCAGGAGAAAAAAAAACACACACACACACACACACACACACACAAAAACACACACACAGTTACTGTTACAATCTTAGGTAACAATTCTTTTTAAAAAAAAAACCTGTTTCATTTGATAACTATCAACATTTATCACAGATAGCCTTGCAACTACAAATGTTAAATGCTTGTGGCTTTTAATGATATATTGAAATTCCACATAAAATGCTGCATCCTGGCTTTAAGGTAGATGAACAAAATGTTACAAAGTCTACTTCAGATAGTCAACTGACAGATGCACCATCTCTTCAAAGGCTGAAGACAACTGTGGACAAAGCTGTAAAAATTACAATTAGTTTATATTCTAGAGTTAGAGTGAACCAATGTTTTATAGAGTTCTACCATTCTGAAAACATCTGTTCTCCCTAATGGATGGGTTCATTCCAATTTGTTAATGGAAACTATCTTAGGACAGACATCATGCTGTAATTAGTCTTCCAATACCAGCAATACAGACTCCTGGAATATAAATATAAATCTCAATTACACTATTTTACATATGGGGAGGTTTAGTGACCGTAGGAGGAAATTCTAAAGCAGCACTAGAGCGTTTAATAACAGATATAGGCTTGGATCCCCTTCCTGCTCACTTCAACCCCCTGCTCAATCTAAAAAACTACTTCTAAGTCTCAGATTCTACAGAACAGTGTCAGAAGTAGCACTGAGAGCTACAGAGGAAGTGGGATACTGGCAGAAATAAGAGGAGGGAACTTGTATAAACACCTTTGTATCTGAGCCATTTTATTCTAACTTGTCAGTCTACTTTTAGTTGTGTACTAGCTTATGAAATGGGATTTAGTTTACATACTGAATTTTCGAAATTAACTGTGGGCAATAGCTAGCACTGACAAGGGGACTACCAGCTCAATCATGCTAAAAGACCACAATTCTCTTTAGATTTACAGCTGCATTCAAGCTACGAGGGAATGAAAACAGATTGTAATGTTACCTAAACATTCAGAACACCTTACCTCAACAGTTTCAACTGTCCACTCATCTACCTGTTCCTTCTCACTACTGCTGAACTGAGTCTCTGCCATGAACTGTCTGTTTACATACTAAAATAAAAGTGAGAGAGTACAACAGTAAGACAGTAGCATTCATTTTTAAAAGGTGCCTACAATCTTTCCACTGTTTAGTACCTCTGTTGATTCAACTTCACTGGGTTCAGTGTATTCTTCCGTTGGTTCTGGCTCTAAGAGGAAAATACATGATTTTAGGTAATGCTATACTGAAACATAATACATAACTTTTAGTTTACCTTCACCTTACAGTTTTAATTTACTATTAACAATTTTAGTAGAGATACATTCATTCAAGAAACCACTTTTTGAAGTGTTCTGAGCTTATATTTGATGCTTTTGTTTTTGCTATTTATTTTGGGGGTTTTTATTTTGAGACTTTTCCAGTTAATTTGTTTTTGTGACTGTGTGGATCCCAGTTCAGCTACTGACTGATTGATTGTGTGACTGCAGAAATGGATAAAAGCTCCCCATCCAAACAATGACTATCATCAGTGCAGGTAAGAAAAAAAATAATTTTAATTTTTGTCATCTACAATACTGTTTTATTTTATAGTACAGTATGTTGTTTATTGCTTTCATTTGATGGATCAATGGTCTCGTAAGATAGTAAAATTCATGTTAAACTGCTGTTTTAGGGGTTGTTTTTGAAAGTCTGGAACGGATTAATCCGTTTTGCATTACTTGCTATGGGAAAGTGCGCCTTGGTTCTGGAACTCTTTGGTTTTGTAACAGACCTCCAGAAGTTTGAGAAGCAAGGTACCACTGTAGTTAAATTTTAAGTACTTAAGAATTTAGTATGCATACAAGATGAAGGTTGGTCATAATAAGCACCCTGTAAAGGAAACATACCCACACTACAAACTTTATCTAGTTTAGAGAACTACAGCTTGTTTGGGGAAAGCCACAGAAAGTTTTTAAAAATCAGTTTAAGTTTGTAGGATAGATATAACCAGTTACACGAGATTCTAGTTTTGTTTTCCATGGTCGGCTCCAATAAAATACTAAAGGTTTCAGTAAGCCTATAAATCTACTGAAGTTGCAATTCTATTCACATTAACTTGGAAATAAAACACATTAACAAGCCTAGGATTAGGCTCCTAATATATATTTTTAGTTACCAGTTTCTGCAACAGCATCTTCAACTGTAGGTGCAGGCACCGTCTCCTCTTCGTCACATAATCCGTTCTGCTGGTTGTGAGTGTCAAAGTAACTTGTTTGAAGAATACGTTCAATAACTTCTCTTAGGGCTTTATCTGTTATAAAAACACAGATATTTTAAAAACTGTTTCACCCACTAAATACCTGAGCATTTTAATTTTATCAAATTATTTTATTATTATAACACTAACAAAGGGCATTGCAGATTAATACCTTGCACTACCCACAGCACAATGATCTATTTTGCAAATTTCTGCATTGTTTATTTTTAAATAAGGACTTACTTAAGATGAAAGTCATTGTATGTAAATCCAAATTCTTCAAGAATAAATTTGTGTATCAATGGATGATGCACACACAATTCAACAAATTAGAATTTTGGCTCTTCGATGTTTCTGGAAGTTAAAAACTATCCAAAGCCTACATGCAGGAATAAGAACTCCTGACTTGTTAACTTTCACTAACATGAGAATGGAAGAAAGGCATATGATAGAATAAAAACGAGAATTACTTGTCTAAAGGTAATATCCAGTGTTAATCATACCCACTGAAATCAGTGGCTCCAAGTAACGTAAGTACATTTCAATGGGTCTACTCCAAGTATGACTTGGTCAGGTATTATCCTAAGTGGCCATGCCACATATTAAAATGGGCAAGGACAAAAATAAATCATCTAAAGAGAGAAAAGGAAACAGAACCTCTACACAAGCAAGAATGAGACCATTTTTCTGTAGTGTTATATGGTGCAATTTGTCTGTCACTGAAGCCACAGGTGTATGAAGTATAAGAAAAAAACTGATAGGCCAAGCTCAAGCTTAAATAGAGGAACTAAGTAGCCAGGACTAAACTAAGGTCTCAGGTAGATAGAGGATCCCAGTAAATGTCTGTAATGAACAACATTTTGAGAAGGGTGTGAACTTGTAGCACCATGCAAGATGACAGGTAACTGATAGGTATTTGTATACTATTTTGACAGATAAAGCAAAACAGGATCAGCAGAGAAGAAACAGTATTTTTTACAAAGAAAGGATATGGACAATGGACATAAACCTATAGGAATCTCTCAATAGAAAGGACTTTGATATGGAAGTGATCACAAATTCTAAGGTATAAACTTTACTGATGATCCTCTGAGTGAAGAGGAACACAGCAAACCTGCTCAAATATGTGGGAGGTAACTATTCGGTCTTGGTCAATCAGACCAACATGCAGTACGGACAGTTGTCTCCACTGAAATGCTACCTTGATGCTCACCAAAGGCAAATTCAAAGCTCTGGGTGAAGTGACTAGATGTTGACACTTGAAAAAGACGAGAAGTATATGCCTAGCATTGATATAATCGTATCTTGAGTGTGCTTTTGCAGGTGTGATAGGAAGACACAGAAAAAAAAATTATCAGTTGCATCTGAACAATCTTGACAATTCTGCCAAAAAATGCTATGGCATAGTAAGCAGTCTAGGGATCGAACAATCCCCTAGACATGATGTGCATTTCCAAGGAACAGAAAAAGCTGTTGAGTTCATATTTCTAAGTTCCAGCCTTCCCCAAGGATTCAGTAGAAGCATGTATGAGTGATGCATCCCTGCAAAACTCTTAAGACATGAGTAAAATGTAGACAGAGACAGCAATGCAAAAGTGTTTAGAAAGTTGTGTTCAAACCAACAACTGTTCACTTAATACCAAGTTGAATTTTCCCAGTTAAAGTGACAGACAGCAGATTTAAGACACAAAAAGAAATACATTGTGACACAAAGCACTTCCCCCACTGAGACAACAAAAGGAGAGAGCTCCATCAATGACAGGAAGCCATAGCATTCAGGAGAGCAGCTTCCATACACAGAGACAGTACCTCCAATTAACAGTAAGTAGTGGTGTTCAGCAACCAAATGTACTGTGTATTTATGTCCTGTCTGAGAGCTATGCAGATCACTCATGAGACCTAGCATAGCAAAATTAGCAGGTCATCCTATAGGTGGCTTAATCTAAACACAAACATTCTGGACTCAATTTTACATATGCACTGCAAATGAATATTATGGGAGATAAACTATGATCTCAACCACTAAACCAGTAACTGAAACATGAAAACTATTTAAACCTATATTATTAAAATGACAAACAGTTTCAACACACAAGTTGTACCCTTTAAACAAAAATAGCTTAGATAAACTTTTAATGACAAAATTCCTCAGCAAATATGACTAAATATAGTGATTTAAATACACTACTCTTGATTTGGTCCTTGAAGTATGTAATCATTTCTAAATATATCTTCTACCATAGCTTCTTTCAGCCACTGTTAACAGTTAATTATTTTTGAAATAATGTTCTCCACTCCTTTAACTGTGAACAATTCTTCAGAAGGCTCTGGATTTATATAATATACCAACTATGACTGTATACAGCAATTCCATACCTTTTATGTATGACCACATTGTACTTAGGCATCTGTACGCTGTACATGGGAGATTCCATCAAACCACCTGAATCTAGTTTCTTTAGTGTATTTGCTGCAAAATTTTACTCCAGCTATCAGTTACGACTTGATAGGCCTGTGAAATTATCTGTTTTACTACATCAAATGAAACTTTGAAAGGCTTTTTTGCTAACCCAATTTCTGGAAAGCAAGTGTTGCTAAGCGGTCACAAAATACTGATGAACAAAGGGAAACCAGCAATGGTTTTCATTAAGTGCTGAGTAAGGTTACATGATAATAGAATACAATCTGCTGTAAATTAACATACTGTCAGCTATTCAGCTACTATATATCCACTGACACTGGAAATAGCATGTAACAGAATCACTGTGAATACTCTCAAAGCTTGGTATTTGAAGTGCTACTTTAGCTCTAATGTTAAGAAAGATAAACATACTTACAGGTTGTTCCACATACAGGCTTTTCCTTCCCTTCCAGTAAGTCCCACAGATGAATCGATGCCTGTTCATACTGTTCACTCAACCTTCAACAAAAATATTAATGGAAGCATAAGATACCTCAAACCACCTATGTTGCAAAGGAGATTAATTGGATTGTTTCATTAACCATATCAGAATCATTCTGGCAATCACAATACCTCACATTCATGTCCCGTTCAGGTTCAACTAGCTTGTAAAATTCATCTAGTGTTGACAGTTCCGTCTCTGTTAATACCGGCACTCCATTTGTTCCTTGCTTTAGGTCATTTCGCACTTCATCATCACCCAATTTGTCCAAAATAAACTGCAATTCAAGTACTGTTTTTAAACGTTTTTGCTCAGCTTCTTCTCTCATTAGCTGTTCCCGTCGAGCTGTCTTCTTTATTGTTTTTTGAATCTAGTAATAAAGTACACTAGGTTAACAATTAACTGTGACCAGTTTAAACTGTTACCCTCTCTTCACTTATGAATGAACAAAAAGTAAAATATTCCCAATTTTATCAGCATTTCAAATATTCTCAATGTTTCCCATAAAGTTTTATGGAATGTGGACAAACAGGCATGCCAGCTGTCTTTCTCTACTTCCATTCTTCCCAGTCCATTGCCTAAGTCCTCCACTCCCCATCATCTGTGGCTTACCACCTTTCTAGAACTGTATCTCTGCCTCACATACTGCATTGCAGCATCATGCACTATCATCTAAAATAATACTGAAGCATAATGGAACCAGACTGCTGGAACTTATCAAAAAGGTCTAAAGAGATTCTAGAAAACCTGTTTTAATATCTGCATAATGTATGTGAAGACTACATAGGATCACAGACATTTTTAATCTTTCAACGTTTGCGATCTCAACAATAGAAAAAAAATCAACTTTTGACTCATGTTGTCCTCCTCTATTCCTTCTTTTCAGCAGAGCTATGTCAATTTAAAACAACAACAACAACACCGGATAAAAGGAAAGGATTTGTCATCATTTAAAAGTGGGAGTGCTTCTTTATTAGACTTCTTTTGTGCTCTTTCAAATGTAAGAAAAATCAGCCCAACACTGCTACAAGATACATGAAAGATTGGGGGGGGGGTATCCACATCAACCATATTTTAGGAACGTCATTCACAGGTACCACATTCATTTTGACCAACAGCACAATCCTAACTAACCATGTCTACTGAAATCAATAGGCCTACTCCCAAGTAAGTGGAATCAGGAGTGCAGTCTAAAACGTTAAACAAGAACAGAGAAAAAAAATCTCACTGTCCAGTTCACAAATCACAGTCAAACTATGGCTTGGGTACATGGTGAGTGCTCATTTTATTTCAACTTGCTAAAATGATTCCCTTTTCCACTTCCTGATTCACAGAAGTCAGTTTGCCATGACACACAAAGCAGTTTGTTGCCTCTATGCAGCCAGTGCCCTAAGTGTCGTCTGAACTGAACCATCAACTTTTACTTACATCCTGGCTCAGGGCCATGAAACTCCTCTGCAGTTCCTTAGCAAATTCCAGGTTATTACTGACTTCTTGGTGCTTGGACACAGCATCCTGGGGGAGGGAGGAAAATTAATGTTGCCTCTTTTGAAGTTTGAAAACTTGGAAGACTCTCCCAACTTTAATCCTCAAAAAAGAAATCTACTGTACGCTAGTCTTTACTTTAGTGTACAGACTTTCCTCCTAGTCATTTGCATAGAATAGTTCCATATTTTCCCTTATGGCAGAGTGTGTATAGATATGGTTACAATGCACCTCCACTGAATATAATAGAATATAATAATATAAAGTACTGTTATTAAGGTCTCTCATTATCCATGATAATGCAACAATTAGAATAAAAGAACAAGGGCTAAAAGAAGCCAATCTCTTATGAAAAATCTTTCAATATGTCAGTCAAAACATTTACCAACTGGTCTTGGTTAAGGCGTTCTCCTTTGTTCATTCGATCCTGATAATCATCAAGTTTGCCCTGTAAAGAAAGAAAAAAGTTTCACAATATATATATACCTCAAACAAATTTAAATGGAACTGACTATGTTATATACTTTATAGAACACAGAAGCCCAGTTTGCCATGTTCCATTGTTTAACAGGAGAAATCAAGTGAAATTATTCAGAGACAAAATATCACAAGAGTTTTCTGAGATTAGGTATTTATTTATGAACCACTAGAATACATCTGGTAAACATACAGTACTAGGATGACATTTGTATTATTTCTTAAAATATAATATGCATTTTCCCAATTTAAAAAGAAAAACAGCTATACTGTAACCTTAAAGGGAGTAGACATGTACTGCAAGATCAAAGTTTAAATGTTTATCTGACCATGCAACATTGTATCGAACTGCTGAAATAAATGAGTTATTTATTAGCTGCTTTTCAGGGCCAGGATGTTATAAAGCAACATACAAAGAAAAGAAAGGCAACATAACAGGCACTGTGAAGCACAAACAGATACATACTGAATTAAGCACCCAAGTTCTCTTATAGAAACGCAACAGAAAAGGAGATGGTGCTATTCCAACATTAGTCCCGTTAAAATCAATGGTGCTACTTAAGTAGCACTGAGTATGACTTAGCTGGATATTACCCTTAAGTTTTGAAGGAGTTACCGAATGCCAGAAATTAAAGAGACAAACAAATATTAACTGGAAGAGAATTCCACAACTGTGGGGCCACCACCAAGGATGCTCTGTATCATGTGTTCACCACCCTAGCAGGATACTTAAAAGCTGATAAAATTTTGAAGTTATAGAATTCCTACACAGATTTACCCAGGAGTAAGCCCCGTTCAATTCAATGGTGTTAGCTTCTGGGTAGCCATGTGTAGGCTTGAGCTTACAGGCTTTATACAATAGTTTAAGGAACACATTACATTTGTTTCTTTTAACTTGTTCCACAACTTTTTGAGGGTTTTTCTTCCGCTTTCCATTCCATTTTTTAGTAATTCTTTGCAATATCCAACTTGTCATACGCAGAGTAGACGCATTGAAATAAAGGTGACTAAAGCTGCTTACGTCCACGGATTTCAACGAGTCTTTGTCTGGTATCACCCATCCTTCCCACACAAACACACAGATTCCATATGCAACATTCATCACACAGAGAACCTCAAGCATTGTACCTGCCCAGGGGAATATTATCACACAAAGCAGTTTTATGTAGGCTCCTTATAGGACCATTTATATTAAAATTAATCATTTGGCTTTGAGTAAGAAATATTGTCATCTAGTTCTTTTCTTTAATGTAGTATACTGTAGAATCATGAGTTGCAGGAAGTATCAAAGGTCATCCTGTCCAACCCCGACAAAGCAAAAATCTATTACCATAACATTCCCGATAGGCAGCTAGCCAGCCTCTGCTTTTATCTTAAAGGAGAGTCCATCACCTCCTGAGACTATAGTAATGTAAAATGTTCTTTCTATCCTTTAGTCATATTTTATTTCTAATTTGATTCTAGTGGTATAGGTTCTACTTCCTTGGAGTGACAGAGAAACAAATCTGCTGCATCCTTTATGTGAATGTCCTTCAAATATTTGATTTTTGTATCACCTCTTAAACAGTCACTTGTTCACCCAATTTCTTCAACTATTCCTTCTGTGACTTGGTGTCCAAACCCCTCAACTTATTCATGCCCCTTCTCAGGACATATTCCAGTTTTTCAATATCCTTCTTAAACTGCACTGCCCAATATCAGACTTAGTATTCCAGATGAGATCTGATAAAGGCAAAATAGGGATACCACCACTTTTCATGATCTGGACGTTGTAAAATTGTTTTAGCCTTTCAAACAGCAGTTTTGTGCTGGTGACTCGTTCTTAGCTAGATCCTAATCCTAATCCACGTACCATCATGGTGCTCGCCAGATGCTGAATTGTCCAACACCAATCATCTCTGACCACAGGACATGCTGGTTGGAGCTGATGGGAACTAGAGTCCCAACAACACTTGGGGGCATTACAGTGGCTATGCCTACCCTAGAATCTTTTTGAATACTTTTTTGAATACCTAGAATACCATTGTTAAACTAGGTTCTACCTACCAAAATACATGAATTTTTTCACTGTTGCCAAGGGTCAGCTCTAGAGTAGCTCTTCTTTTTGCCTGCTCTTCCATCTTCTGGAAGATCAAGTTGTCAACCAAGTTTCATTCTTTTAATAATCTGCCAGTTAATATTTATCCTCATTCCAAAACATTTTCAACTACTAACCTCCTTTCTTGAAATATCCAAATGGGCCTTACTAGTCCTGAATGACTCCTTCCAATTTTGGTAAAACGGTGCTGTATCCTTTCACTAATGTAGGTTTGCCTATTCCAAAAAGTGAAAATCCAGACAGATTTATTTTTAGTGCTGAGCTTTTTTTAGTTTTGCCCAAAGTTGTGGCTGCAGTATTTCAGATGTGTCCGGACATTTGGCAACCCTAACTAATGAGAAGCCTCTTCCACTCATAGACCCCAGTCTTCAGATTCAGTAGAATAGCACTTCGTTAGAAAAGTAACTCAAAATCCAGAGGAATGAATCTGTCTGTGCAGACTTTTGTATAATAATTTGCAAAAGCTCATTCTCAGTATCTTTATGGTCTGCTGGTTTACACACAACTATTTGTGTGTCCTTATTCACTGCTTCTTGTGCCATATGCCAACTGTGATACATTGTGGCACTGAACTGTACTTCTACCTCTTGCATAGGAACTCACGAAACACTGAATTTCCCTCTTATTAATGGACTTCCTCTCTGCACTGCTGCAAATTATTGTAGTTAAAAACAGTGTATCAGGCAATAAATTTCAATTGTCCATGGGAACTAATCAGCAAGATTACCAATTCAAATAATCTAAAAATGAGTGTTCCATGTGCCTTCATTTCAGTGCTTTTTGTAGACTAATTGTTCTCAAGATGCCAGGTCTAGCCTTTCTGCAATCCAGGAGAAGTGAACATGTAATAAATTTTGGACTTCTGCTTTCTGAACAACAGCTATCTCTCCTCCACCCCACCCGCCAACATGCCACAAGGCAAATCTATTTGGAAACAGAAGAAAGTTTCAAAGTCAATCTGGCACAGAGGGCCTGTCATTTAAAGAAAAATGCTTAACTTTCACTAGGCATGCTACAATAGCTCTTGGTATCCGAGCTGAAAATGTGTCAATAACCATAGTATACAAACCTGTTGTTTATGAAGACACTCCTGGTTTGTACTATTAACTGTACTCTGTGCTCATTCACGCCTAGACTGTGATTAAAGCCAGGATGAATTTGTAGGTGGGCAGGTAGGTACGGAGCAGGTAGACTATTTTGCCGCACCTCATGTGTAATACAGCAAATGCAGTATTTGCGGAAGAGACTGGAGAAAGCATGCAAGCTTGCAGCAAGATCCCGTAATCGTGGTTGTAAAGTGAACATTTTACATCTGTATGAGGCCAATAACCTAGTACAGTGGTACCTCGGGTTACAGACGCTTCAGGTTACAAATGCTTCAGGTTACAGACTCCGCTAACCCAGAAATAGTACCTCGGGTTAAGAACTTTGCTTCAGAATGAGAACAGAAATCGTGCGGCGGCCGCGCAGTGGCAGCAGAAGGCCCCATTAGCTAAAGTTGTACCTCAGGTTAAAAACAGTTTCAGGTTAAGAATGGACCTCCAGAACGAATTAAGTTCTTAACCCGAGGTACCACTGTACAATGGAACCTTGGTTCTCAAACGGCTTAGTTGACAAACAAATTGACTTCCGAAAGGCAAAAACCTGGCAGTATAAGTGTTCCAGTTTTTGAACGTTTTTCGGAAGCCGACCCTCCAATGTGGCTGCCAGCTATTGTTTCCAGGGCGCCTGCCCCAATTGGAAGCTGTGCCTTTGTTTTTGAATGTTTCGGGAGTCAAATGGACTTACGAAGTGGATTAAGTTCGAAACCAAGGTTCCACTGTAATGTGGAACCTTGGTTTATGAACTTAATCCATTCCGAAAGTCCGTTCTTAAACCAAAGCATTCTTAAACCAAGGCGTGCTTTCCCACAGCAGCGGTGGACTCAATTTACAAATGGAACACACTCAACATGTTCTGCTTCCAAGGCAAAGTTCACAAACCAAAACACCTACTTCTGGGTTTACAGTGTTTTTAATCCAAGTTGTTCATAAACTAAGATGTTCTTAAACCAATGTACCCCCGTAGATTTATTTAACTCTCCTACTACGAGTACACCTAGCTGCTCCACTTTTAGAAGAATTTTAGGAACAACTATACAAATAAAATGATGAAGAATCCAGGGACTCTCCCCCTCCTGCTGCGACCAGCTCCCCTTCCCCATGTCTCCTAGAACTTGCAGAGAAATGAAACTGGAAGAGCAGAGGGTGGTTGTGCGCAGACGCAGCCCAATACTTCATGGGAAAGACCCTGAAGAGGAGGCATCTTAGTAGACACTAGGAAAGTAGGGGCCTTTAGTCCTCGCAACTACTTCATCAGGGCAAGACCTCCTAGAAAGAGTTGCTGAGACCACTAGGCCTGAGCTGTGGTTTGTTTCCTTGAATAAATATTTAACTGCACTAGCCTCAGGTGATTTATCATTTTTGTTGCTGACTCCAGCCTTGACAGCTGATTACACCCAATTCTCTCCATTTGATTCCAGTGTTTAATGTCTGTAACAGGTGGATTAGGATCAACAAATCGAACCTTAATCCAAACAAGACAGAGGTGCTTCTGTTCAATAGATAAACCAATCTATGATAGTAATTCATGCTATTTGCATGGGGTTGCACACCCATTGAAGTTTCAGGTATCTAGTCTAGGGTACTTCTTGATCCAGCTTGCTGAGATGTCAGGTGTTGGCAGGAGTGCCTTAACCATCTTAGCTGGTGGGCCCATTCCTAGAGGTGTCCAATGACACACACCTTAAATTATATCCAGATTTACTATTGCAATGCACTCTACATAGGCATGCTTCTGAAAAGTGTCCAGCAGCCTCAGTTGGTGCAGCCTGCAGTAGCCAGATTTTTAAGCACAGCTGGTTCATCCCACAGCTGGGATCATCTTGCTAAAATAGCTACACTGGCTTCCAAGTTATTTCTAGGCACAATTTGAAGTGCTGGTCATAACCTTTGCAGTCCTAAACAACTTAGAACAAGGATATTTGGTGGATAGCCTGTCCTTGTCCCCCATTGTTCAGATCTTCTAGAGAGGCTTCATTGAATCACACCAGTTTCCAAGCTGTAGAAATGAGAAAGGGCATTCTGCTGCAGCTAAAGTGTGTCATTCTCTCCCTTCAAAAGCAGATACCTCACTCCCTTATCCCAGGCTTTGGTTTGTAAGATTATGTGTCTTAGGCTCTTGCTACTGTGTCTACTGTTAATATTTTATCTGCTCTTTTCTTACAGCTGCTATAGTCTATTAATCCCAGTTGTTTGTATTTTTGCTACTGCATTAGTATTGTCTTTATTTTTGTATTTATTATTACCACCTTTAGTATAATTCATAGAAAGATGGGGTAAAAATATTCATTATAAATGCACAATATAAAGCTTGAAAATGTTGCCTTTATACAACTGTTTACTACTCTCAAACCTTTCAACCAAAGAGTTCAACTGGAATCAAAGCTAAGTCATCAAAGTAACTATCAAGGAGCAATTTTATATACAGAATAAAACAAGCATAAGAATATTAGTTTTAGGCACCAAATTAATTGGACATCACATGAGTGTTATTCAGGCATAAAGATGGATACGAACAGAAGCTTGCAAGATATACTCAATTATACTCTATTTTCAATTTTGTGCTTACCATCTAGTCACCAAATAGACAAGCGAGTTAAACAACCACTACAATTTAACTTTTATATTTTTCACTGAGCAACAGATTTTTTAAAAAAATTGAAAAGCTATCTGGCACAACAATCTCCTTAAGAGTAAATACAATGTTCCAATAGGAAACAGCTTGCCTACATTTTTCACAGTGCAGTTTAACTCTGTGTGAAATAGTTCTCGAAAACCTCCTTAGCTAGCTTTAACATTGAAAAGAAGTTATTTTCACTTTCTATTCCAAATAAAGCCTTCTACTTCCTTCACATTAACTTTTACACCTTTAACAAATACTATCTTTTCACTTGACCCGATGCAATCAAAGACACCAAAAACTGCTGTGCTTACTTCTAAGTTCTATTAGCATGAATGCAACCTATTTAAATAAAAAGGAAATTATCAATTTTAACATAGAAATTTAAAATAAAAAATAAAATAAAATACAGTCATACCTCGGGTTAAATGTGCTTCAGGTTGAGCGCTCCGTGGCGACCCAGAAGTAACGGAACGAGTTACTTCTGGGTTTCACTGTCCGCGCATACGCAGACGGTCAAAATGACGCTGCGCGCATGTGCGGAAGCAGCGAATCGCGACCCGCGCAGTTGCAGGTTGTGTTTGCTTCTGGATGCGAACGGGGCTCCGGAACAGATCCCGTTCGTATCCAGAGGTACCACTGTATTTGCAACCTGCAAAGTATTTATTATCTGAATCAATAATTGTGGATCATATTTGATTACAAACCAGATAAAAAAGGTAATCCTTCCTACTTGATGATGATATTTGGAGCCAGATTTAGCAACAATTTAAAATCAGTACATCCACGACAACCATGTTAGAAAATGGCAGAGCATTTTCCCAGTTTAAGGGGATTACATACACAGCAGCAAGATTGTGTGAACAAATGCAGTGTGTGGCTCCCCTCTCTGATCTAGTTGCAGGACCCATGGTGCGAAAATCCTGCTGCTTGGTGAGGAAGGATTTTATTCAGTTCCCACACCTATCCTTCCTTAATGTCAGATAACTTATGAATTTTTAAGCTATAAAAAGGGTTCTGTGTAGCCCTAGGTGATCCCCACATGTATTAAATTGAGGTGCTATTTATAGCTAATGCTAGAGTATATACTGTATCATTTTTTTTACATAATGGACACTATCCATGGAGCTAGCACACAGGTGTTAGTGACAGTGCTGGCACATGAGACGTATTCCATGAGTTCCTTGGTGGCAAGCTTCCATGTGCTTTCCTTCCACTATCTATTGGGAGGTTAGACTGGAGAAGCTGCTCAAAGGAAGCTGACAAAATATGTATAGGTTTTGCTTAGGGCAGTCACAGGATGAGCCACCAGACTAGGTACTGTACCCTTATAGGTTAATTATAAACACAAAAAGTAAGCTATTTATCTTTAAAGACTTAAATAAAAGTATAATTATCTATAATTTGTACCAGAATTTTCATCCGCATTTGTGTTCTGTCAAGTTCTACCTGCACTGGAGAAATGGGGCAGGTAGCCAAAGCTGGTAAAACACACCCCTAGCCACCAAGGCTACATATGTCTCCAGTGACAAAGCTGGGGTATACAACCCCATCCAGAACAGGCAATTGGCCAGTTTCTTGGACATGGGATCCACTCATCCAGAGTCTTGCCAGGATTTAAGCTCAGCTTAATTTCCCTCATACATCTCAGTGCGTTTTTTTAAAAAAAATAAAAATATTTAACTATTTATAATCTGCACTTTCTTAAGTATATCAAGTACTGCATTCAGGCACTGGTCCAAAGCCTGCAAAGTCTCTCCAGCTTCAGATAAATGGAGCTGAGTGTCATCAGCATACTGATAACATCTTGCCACAAAACTCCTATTGACCACTCCCAACAGTTCTAGAGATATTAAATAGCACAGGGGTTAAAAATACAGCCCTGAAGCACCCCACAGTGCAAGTGCCAGAGCAGAAAAGCACTCTCCCATGCTCACTCTGGAGGTTATCAAAAGCTGTGCAGATCAAGAAACAGGAGTAAAGCTGCACTCCGCTTGTCCCGTTGTTGATAAAAGTCATCCATAAGGGGGACTGAGACTGACTTGGTGTTATGGCCAGGCCTAAGGTCAGATTGAAATGGGTGTAGATCAAGGGTTCCCAAGCATCATACAAGTGGTTTGGAGTGTCTGTAATAAAATTTAAGAATCACAAAACATCTAGTACAGCACATTACAATTGCTACAACAGGCAGAAAATTAAGTGATCAGTCAAGTACATCAGCAATTTTCAAATTGTTCATGGGGGAAGATTGGGAGCCACTGGCCTAAATAATCTGTGGCATCTAACAATGTCTTCAAGCTTCCCCACTAGGACTCTCTCCACCACCTTTCTAGAAAAGAGGTATTTACAACTAGCTGGTAGTTATTCCAAACCAAAAGGTCCAGGGCTAATTTCCTTGAGAGTGGTCATCCCACCACACCTTTCGAATCAGCAGAAACCACACTCTGACACAGAGAAGCATTAACAAATCCTGAACACAATCAGTCAAACTGTTAGATTTGGGAACAGGGGTCAAGTGGGCACATAGTTGTGAACATAGTTGAGAGTATAGGTGCAAGCACTTTGCCCTTATGTGGCTGCATAAACTAAAACCAATTCCACGAAGATCACAGACTCTGGCATTGACTATTTTGACTACAAGCGCAACAAAAGCAGTGTCAAGGTCACTCTGAAGCAAACTAACTTTATCCTCAAAGTGTGCAGCAAATTGCTCACAGCAGCTCCCTGAATGCTCCAGAGGTTCTTCCCCCACAGTGGGAGTCAGCAACCTTTGGACAATCTGAAATAGCTCTGCCAAACAGCTACTAGATGTAATGCAAGCTGCGAAATATGCATTCTTTGCCACCTGTGCTGCCACATGGTAGTCACAATTATGTTCACTAACCACTGTTGGTGGGCTTCAGACTATGTCCTGTACCATCTGGCCTTTAGTCTTTTGTCCAGCTCATTTCATTGCCTGTAGCAATGAATACCAAGAATACCAGAATACCAAGGAGCCAGTTGGGCTCTGCAACACCAGAAAGGATGCTTAGGACCAATTGTATCAACCAAACAGCCATATTATTTCAGCATGTATAGAAAAGACCAGAAATTTGACAGGCTCAGCAGATTTCTCCACTAGAAAACCCCCAGTGTGTTCAGGAACCCAGGAGGTTTCATCAGTCTCCAAGGGTGGCCATTCAAACAGGCCCACCATCTTTGAGAGGGAGAATTGCCACCATTTTGCCAAAGTTTACCTGAGAGTTATCTGTCCATGGCCAGGGAGTGCATTTTACCCCCCTACCTTCAGTCTATCACTCAAGGTAAAAACCTGCATCAAGCATGTGCCCTGCCCGAGGTGTTGAACTGATGACATCTAAGACACCTCCATGGTTGTCATAGAAGCCATGAAGTCCCAAGCTGGCCCTCTAGCAACAGCGATGTGGGTACTGAAATTGCACAGGTCTATCGTCCTGGGGTCCTCCAGCACCATGCTAGATAACATCTTTGTCAGGGAAGCAACTGGCCAGCAGGGAGGTCAATATACCAGCACCATTCTGTCTGTCCGGTACAACACCAGGTGCAAACCTTCTAAGCACACCCAAATGTCAAGAGGTTTTCTGGTAAAGGAGATGATACTTATGTGGATAATGGAAGCACCCACTCCCCTCAGTCTGCCCTGGTGCTGTAACAAATACCCAACCTTCCATAATACATACCAGGTCAGTCCTCTCACCACAATCCAATTGTGAATGGTTCACATAAATTTGGGCCACATATTAAAAACTAGGGACTAATAATAAATGAATCCTACACAGTCAGTTGTTCCTCCCTCTGTTCCCAGTTCTAGGAAATGCACCATACCCAACCTCTCATCTTGAGTTACGGTCACAGGTTTGTTTCTCCTACAATGGCTATCCCTAACTGAAATACACTGGACGAGAGGGCTGCAGTCGAAAAATATTTTGAAGGCACCAGGTTGTAGTAAGCGGTCTTAGGCCATCTAATCTATACTTCTCTCCAACATGTGTCATTTAAGGATGTTCCTTGATGAATATTTGTCACTGGAAGCCCAAATGGCTTCTATGGCCAGGAAGACCTTTTTCCAGTTACAGCTGGGTCACCAGTTACAGCCTTCCCTAGACCAGAATAGCTTGGCCACAGTTTTGCAGTTCTAGTAACTTTCCAGCCATACCCTGAAGATGGTTTGGAAACTGAAGCTGGTACAGAACGCTACTTCTAGAGTGCCAGCTTGAATTTTGATGTAGCGTCACATAGTATCTTGCAGAATCTGCACTGGCAGCCTTTATGCCACTAGGCCTCATTTAAGATGCCGCCGCTGACGTATAAAGCCCTGAGCTACTTGGGACCTGCCTGGCCTTGAGTTCAGCAGAGGATTGCTTGTTGTTCCTACCCAACTTCCAGCAAGTATTTACTCTTGTTCAGGTATGAAAGAAAGGGCTTTTGTGATAGCTGAGTCACAGTTAAGGAACTCTCTTGTCCTAGTGGCATGGACACCTACACTTTTATTGAACTTTCCCAGCTATCACATCAATACATCTTTATTTTCCCAGTCCTGTGTTGGATCTGTTTAAGTCTTCTTATCTACAAGTCTTTATATTTTAATTGTTGCCTGATTCTGTGCATTTCTATAATGTCTTGAGTTTTTAGGACATTTTGTTTGTGTTTACTACTTCTGCTTTTAACTGCTTGTGTTGTTTATAATGTGTTGGTAATTTTGGTACCAGACATTCAATGCCATTTTGTGGTCTTTTTCAGTGAAAAATGGAACATAAAAACCAAAATAAATGTGGAGCTTCCTAAAAGTCAATACAGAAAAGTTCCTAAGCCTGAAATATGATGCTTATACATGGGGTTCTGAAATAGTTTCATTTGAAAGATTTGCACATCAAAGTTTGATTCTGGGTTCAATATATATACTATTTAACCCAATGGTGCACTCCCATGCACCTTTACTTGGAAGTAAACTCTGCTAAATTCAGTAATTACTCCCAAGTAAATGAAGTCAAACAGGTTTAAAATTACATGAGCCCTACTAGATAAGGCCAAAGACCTATCTAGGCAGCATTTTGGTTTTCATTTGAACACAGCAGTCCTCTCTTGTTGCTTCCTGCCTACTGCTCCTCTGATCATTGAAACAGTATGCCGCCACCCAGCGGTGTAGCGTGGGTTGTCAGCACCTGGGGCAAGGCAAGTAATTTGCGCCCCCTAACCCCTAACCTGCCGCCGCTGCCAGCTTCTTCTTGCTGCTGCCTGGGCTGGGCTGGTGTGGTTCTCTCCCGCGCTCAGCGCTGCGCTGGGCGGCCGCTGCACTGTCCCTCCCCCAGATAGTCCCTCGCTCTCTCTCCGCACCGCACGCCTGGCACCCACCCCCTCCACAGTAGGCGGCGACCCAGCGGCTCGGATTGGATTCGCACAGCCAGCACTGCAGTGAGAGAGAGTGAGTGAGCCAGGTAGGAGCAGAGAGCTGCGAGTGCGAGCACGCGCGCCCCCCAGATGTTGCGCTCGGTGCGGCCGGACCCCCTGCACCCCCACTGCCGCCACCATGACCAGTAACCATGATCCTGGTCCTCTTTTAAAGCTGAACTGGCAGCTATCACTACATCTTGTGTGGTAGCAAATTCCACACTCTGTGCTGAACCCTCTAAAATTCACCTCCATTTGATTACCCCAAGTTGTAACACTGAGAAAAACGAGACATTTCCTGTCTGCTTTCTCCATGCCATGGATAATTCCATTCATTGATAATGTCCCTTTCTACTTGTTTTTTTCTAAACTCCCCCCATCATCAATGAATAAATCTTAACCTTCCTCACAAGGGAATTCCTCCAGCCCATTGATAATTTTGGTCTCCTTTAAACACTTGATCTTTCCATGCCAGCTGGTCATTACAAGAACTCTTAAGAAATAGGTTTTCTTTCTTCCTCCTCCCCCTCAATCCCTTTTGTGTGATGTTTTACATCATACGCCTAGGGACATTTGGAAGCAACCCTGGAAGGCGGCTTCTTTTTTTGCTAAAGAGCTGGATAAACATTCATTAAATTAAAATTTGCGACATTAATTAAGATTAACCAAATTAACGTGATGCAAAGAGCTCGGTGTCTTTTAAGACTCCTGTGCAGCCAGTGGAACTCTTATCACATCACCCCCATCACAACTATAATAATTTAGCTTTTCAAACTCATTGGTGCTTTAGAAGAGGCACGCCATTTAAGTTCCACTGAATATGCAGATGAACTGGAATGATTCTCCGGACTGTAGTGCCAGTATTTTTATAAACCCATACAATGTATCAGTTTTGTGGAAGGAAGAGACTAACTTTTCACTAGAATGGGTTATTCCAGCAGCATAGTCTCAGTTTCCCATCATGTATTCCCCCAAAAGCTCAATTCTAAAGTGCGGCTTGATCAAATGCATGCTGACTTGAGAGTAAGTCTCACTGTGCCCCAGGTGCAAAGGCAATTCTGACAAAGGGCATAGGGCAACTTCGGTGGCAATAATTTAAAAATGCTGCCCATGATGCTGATGTCCCTTCCTGGCCTAGACTTTGCGACAAACACCCTTCCCAACAAAGTAGCCTGAGCTCTCGTCACCCAGGGCCGGAGCCGCAGCCAGGCCGCCTGAGGCGTTTCATACACGCCGGAGCCCTTTAACGTCGCCGTTAACCAGGGCGCACCCATCTTCAACGGGGCAGCGAGGGCATGTTTTCATCTGGCGTCTACGACTCGGCTTCGACATTATAGAAATAGTAACTAAAATGGGAGGGCACGGGGGGAGAGAGAGGTGGGGTGTTGCGCGCACAGAGAGCGGAGGCTGCGCGTCTCTGGCAGGAAGGAAGCCTGCCGGGCCTTTGTGCAGCACCCGCCGTCGCTCACACAATGAGCCTCCCTCTCTGGGAAGAACCGCTGCCTCTCACCGCCGCCATGTTGGGTCCTGGCCGGCTCCATGTGCACCGGGGGAGAGGCGGGAAGAGTAGAGAGGAGAAAGAGGGTCGCTCGTAGTTCGGCCGCCACCGAGCCTTCAAAGCCTCACTTCGGGCGGGAAGCGAGGAGAGGGCGGGGGGCGGATTGGAAAGGCAGCTAAGCCCCCGGGCTCCAACGGCCCCCAAATGCGTCCCGTTCGGGGCGGAAAAAAAGAACAAAGGGAGAAGGCCGCGCCGCCTCCCCTCGGCCTCGGAAACAAAAGGCGGGGCAGGCCGGCAGGGCCCCGAAGGGAAGGCACGGCGATATGCGACTGCGCCTCCCGCCCGGCCCCACAAGATAAGATAGCGGCATCGGCCGGTGGGGGGGGGGGAGAAGAGATGGGGGGGATTTGCGCCTCCGCACCTTTTTCTTCTCGAGGTTGCGCAACTTCTTGTCGATGACGCCCAGAATCTGCTTCATGGCCTCGGTCTGCACCGAACTCGTGCTGCCGCCCGGAACCGACGCCGACGCCGCTTGGGATGGAGCCGCCCCAGCAGCTACCGTTGCCGCGGCTGCCGTTCCCGGAGGCGCCGCCGACGCCGCCTCGTTCCCGGTTTTGCCGCCGCTGCTGCCGCTGCTCGCCATCGCGCTGGTGGTGGCCGAGGGCATCGCTTAACTGAGGAGAGAAGAGCGCGGCGTTACGGGATTCGAAGGGGAGGGAGGGGAGAGAGAGCGCGAGAGTCAGCCCTGGAAGGGAAGCGGGCGAACGGACGGGCCGCCGGAGGGGACACGGCGCGCGAGGGGAGGGGGAGAAAGGAAACGCCTCCTGCCATGAATCCTTTTATTCTGTTTTTTAATTATCTCCCCACCCCCTTTTCTCGAACGCGCGACTCAGACCGCACCTGTCGGCGCGCGCCCAGCGATTCTAAGGCAACCTGACTTGTAAGGTCCGTCAGCGGAAGGGAGGGGAAAAAAAAGAAAGGCAGCCCTTCGCGCGGGCGCGTGCTCGGCACCGCCCACGTGACCGGCGGCCTCCCCGCAGCGCCGTTCCCTCATCCTCCCGCCCAACAGTCTTGGAGGAGCCACCCCTCCTTTATCTCAAGCCTTTCTCCGACAGCGCCCGCCCCCCACGCACTCCCATCGGTCCGTCCGTCCCTCCTTTCACTCCTCGCTCCCGCTTCCTCACCGTGTGTGTTTGGTGCGCGCGCACGTGTGTGAGAGAGAATGGAAATGAGTATCCCTAGGGCGCGCGGGAGGGCAAGAAGGGGACGGCCCAATGTGTGTGTCTGCGCGCGCGAGGGGGGGGGGGAGGGGGACGGCCGCCTCTGCCCACTCCAGCCCCGTCACTTTCACCGCTCCTCCTTGTTACCTCTGCGCCGAGATACGGAGGGGAAAGAGAAAGAGGAGGGAGGGAAGGCCAAGAGCGCACGCGCACGCGAGGGGCGGGGCGGAGCAAAAAAGGAGGGGGCGAACGACCGGGCTGAGGGAGGGAGCGGGGTCCTCATCCGTTAGGGCTGCCTCCGTAGAGCGCCTGATGGGCAAGCGGCTAAAGCAGCTCACGCCCGTCTCCCGAGTGTGCCTTCGCGAGAGCCTGAATATTATGACGCCGGTCTTTCAGGCGCAAGGCCACCTAAGCGGAGGAGCACAATGGTGAGGGGGAGTGAGACGCTTGCCCTCGCCTTGAAAGGCCGCGGGGCGGAGTTCCCGGCCGGGCTAGGCGGCGAATCTGCTCTCTTTTTTTTGGCGTGGTACGTCCGAGCCCTTAGATGGTGGGGAGGCGGGCCTCTCTGAAAGCGCTGCATTCCCACGTGAAAGGGAATCTCCAGGTTTAGACACGCGTCATTAAAAACCAATAAGATGCTGGTTTCTGTCACTGGCTGGGCAGCAGCTGCTCGCCAGGTATTTACTTGGCGACTGTTTTGCAAGGTTTTTTTGTGGGTTGCTTACTGGAAAGCGAAGGCGGTTGTTTGTGTTGGCACTTGGAAAATATTCAGTATTAACCTAAGTCTCCGTGGTCCTCTGGGCAAAAGTGTGGCACCCATTTCGGAACAGTGATTAAGTGTACTGGAAGATCTCTAGCTGTTTTGAATTTTCAACATAGGTACGGTCATGGTAACTGGACTTAAATTTATGTATCCTGGCTGCCTTAGTAAAACCCTTATATCTAGAGTGGTTGTTGGGGTTTTTTCAAAACATTGCCCTCTGGACTTTGGAGAAGGGATGGTTAACGTATTAATAAAACCAGCATGATTTACAGCTGGTGTGGTGGCAGATGCTACTTCTGTAGGCGGAGGTGCCTAATCAAGGTTTCAAATTCTGAATATTTGGGAACTTGCTTTTGGTAAATGATGAAATAAATAAATCATATCACAGGAAAATTATCTAAAGTGATAGTGGATAATTATTTGTTTTACAAAAGGCTTTATAGAAGTATTCTTTTTGGCAGCCTGTTGCAACTAGGTGTAGTCACCAAATCCATAGAGGAGGGCCCAAATTTTCCCCCCAGGAAGTTGTGTTCAGGGCCAGTAGTAAAAAAAGTTAAATGAATAAAAATATGCCTTCTAGGCAGGAAAATGACCAGGATTTTTAAGTTGTGCAGTGAAGGAACTGAGCTGTAGAAACACCCATACTGTGACGACACACCCTGCTATTCAGGTTACAACCTGCACTTATACAGGCAAACACAATAGCTGTGTTTCCCTAGAGTTGCTTTGACATCCCTTGATCTTAAATAATAAGTCCATTGAGAAAGCAAGAAATAGGTTTGATACACCAGGTCAGGAAAGCTCTGACTAAATATCTGCCACTATTGGGCCAGCCACAAAATATATTCCACCTCTCGAACTTAAAACTGTAGCAACACCCATTTGAGAGAACTTGCTGGTTCTTTATCCACATCTGGGCACCATCATTCCAAACATCGTGAATGCAAGTCTGCAAACGTGTTCTTCTACTTTTTAATTGTAAAATTACATAGAGATCTTTTCTGCAGTTGTGAAGCAGTTCTACAGCGAGGTTCCAAGAGCCGTGACAAGTATAGAGGCAAGGGAAGAAGAGAGTTGAAACTCTTAGAAAGCAGCTGTTTGCAATGAAGCAACGCTTTAAAGATTTTGTGAGACAACTCAAATAAAAAAAAATGCAGGGTGCAGTAGACTGCCTCCCTCACAATCAAAGTTATTTCTAACAATTGCAGTAGATGGGCTTTTATATGTGTGTTCAAGCAATGTGTGCTTACTATGCAAATTCTGAACTAACAAGACTCTTGGAACAAGCTGCTCCTCCAGTTACATTAGAAGGTACATAGTTGAAACCAGACATCCTCAGCATGTGCCCTTCTCAAATACCACATATTTAAATTAAAAGAATTTAATGTGTGTGTGGATAGAGCTTTGAGGGCATTGGAATTAGGTAAGATTCCTAAAATCTTGTCAGCCTTTAGGAGTCAAAAAATATTTCCACATTTTCCCATTATGAGGCAAGCAAACAGTTTCTCCAGATTTTGCTTGGATCATATACATTTGATTGTGATTTTTTTAAAAAAACAGAAATGTATATTAAACCCCCGGTTTTTTAGTCATAGATTTATTAGCCATGATTGCATGGAAGGCATCACATTTGAAAGCATGTTTCACAGAGCATTGGGCCAGGGGGGCTATTGCCCTGGATGCACATTTTTGAGGGGGTGCAATCAGGCGCCCCCATGACAGGCACAGAGCCCTAGCAGCTGAGGCGTGTCTAGTGAGCAGGTGGATGGAGGCAGCAGTTGAGGAGCCTGTTGGAGGCAGACTCCATCCATCCTCTGCATGGGCTCTGCATGCGCCCCCCTGGTGCACCCCCAAAAAACTGCCCAGTCCACCAGAGGGGTGAAACACTTGCCCCGCCCCAGGTGTCAGCAACCCACGCTATGCCACTGCATTGTGCTGAATACAGTGTTCAGAAATCTCATTGGGGATGCTCCTGTAGGGGGCATGCACAGGAGTGTAAGTCAGGTGGCCTGACCCTTTTCACTGTAACAGCTTTAGCTGCTTATTCCTCAGTGTGTTGTGTGAAACCAGTGCTTAGGCCAGAAATAGTGATAGAGCGTCCTAAAGAGTAGAGTTTCCCAGATACTGGTATGTGATTGGGATGACTCAAAGCTTATGATGAGGTGCAGAGGTTTATAAGCCTTAAATACTTGTAGCAGAACAATTCTAACCTTGGCTGGAGTCAGTGGAGCAGTGGATCCTTCATCACATTTGAAACATTGGCAGCTTGAGTGGGGATGAGGTTTATTTTGTCTCTTGGTATACCAGGTCTAGGCTGGTCTAGCTGCTGTAGCAGAATCCCCACAAAACCAGTAGTGCTTTACACTGGTGGAAAAGCAGCACCATTCTAGCCACCTGCCATCAACTGTACCCAATGCTCAAAAGAATTAGGAAAGTAAAGCTTGAAGAAGCTTATAGTTGGCCCTTTTAGGCAGAATAGCTGTGTTCAAAAGGTAAACCTTACACAAAGTGTTAGTTATGTGTGATAGCTATATCACTGTCAGTATCTATCCACTTATGGAAGAACAGTTCAGAGATAAATTGGCCAATGTCCAAGTCAACTGCCTTACTGTTCATCAGATCATTTATTTTCTTTCCGATGGGGTTTTAAGGATTAAGCTTTGAGGCCTTGATTTGGGGCATGGCAGATGAGTTTGGTTTAAAGTTATACTCTGTATTAACAGAAGATACAACTGGAGAAATGGCTAGTTTTAGGGTGCTTTGGGGGAGGAGATTTTACCAAGTTAATGGAATAGCATCTGGAAGGTGAAGCTGCTTATATCTGTTTCTGCATACACGAGACAAGATAAATTAAAAACATTATACACCAGTGTGGTTGTACCCGGCATGCCTGTCAGTGTCTCCTGGCTGTTGGAGGACTTGTGGTCAATGGGGAGTACCCACAAGTAGTGAGATTTTGGATGAGGTACTCAAGGAAATAAATGTAACTTGGGAAACAGTTCTTAAGACACCAAAATTAATGCTGCTTCAGCTGTCTGAGTTGCATGGGGAAACATAGTACTGTATTTTAGGACTTAAATAAATACGTTAGCTGCTGTCAGGCTTGTGATAACATGGTTGTGGAAGAGCAATAGGACTCTATAGATCTCTGGTACAATAAACTTTGCAAAATGCCATTGCAGAGGAATTTAGGGATCAAATCTGCATCATCAACAAACAAACAAAACAGGCCCTTTTGGGGTGGGGGGCAGAATGGAGTAGTTTTGTTTTTCATAAAGACTTGACAGTACAAGGACACCTCCAGCCCAATTTGCAACAATTTAGAAAGACTATTAATTATACAAGTGTCTTTGAAATTATAATTAGTTAATGTTGTTCATGATGCTTTAAGTCCCTCAGTTTGATGAATGTGGTTACAGTGATTGCCTTCTATTTTACAGCCATAGTGACAGAGAATAATATGTTAGTTCATGCCATTGTAGCATTGGGCCTTTTCTCTGATCCAGAGTTTTATTTGTTTATTGTTGTTTCTGTTTCATACATACAAATAACTGTAGCTCTCAAAAAATACATTAAATAAAAGAAACATGACTTGGGACTGCATTCTTACTCAAGCTGTTCATGTAGCTGTTCAAGATCTGGCCACTTCAAATCAATGAAATGAAAACTAGGAACCAACTTCAGCCTTATATAGTATCCGGCCGTGAGATTAAGCTTCCTAGTTCCTTGATTACTGTGCCATGTGTGCCTCTATATCTTTCTCAATGGATTGCCTTTGAATATTTTATTGCTCTTGCTTGCTGGTGCATTAATGTTTTAACATACAAGACCTAATTATAATTCTTGTTTATTTACGAAACTGTCAAACTTTTAATCCTCAGAGGATGAAACTTGAATGTAATTTTATTATGAAAACTTAGTTAAGGTGGTATTTTGGACACTCTAAGAATTTGCTGTTGTTCTCAGGAACACACCTTTCCAGACCATTCTATTATTATTGTTTTATTCCAGCAGAAATTGCACTTTTAATTATTCCAAACAATTTTTTTTATTCCAACCATTTAATTATTCACATTCCGGATGGCCAAACATTACAAATTATCTTAACAAGGAAGCAGTTTTTTTTTTAGTTTTAAAATGCTTTATTTAAAAGTTTTGTTGCCACATTTCTTGAAAGAAAAGGCAAGCTACTTACTGCAAAAACTTAATATTACAAGGGTTTGCCCTGGATGCCAGTTCTTGGGTCCATTTTTACACATGTAATCTACACTGAAGTGTTGTGATAATGGTGTATTTGAGGTGCAAGCAATTCATACCTTTGACAGTGATTGCGTCAAGTGGGAAAGAAACCTGTGATGAATGAGAAGACATGTAGTTGGCACACTTGCCAGCACCTTCCTTGCAGTATCAGCTTAAAATGCCCCCAACTTTCCCATTGTAACAAAATAATTAATGTTGACATGTGTAAATCCTTGTGCACTCAGATGAGAACATAACACATTGAAGTCTAGATCTTGTGCCTTTGTTTATACTGACCTGCTTATCTTAGACCCGCTTACGCATTTACAATTGTCAAACTCACATAGCCTCTTCCACGTGACAAAGTTTCATCAGAAACAGAAAAATTAACCACTTCCACGAAATTAGCTGTAATAATATAGTAAAGTTGAAACAGGTACCTCAGATAAATTGTCCCAGTTAAAATGTGATAATCTCGAGAGAGCACATTTTCACAGAAATAAAGGAATATTACATCTTTGTGAATACCCTTCTGAACGATAGCATGATGATGTCCAGTTTAACCCAGCATTGCACAAAATCATGGCAATTGGAACCTCAGTGTTCCTTCTGGTGTTGCATAATGTGGTTAGAGGAGAGGCCTTACTCAAACATGCACTTGGTGACCCTCGGCTAGTCACTGGCTCTTAGCTTAATCCACTTTAAAGGGTTGTTGTGAAGATAAATATCAAGGAAAGGGGAAACAAAAAATCCTTCCAGTAGTACCTTAGAGACCAACTAAGTTTGTTGCAGTATTGGTATGAGCTTTCATGTGCATGCACACTTCTTCAGATACACTGAAACAGAAGTAACCAGACCCTTATATATAGTCAGAGGGTGGGGAGGGTTATTACTCAGAAGGGTGGTGGGAATGGGTGATTGGCTGATAGGTGTGGTAAACCTGTTGACAATTGTTAATGACTGCAGTTGGTCTTACAGGAAAAAGCAAGGGGTGAGATGGCTAAAAATAACTTTATCATGTATAATGAGATAAGAATCCAATGTCTCTATTCAGACCAAGTCTCTCCATGGTTTTAAGTTTGGTAATAAGTTGCAATTCAGCAACTTTTCTTTCCAGTCTATTTCTGGAAAGAGAAGTTGCTGAATTGCAACTTAGTACCATACTTACAACCATTGAGAACCATTGGATTTAGCCCAGACTTGACTCAATAAGGGAGTAAATTTTATGCCATGTATTCAATAAATGTACAGCAATGTGGAAGTTGAGTGCTGGTTTTGTTACTAAGTTTTTTATTTGAATATTTGTGTGACAAGGCACCAACTTGGCAACTGTTTACAAAATGCTACTGTACCAGTAGCAATGGTTTCTCATTCCATCTTTTGGACTACCTTGGGACTGATGTGTGTGAATTAAAAAGCCTTCCTACCACCAATAGCTCTAGAAAGATTTCCATTCTTTTCTATTTCTAAAGGCAGGCCAGCTGTGTGGGAGAGAATTTTAGAAGTCAGCCACTGAAGCACATGAATAAATGTAATAATTTAGCTCATTGCTATGAAATGGCAGCTAGGAATGTCCTAACGTTCACACATGCACAGTGATGATAGGAAGGAAAAAGACTATAATCCGCCAGACTCAGTAGCTAGTCAGTTAATTCATACCTTTTCCATGCATACCAACTATCTGCTATTAGAAAGGAGAATTTTGCTGCAAAGCTTCAAAATACGAACATGATGCTTTATGTCTTTTGTAAGTCTATATTGTATCATGAAAACAACTTTGAATTTCTCTTCCCAGAGTATGAATAAGTGTAACCACAGTATAAAGCTCTGGTTCCCATTGAAGCCAGGGATTCTTAGCATATATAATT